TTAAACAACAGACAGACAAAGACATACATGTATATCCTGACAATTCCCGATGTGTAGACACAGCCTTGGTCGTGTATACATATAAACTAAGGACCGCCTCCGTGGTCCTGTGGTAGAGCGTCCGCCCGGAGAGCGAAAGGTCCAGGGTTCGATCCCGGGCCGCGTCATACAAAAAGACGTTAAAAGATTGTACTTGTTGTTACCCTGTCTGACGCTCGGCATTAAGGGGCTAAAACAACGACTGGTCGGCTCGGAGTCAGTATACCGTGTCTGAGTGGGGTATTCATGTCAAACTGAGGTATGGTATCTCAGTGAGCTAGCACTATAAATCGGCATCAGTCCGGACTAGTACAAGCAGCCACACACACACATACACGTGCATGCACGTCGCTATATAAGTGCAATAATCTTGGACGCGACGTTAAACCCAATTTCACCTCACCTTTAAACTAAGTGTCTCTGATCATGTCTTCAAACTCTATGGATGTCCCTAGTCCATATAAACAAACCCAACCACCCTATCACGTTCTGTGTCAATGTCAATGTGCAAAATGTGATTCACTTGGGCAATTTACAAAATGCCTAAATATTTTAATCAGTTTACAAATTGACTGAAAATCTGTCCATCTGTCAAATACAGATTGACTTAAATTATTAAGAAGTTCCAAAGGGCTTAAACGAATAACAATATACTAACTATGCTACCATTAGAAGCTAAATGCATATGTATAATATATCAACAAGCTATCAAATATCTGCAAAAGCAGGGGCCATTGTACGATTCGTCATTCCTATCAAATAGTGATAACACCACGTGTTCGCTAAAAGGTGAGCGTAACCTGCCCGACAGGTGGCCTCATTGTTTTAAACACATGCATAGGCAAAGACAACTGTTCACCAGAACAAAACACGGGAACACTGTACAGGTCAAATAGGGAATTGAATCGGACATAATATTTGTCACTGATACGTCAAATTTGGAAATGTCCTCCACATGTCTACCATAAAAAATTGAAGTCATTTGACTGCCTCTGAATCTTCGTAGACAGAGCATCCTCAATTGCACTTAAACGGAAATTTTATTGGAAAGTTGAAGTCATCCCCCTTGTCATACAATCTTGTAGATATTTTTGGCACTCTGAAACGTTATGCATTTATCTAATTATGAACTATAGAAGAGGCAGGTTTAACGTGTCCCTGTTAATTTTAGTTTAGATGGGTAAATCAGTGGAAGGGAATTGGCTATTTAAAGGCATAAACACATATTCTGTTCGAGGAATGTGTTCTGGCATGATTGATATGCGTCATTTTCTCAGCGCGCAGGAACTCTGTCACGCCACCACGTTAATGCCGCCCTGACTGTCTTCCCGATAAGGCAATGTATTTATTATACCCATAAATGGAAGAGAATTAATGTGCCAAGGACCAGAGGGGGAGATAGTTCGGTGCTCAAGACACTAGGATACTGATATTGCAGGAAACAATGTCCTGTCAACCTGAGTGTGTTCCAGTCAGGCATGACCATCAACGGTTGTTAGGCGGTAAAGGATTTTAGGCATATGGCTCTACTCTATCGGCATTTCTTATCATAAACCGTGAATAGAGCGTCTGTCCGTAGAGCGGAAGGTTGGTGGTTCGATCCCCTGGCCTCGTCATACCAAATGACGTTAACATATGGTACAGTAAACTACGTTTATAACGAACACGCTTATCACGAACTGACGGATATAACGAACTGTTTTTTGGTCCCGGTCATTTGCTGTATATATACTGTATATATGTTTATAACGAACTACGGTTATACCGAACAAAAAACTGTGTCCCTTTGAGTTCGTTATAACCGTAGTTTACTGTACGTGTTACCCTGTTACCAGGGTGACGCTAAAACCCATTTAACCTCACCTAAACAGGAATATTATTTATTCAGCGCATGTCCTTCAGATTCTTGTTTTGGCAGTTTATATACATGAGGAAATATATCGGTAACTTAAAGAGTTTCGAGCTATGCGATTTATACGCAACGTTAAGCCCCTTTTTACCTCACTACACATCAGGCCATAAGCGCTGGAAGCAAAGAAGCAATTACTTTTCGAATTCATTTAATAACCAGTGTAAAACATGACACCGCGTGGTCACTATTTCCACAAACTTCAATAGCATCAACCCAAGGTTGTCTCTCGACTCTTTGATGTGCATCAGATATTACTGTTTTTCGCATCAAAACCAATTCTAAATTTCAGTTGTTGAACACACACATCAATTATTCATATTGCCCCACTACAAGTCACGTCTACATTTGTATGTGAGTGAGTGAGTATGGTTTTATGGTTTTCGCCGCTTTTAGCAATATTCTAACAATATCACGGTGAGAGACACCAGAAATGAGCTTCACACATTGTACTCATGTGGGGAATCGAACCCGGGTCTTCGGTGTGACGAGCGAACGCTTAAACCACTAGGCTACCCGACCACCCCGATTCGTATGTGATGTATATCATAGTACAACTGAAATGGCGCGTCAGTGTTTTCATATGAGGGCAGTTCATGTAGTTTTAGAAAGATTGCACAAAGATGGCCGCCACTGCAGCTACTGTCCCCATCCCCATCCGTTTCTTATTTGAATGCCAGAAGAAGCGTAAATTGTTCATTTATGAGATGAATACGTGTATAACCAACCATTACTTCTCCGAAGTCCGTCTTTAACTGATAGCACCCTGGTAAATCGAGACGACTTTCCTAACATCATACAACGACGATGCCCTTTAAAATTGCTAATCCAAGTGACAAATTACAAGTACAATTTGTCTCATGAAAACTCTCTGCATCCGTCTGTGGCGGGAGTTGTCATCACTTTAGAATTATTTCTCATGGTGGTGTTTCATGAATATTCCTTGTGTTAACATCAAACATCTTTGATGAAAAAAGTGTTCATCGACAAATAAAGAATCCAGCTCAAATCTTCTTCGGGCCGGAGACTTAACCCTCTTTAACGGCAATGACCTCCTTTGTCCATAGACAATATAAAGGAAATGCCACCATGGCCTGCACTGAATGGAAAGTGGTTCATTGATTGGCTACAATTCTAGAAGCCTCTCGTGACTTCATAAAGCGAGCTTTGTGAAATTCTTTCATACCCAGGAGTGTAAAACGATAAAATAATGGATTGCATGCTAGGGTTTTCGTCAGGGACGCAGGGACGCGTATGCCCCTCGACATTCAAGATTTTGAAAAGCCTCCTAGCTATTCCTGGTATTGTTTGGCCCCGTTACCGGCGATTAGACTTAATTCACCAAGGGGGGGACGGGAAGGGTTTACCTACATCAGAGTACATAAAAAGGGGAGAATAGTTCTATTTTCAATGTCATTCTGCCAATAATGTCTTTTATCAAACGTTCCCCTGATGAGGCTTTCTATTTATAGACCTTCTGCACTTCCTTGTTCAATGAAGCAGAATCAAAACGAGAGTCGATTTGAAATCTCGTATTTAGGTGATGGGCTCTCTCTCACATGCGGCCCACATCAAAATGTGTAATTTCAGTTCTCAATTAAATACTGTTTCTGATCAAACGCAGACGCAACAGTCGAAGACGTGATTGCACATGGCTATACACTTCCAGCGTCCATTGGCGCCTTGCTCCCTAATCTTGATAGGCATGTATTCAGCAGACAGGCGGCAATCCACGATTGAATATATTAGTGAAATATGTAAATTACGTATTTTTGTATTTCACTATGGTCTTTTGCGATGGTTGATCTGGAGTGTGAGACGTCTTGACATGAGCCAGGTCGGAGGCTAGCGCAGCTCAGTGGTTAGAAGATTCGCTTGTAACGTCCTGGTCCCGGGTTTAATTCCCCACACTGGTGCAATATGTGAAGCTTATCTGTTAAGACCAGTCGTCTAGGGCGCCGCGACTCGCTGTGCAGAGTTGTGTCCCTTGGGCACGCCAGAAACCTATGGTTGCGGGTTCGAATCTCGGTTCGCCCCGATTATGTTTCTAGGTTTGTCAGCACCATACCCGTGCTCGTGGCTTTCACCGAAGTGGTAAACGTCTGAGACTTGCATCACTTGGGACTTTCCTCCCACATTAAGCTGACACGCCGCGATATAACTGGAATACTGTTAAAAGCGGCGTTAAACCCAACTCACTCACTCACTCACTTAAGATATGACTGGAATATTACTAAACGTTGCGTTGGACTAGAAATATTTTTGGCAATTGACAGAATATGCAGTTTGCGTGACAGCGGTATGTATGATGTCATTTTTGATGTCATCTCATCTGAACGAAAGATTTAGTGACAATTAATTGATTTCTGTCTAGGATAGGTCCTCAGCAACCCATCCTTGCACGAGGCGACTTAATAGATCGGGTAGATCTTTAGATCGATTCGATGACTTGTTTGACTGCGCACCCAGACAGCAGGGATCGTTGCTCATAATATCAGTCAATGAAGATCCGGGCTAGAATAGGTCTTCAACAACTTGCCGTAAAATGCGACTGTGGTTGTCGTAAGGGGCGAATAACGGGATCGGGTGGCCAGGCTCGCTGACTTGGTTGTTGCATATCATCGTATCCCAATTGCGTGGACCGATGCTTATGATGTTTATCACTGGATTGTATGGTCCAGACTCGATTATTTACAGACCGCCATCAAACAGCTGCAATATTGCTGAGTGTAGCGTTAAACAATAAACAAACAAACAATTCATTGTTTAGTCCAGACTCGATTATTTAAAGGCAGTTGTTTTGTGGCTGGGATATTTCCGAATGTGGTGTTGAATAACTGACAAGCAAACAAAGACAGAACCTGTTTGGGTTGAAAACTCGCCCCCAACGACCAGATTTTATGCTCCTGATTGCATTGGACGTGAAGTTTCAGAGACATTTAGGTTAGGTCTCGTATGGCTGACCAAGAAAAAATATATAAACTATTTTGACAGTTTAACATCGCGTTTTATACTCAACATGTATTCAAAAGATGTTTGTTTATTCTTGCAGTTCCAGTCACAGCTCGATAAACCTCTACAACAATCAGGACCGGGACAGACCATCGAAAATACCAAACCCAAATGGTAAGCCACTTCATATTACCTGTGCCGTGACATATAGTGACATATTAAACCCTGACATTCAACTTTTTTTCAGAAGACAATGCCGTTAATGTATTCAATTAACAACCCAAACAGTAAATCACATTAGTAGACAATGCTGTGACATATATTGACATACTAATCCAAACGGTCACCACTACAGAAGACACTGCTGTGACATATATTAACATACTTATCCTTAACATGCAAGTGTGTGCGTGCGTGCGTGCATGCGTGCGTGCGTGGGTGTGTCTTGTCTTGTAAAAAACTAAAAAAGCAGTTTTTTTCAAGAATCTCTTAAACGTTTTGACTATTTTTTTAAACAAAATATAATTAACTCCATTTAATTGAAAGACAAGTCAAATGGTTATTTCTCTTTCAATTTTGACCTACTTTGAACTATTTTCATTACCAATTGCAACTTTTTTTAACAGATTAAAAAAAGACTATCATTACAGAACATAAGAGAGAAATTTTATAAATGTCAACTTCTTTATTATGAGGAACACAACGTTTCGGAGCATTCACCTGATGAGGGAGTGAGCACATACTTCGAAACGTTGAGTTCCTCATAATAAGGAAGTTGGCACCCATAAGTTCTCATTCTAAACGCCATTCAAACACTTAATTTCAGAACAATTTTGAAAATGCGAGTGGGTGGAAACGTAAACAATAAAATTAAGAAACGCCTTGTGAAGGTGATTTGGCCTATCGCCAGTCTGTACTCACACTCCATGCAGGCTTGAAGACGATGCTATTGTTACAGTACCACATCAGATGTATCCGCGTGTTTCTTCCGCTCACAAGAAAGCGCCAACTGTCGGCTCTCGAGCGAAATCGGATTTGGAATGTACTATTTTTCTACTGTGTCTAGATTAATCTGTAACTAATTAGAGGAAGAAGCCGAATGTTCAAATAAAAGACCCTAAAAGTGTTTACAAACCTGTTTCCTAGAGAGCTTTAAAGTAGAACATGTATTTCCCGTTGCTGACAGAAAGTATTAAGACATGGTTCTCCCAAAGGCGTGTAATCTTTCAAAGCGCTTTACCCATTAAGCATGTTGAACAAATGTATATCACATTAGGGAAACATCTATACGGGAACTGTAATCACACTATTTGATAATGTGCCCTCTTTGCTCGTCTCTTTAAACTTAAACATCCAAAAAGATCAGATTATGGGTATCGCAGTCAGGGAGGGCACAGCACCTAAATACAACCGCAGCGTTTGACGAGAAGCCCGTCTATAGATAGATTCGCATTGCCCGAAAGCCAGTGAGTGGCGTCACATCTGCCAATCAAAACCCTCAACTAAATCTGTATGAATGGATGTTTATTGTAGGAGACAGCTAAAAAACATGCGGACATGAAGTTAAAGAAATTAAGAAATTTGTCTCACTCGGGAGATCCAGAATCTTGGAAGGAGCTATTTGATGTGATTTCTGATGGCTATTTATGGTTGGGTTGATGACAAGATCTAACGAACGCTCCCGTCAGAGCGCCAGAGAGTCATGCAGAACTAGTGCAGTTATATCCGCCTGAGCGCACAGCCGACCGGTTTATATACATGAGACGAGATAGTTAGATGAGGCTATTTTACTGATGTGTCATACATTGTATGTATCTGAAGCAAAGTTGTAGTCGTTTGTGCAATGAGACATCGCAATGGGATCACGTGATGTGTATTTTAACCCGATATATATTTTCATGTCATATGACTGTTGGGTGATGCACGTGCATTACGTGCAGCTGCAATTTCATGATAATTGTTAGTGTTTAAGAACAGTTCATGACTCGTTTCAGAACATTATCGACACAACGCCGCGCGTTGTCCAATGAGGTGAGGTGGGATGAAAAGGGGCACAATATCCATAATCCGCTTGTCTCGAACTACGCATAGCTCGAAACACTTTGAGTTACCGAGGTTTTACTACATGTATATAAACTGCCAAAGCACAGAAACGGAAAGGCATGCGCTGAATAAGAAATATTCCTGTACCAGCTGAGATCCAGTGGGTTTAGCGTCACCCCGCAAATTGCACTTATAAGCGACGTGCATGCACAAGTGTGGGTGGCTGCTTGTACTATCCCGCACTTAGGCCGGTTGTATAGTGCTAGCTCACTGAGATACCAGGTTAACATGAACCCCACTCAGACACAGTATACGACTCCGAGTCGTCCTGTCAATGTTTTAGCCCTCAACGCCGAGTGCCAGACAGGGTAACAACATGTACCATCATTTAACGTCTTTTGGTATGACGCGGTCAGGGATCGAACCCCAGACCTTTTGCTCTCCGGGCGGACGCTCCACGGAGACGGTCCAACCTACGTGCATACCTGTCGTAAGAGCTGACCAAAGGATCAGATGGCCAGGCTCGGAGACTTGTTGCGTGGATTGATGCTCATGATGTCAATCACTGGTTGTATGGTCCAGGCGATAAGCACAGCCATATAGCTAGAATAGTAAAATAAAATAATAATACGGCCTTAAACCAACAAGGAAACAAATATATTAGCCACATGAAATGAATTCTGAAATTCTCGTTTGTTCTTTCAGATTAACAAAAAATAATTGTACAGTTGGCAATAAAAGATATTGTACGTTTGAGTACTTTTGAACTGATGCAACTACTATTATTTTGAAAACATCTAAACGTACCCGACTGACGTGCCCGTAAACTCGAAACTCGATTATTTTCTTCGAACAGTATTTCGAGACAAGCGGAGTATCGCTATCGTACCATATGGTTCGATAAATGTTCTGCTAATGCAGTAAGCTACATCGATATCGAGTTAATGAGTTTTCACTGTAGTCGATTTTTTTTTGTCTTGATTTCATGAAAAATTTATGAATCAAATAACGGACAAATCAATTTGACAATATAAGGTTGGGGTTGGGGTGGGGGTATTTGGTAGCAACGCCCAAAGTTCTCAACTATTCAGTCAGGTTCGAAGCCCTAGATGACCAGTGACATCAAATTCCAATCAATCAATTTCTCCCACGAAGAAATAAATGTCGTTCAATCAGCTGCAGAGCAGCATCTGAAAACGGACTTTACTTCTCCCGACGGTCGATATATCATTATGTCCTATGGGAAATCTACCTCGAGATTAATCAGTCAATTAAAGTGTATTAAAGTCGATGTAAAGGCAGTACTCTATACTTTAATCTGATTATATACCGGACCTATCCAGCGTAGAACATAACAAGGCAAGTAATATGCTATATGAAACAAAAATAAAATCATAATACCATCATCCCGTTTCTGAAAGGCCCATCTAGACACTTCTCCCGAGTATGCTCGCCATCTAAAGTTACTTATCTTTCTTCCAATCAAATAACCCGACCAACACTCCTCTCATATAATCCTGATAAAGTTCAGCTTGTAGAGATGACAGATTTGTTGATGTGTTGTGACGTACAGTGTCCGGCTAAATGGCGGGAAAACAGCACAGCCATTCTTCAACGTTATATATGTGGCGTTGGTGGTGACGTCGAGATGCAAAGGGAGATAACTCTAAATGCACACCATCACAGAGCTATGTGTGAGCGATAGTGAGTTTTCTTGTCAGTTGTTCTCGGATACAGACGTAGGTGTGATAGTAGGTCAAGGACTCGGTTGCCAAAATGTAATGGCTAACTAGCGGGTAAAAGATACGCCACCAAATAAATTATTGTCTTAGTTTTCAACAAATTTGCCAAACAGCACGAAAACTGTTGGGAACACATAACTTGAATGCAACTTACCTTTTCCCTGTGAACATGTGCACGTGCTTCGCGTGATTTGCGAGAAAAGTGAATTTAATCACTAAAAAAATGAAAAATGTGCACAAAGTTACCTGTATGAAATTCTGGTATAAAACATGACAGGATTGTACTCTCTCGTCACATGAAACCGTTTAAAACAACGAACATGCCTCGAATAACTGCAGAGCAGATGGAGAGAGCCATCGGTGTTTTGCAAATGGGAGCGATGCAGGAGCACGTTGCCAGGATCATGGGCTGCTTCAATGGCACTATCGCCAGACTTGTCACACGTCTCAGGCAAACTGGCAGTACTGCAGACAGGCCGAGGAGTGGAAGACCCAAGGTCACGACCCCGCAGGAAGACCGGCATTTAAGGATGCTTCACCTACGGTCCAGATTCCTAACTGTGACGTCATCATCCGCAAACAACCTTGGACATCCAGTCAGCAGAAGGACCGTTGCTGGACGACTCCGCCGGTATGGCCTCCGTGCCTATTGACCTTTCAAGGGCATGACGTTAACGTTTCTACACCGACGTCACAGACTGAGATTGGCCAGGACTGTACAGCAGTGGCAGCAGGGAAATTGGCGAAGAGTGCTCTTCAGCGACGAGAGTAGGTGGCAGCTCTTCAATTCGATGGGCGGGTTCGAATCTACCGACGACGTGATGAACGGACGTCAAGTTGTTGCGTCCAAGAAGTGGAAAGGTGGTAGTGTCATGGTCTGGGGTGGCATCCGCTGGGACCAGAAGACAGATCTGATCATAATCGACGGAAATCTCACTGCACGTCGTTACATTGATGAGGTTTTGCGGCCTGTAGTACTGCCTTTTCTGCAAAGACACAGAACCTCTGGGACCAACTTGGACGCACGACGCAGGATATCGGAGGCGTCAACAGCCGTCATTGGCGAAGGATGCCTTGGCAATTGCCTTGCAGGAAGAATGGCGTAGGATCCCTAATTAGGATGTCAGGAGACTCGCGTACTTAGTTCGACGTCGTGTTAGGGCCTGCATCGTTGCTGGAGTGGATCACATCCGATACTGAGCCATCTGTGTAACACGGGGCTTTAAAAGAGATCGATGTCGATTCTGCGGGTGTGATCGAATACTGGACAGTGCACCAGGCATGATAAACGTGTCAGCAGAACTTTAAGTACATGCTTTTTTATCTTGTCATTTTTAAATACCGTTTTTGAATAATTGTTTGCTTTTATAATAAAACATCAACTGTTACCAAATTTTGCGACTGTTTTGTTTTAGACCAGAAAATTGTTTGGTGGCGTTTCTTTTGACCGTTAGTTTATTAGTCTAACAGTTGCAGGATGTTTCTCGTTTTCCTAAAACAAACTTCAATGAGTGTTTATATCCTTGTTCATTTGCCAGGTGAACATTATTGAACAATATTACTAACTACTACTAATGATGATGATGATAGTGATGATGATGATGACGAAGAAGAAAAAGATGATGATGATGATGATGATGATATAACGAGGATTATGATAACAGCAATGATATATATCATGAACGCTTGCTGTTGAGACAGCGTTGCGCAGATAGCATATGTAATGCAAAACCTTTGACGATTCACTCAACTCATACCATGAATAAGTACAAACTTACAGACACTCTCTCTCTCTCTCTCTCTCTTCCACAGCGGTGGTATTTCAGATCTGTATCCAGAACAGGTACAAGTTAAACAAGAAGTTAAGGAAATGGCTAGCCCAGTCGTCAGCCAGCCCGGAGAGTACGGAGGAGAAGGGACTCATGGCACAGGCCAAGGTAGGTAACTGCAGGTTAAGCAGGACACTTACAGTAATATAGACAGACACTGACAATAATATAAACAGACACTGACACATAAAGACAGACACTGACAGATATAGACAAACACTGACAGATATAAACAGACACTGACACATATAGACAGACACTGACAGATATAAACAGACACTGACACATATAGACAGACACTGACAGATATAGACAGACACTGACAGATATAGACAGACACCGACAGATATAAACAGACACTGACACATATAGACAGACTATGACACATAATGACAGACACTGACAGATATAGACAGACACTGACACATATAGACAGACACTGACACATATAGACAGACACTGACACATATAGACAGACACTGACAGATATAGACAGACACTGACACATATAGACAGACACTGACACATATAGACAGACACTGACACATATAGACAGACACTGACACATATAGACAGACACTGACAGATATAGACAGACACTGACACATATAGACAGACACTGACAGATATAGACAGACACTGACAGATATAGACAGACACTGACACATATAAACAGACACTGACACATATAGACAGACACTGACACATACATTTTTTGTTTGTTTTGTTTGTTGTTAAACGCCGCACTCAGTAATATTCCAGCTATATGACAGGGGTCTGTAAATAATTGAGTCTCCACCAGACACTCCAGTGACTTACATTTATGAACATCGATCCACGCAATTGGGAAACGATGACATGCATCAACCAAGTCAGCGAGCCTGACCACCAGATCCCGTTAGTCGCCTCTTACGACAAGCATCGGTTGCTGACACATATATACAGACACTGACAGTAAGATAGACAGACACTGACACACATATACAGACACTGACAGTAATATAGACACTAACACAATACTGACTGACGTGGGGAATCCGGGTTAGAATAGGTTCCAAGCAGCCTCCGCTGGTTGTAGAAGGGGACTAAATTGATCGGATTATTTAGATGGTTCCCGACGGCGTGGCTCGTTGCTCATTATATCAATCACTGGCTTATCTGTTTATTTACAGGCCGCTGTCATATAGCTGGAATATTATTGAGTGATTCGTTAAACAACAGACTAAACAACAGTTACTAACATACACAAATACAGACATTGGCCCTGGTGGAAATATGCATTGGCAGGGAGATACAGACAGACGCTGACATGAATGATAATAGTCGGTTATCCAGGGTTAGAGGTCAGTCGTTCCTCCCACATCATGCTGACACGCCGTGATGTAACTGAAATACTGTTTTAAGCGGTGTTAAACACACCCCACTCACTCACACCACTTAAACAAATTAAATAAGCCTGGTGATACGACCCTAGGGTAGGCACTGAGCTATTGTGCCATCTCTCTAGGCATTACATCAACATGTCTGGTGATTGACAACAAGGGCGTTCTGATTATTTCCGATCATTTCACAAAGGTGAATACTTCTACAATAAGGAAAAAAATGTGTCTAGTGGAATAGGATGAATAATTCAATTTAGGTCAGTAAGAGCGTATAATGGTGTACACATTATTAGATTAAAAACTTGAAAGAGTATCCACTGTTAAAGGATCGTTAAAAGCATTTATTACTGTTTTTTGCGATGTTTGCATGAAGATATGTATTTTGTAAAGAGAACAGAAATATGTAAATGTCAGGCCCTGTTGCACTCGGCGGACTTGTCACTACTCTTAATCATCCTTACTATGGTCGTCCAAGGCGCCGGAAATCGCTGCGTGGAGTTACCTGCCTTAGCCGTGCCAGGATTCTATGATCGTGTATTCGAATCCCAGATTGACCCAGATTATGATCCTTGGTTTGTCAGCATGCTACTCGTGGGTTTCACAAAGGCATGCAACCCATCGGACTTTATTCCCACATTAAACTATCCTTGATATAACTGAAATATCACTCAAAACGGCGTTGAACTCATCTCACTCACTCATTCACGTGTTAAGTATCTGATACGTAGAGTCTGTAGTATAAGGTTCTATTTAATCGGGGTGGTGTTTCACCAGATTGCTTATTCAATTATTGTTCCTTTCTGATACATTGACGTTATTAATTTATTTATTTTTAAACTGCAAATGAATGTTGCGTCTAGGATTACTAACTTACCCATATAATGTCATTGAAGCATGCAGCGGATGCAGAAAACGCGGACAATGCAGCAGAACAGAAGAGACAGCTGGGGAAGAAAGTACGATACGGCGAAATAGTCCAGGTAATGGTGATGTAAAATAAAATACCAGTTAATCACTATCACTGATAACTACCTTACTCGGCCTATATTGAAGTGACTAGTGGGACACGATTAACCGTTAAGTGACACCAACTAGGTGAGCAATGTGTTCCTCCTCGTGGACAGGTTTTGTCCGCAGGTTTTGTCTGCAGGTTTTGTCTGCAGGTTGTGTCCGCAGTATTTAGTCCGCTATAACCTTCCAGTATTGGGAAGCACGAATCTGTATTAAGAGAGTGTTATAGATGAGGTTCGGTGTACCTTAACTGTCATTACAAACGTTATTCTTACCAATTAATCACCTCATTCAGTCAGGTTAATGCCCTGTAACGATGAAGCCGAGACGCATCTCTGGTAAAGACTCAATAAGACGCTTAATAAAGAGATAAAAATTGCTTTTAGTGCTCCAGTTGAACAAAGCGTTACTGCTTTCTTTCATTAAAAGAATGGGATTTTCAGAGCAGAGACTGCAAATACATCGTCACTCTCAATCTGAATTATTCGGCTATGCTGGCTTGTTTACATGTATTTGATACAAAAGGCATCGATTGTCATCTGATATATTGCTTTCACCATCTTTCCTCCTAACGGTAACCAGAGATTATCCTAAAGAAATTACTGCGGGGGGTCTCAGTTGTCGCATAAAGCAGCATGGTGTTTGTCGGAGGTGAATACATTTTAATGGGCACTGTCAATATGGGCTGTTTAGAGACATGTGTGATAAAAGCATGATATAAAAGAGGTACAACGTAATTATTTTTGTTTTGTTTTATATTATAAAGGATACCTTTTGACGTCGTATGTAACGGGTGTTTTAGATTTGTTTCCCAGACACTTTATATTCGTTTTAGACAGAATATTCTTTATCATTAGATGAATGATTCGAATCAGTTGACTTTCTTAAAATCAGGATCCTGTCTTTAAGCTATTTCCTCCATTGCATTAACAGAATATTTATATCAGGTTATGAAAACTATGTAACGCCACGAGCATTATCTTGGTGAATGGAATCTGGCGCAGTATAAATGGACTTATTATTATTATTATTATTATTATTATTATTATTATTATTATTATTATTATTAAAGACACAGGGGCACTTGTATACCAGTCCAAAGACGTTAAAGGCACCGGATTCTTTTATATTACTATAGTTAATATGTCATGCCATGACAGATTAACTATGGTAATATGAAAGAATCGGGTGGTTTTTAAATCGTTTTTAGTAGTATATATCATAACACTTAGATGTTTTTCAATATACTCACAATGGTTTTGTTTACTGTTGTCTTGGTTGCAGCTGAAGCACACGTTCACCAACAAGTACATTCACATGTGTACATCACAGACAAGTCAGCGAGACAAGAACAACATGATGGTAGGTTACGTCATCTATAGTCATACGTATAGCGTAACGGAACGTGTAGCGTATAGCGTGACGGTACGTGTATTGTAACGGTTCATATATACTTAACGGTACATGTAGTGTAACGGTACTTTGATGTAACGGTACGTATAACGTAACGGTACATGTGTAGTGTAACGAAACGTATAGCGTAACGGTACGTGTAGCGTAACGGTGCGTATAGCGTAACAGTACGTGTAGTGTAACGGTACGTATAGCACAACGGTACCTGTAGCATAACGGTACGTATAGCGTAACGTACGTGTAGTGTAACGGTAGGTACAGCGTAACGGTACATGTGTAGTGTAACGGTACGTGTAGTGTAACGGTACGTGTAGTGTAGCGATACGTATAGCGTAACGGTACGTGTAGCGTAACGATACGTATAGCGTAACGGTACGTGTAGCATTACGGTACGTATAGCGTAACGGTACGTGTAGCATAACGGTACGTATAGCGTAAAGGTACGTGTAGTGTAACGGTACGTATAGCGTAACGGTACGTATAGCGTAACGGTACGTGTAGTGTAACGGTACATGTGTAATGTAACAGCACATGTGTTGTGTTATGGATGTGTATGGCTCAACGGTTTTACCTCTTTGGCAAGGAGGAACGTTATACAGATGGGGAGGATGAGGCGGGGCAGGATACGCTCACCTTTTGGCGAACACCTGGTATCATCACTATGTTATTGTGAGTCATACACACAAGCATATGATATAGTCGTAATCCTTCACTGGACGCTAGATTTATCATATATTTCTGATTTCGGACGGGTTTTGTCAATTGCACACACACACACACACACACACACACACACACACACACACACACACACACACACACACACACACACACACACACACATTATATAATATATTATATTAATGTCAATCCCACCAGAAAAGGTGTCATCGTACCCTGTGTGCGGCGTTAAACAATTAAAGAAACAAATAATTATGTCGTAAAGATAATGATAGAAAATAGAAACATTTTCTCTAAAACACAAACAAAATTCGATTAAGCGGGCAAAGTATGTTTTGAAATACTTGGCCCGCCAATCAAACCGTGCTTTATCTCCTTCGTCGCGGAGTCTGTTGCCTCTAGCCCGTTCTCTGAATCCCCATCTTATCATCAGTGTTTCACAACGCAGTCGCCCAGTGAGACGTGTTCCATGTATATCAAACAGCCCATGACAGGTATAATCAAGTGATGAGACATTCCTCAAATGCATCAGCATCCCATCATCACGATCTCCAACACAGTTCTTTGAAGAAGATAATAGAGATGAAAAACATCACGAACTTATCCAGTGATACTTACATGAAACATTTTGAATATTTGTCTTAATTTCAATGTCAAAGTTTTCTGAAAAATATGAAAACGCCCAGAACGTACTTTAGTACAAGGTAATATATAATTAACAAAGGCATGTTTGATGGATGCTTCTACGGAGCCTTAAAGAATTATGTGCATAAGTTCTTAATTCGTTTTCCCAATGGCAACGGAAATATTACTTTGAAAACTAATTGTGTCTACCAACCCCCTCCGTTGTTCAAACCTGGGATGTTTTTTCAGTGTTATCAAAAGTCATGTGTCTTGGTCTTCCAACGCGAGTGCAATAATGAATGTACGCTGGAGTGGCTATATATAAACGACATCAAAGTCGCCGGCCCACGAAGTGTATTGATTGATAGTAAAACATTTTCTGGGTGGCAAATCGTGTGGAGTGTCTGTCTTACATGTGTACCCTCTTCCAACTGACAGACTGAGAAAACAAACACACCCCCGATACATTCGCAGCTACCACAAACGTAATCCAAGGAACCTCCCTACATGTGTGTTTAAACAACTGCTGATCGTGCTGCTACGAAGTCGAGTACCTGGGAAGTGATTAACGTAATCCAATGAGCGGGGTGATCAGCAATAGGAGCGTTATGTTAGGAGTAAGCCTGGTGACTTCTCACTACCGCAATGGTAATGAGATATTGGGTCTGAATCTCAGCTTTAATAACACGTCTTAATCAGCTTGATATTCCCCCGTAGCATCCCATAACGCTAAACCGCATCCCTGTTGGGAACGTTCGAAATTGGGATCGATGCTAATCCGATTTTCGATTCATTTTCTGAATTAAAATTACGCAGGCCCATTCCGACATTGTGATAGCCGTCATCTGGGGTGCATCAAAAAGTCTAGGTTGCTGCGATTTAGGATTTTTGTTACATGAAAAACATTCATGGAATGATATCATGAATCAATGAAACTACACTGGCACAAAACTGTGCCAAACATATTACTGGGTAACTTTACAAGTGAAAGTAAGCCTATACCAAAACGACATTTCTTGTACACTCACTTGAGATGAATAGCTACTTGGGGGATAAAGTGAACCAATGAAGAGTAGAAATATTTGAATGGAGGTTGGTTGGTTGGTTTGTTGTTTAACGCCGCACTCAGCAATATTCCAGCTATATGACGGCGGTCTGTAAATAATCGGGTATGGACCAGAAAATCCAGTGATTGACATCATGAGCATCGATCCACGCAATTGGGATCGATGACATGCATCAACCAAGTCAGCGAGCCTGACCACCCGATCCCGTTAGTCGCCTTTTACGACAAGCATAGTCACTTTTTACGGCAAGCATGGGTTGCTGAAGACCTGTTCTACCCCGGAATCTTCACGGGTCTTGAATGGAGGCAATAATTGCAAACTATCTATAATGATGATATGGATTAATGACATAAGATATTAATGTAAATTGATATTCCATATGTCATCACTAAAATTTGTTAAATTGCCACGTGTATCCAAGGCCTTAATTAACTAGTTGCCTAGCTTTAGCACCATGTGAGGCCAATATAGCAGTATGGTGGTATAATTATTGCGATACCTGCTATACGTTGTTCTCTCTAATGAATATTGTTATCGATGCGAAAAAACAGTCCGATACACTTGGTATCACTACCTGATAAGTATATAAATTAGGTTGGTATCCAGGAACTACTATTAATAATCCCCTTCATCGATACGACGCCTACTTGCTTTAACAAAAATGGTTGTCTGGCTATCCTCGATACTTTAGCTTTTCCAGCGCTTTTGTGAACAAGCATGGCTGAATCATTTGGCATAATAACGATATAATAAATGAGTCTGTTCACTCAGACATAGTATTCCTGCGCGGTTCCTTGAATTAATTTTGTGAATGAAAGTATGGTATATTATTCTAAGAATGACATATGAAAATATAGTGTCTCCCTCGTATGTTGCCATATCGTAAAAACTAAGCATTCTTATGTAAGTAAATATTCAAGCGTCAACGCCGGAGAAGTACCAGTCTCCGAAACAGATTCCATTGAGCGAAGAAAAAGGCAAAATGGCGATGAAAAGTACATGACAACTTGAGCTAATATGTCTGTCTTTTTTCAGATCATGTTACAAGACTTCAACGCCAAAAATGCCCAATTTCGCATCCTACCTCAATACAAGGTCAAGTCAGAAGGGGAAGTGGTAAGCAGCTCAAACCAACATTAATACAACTCACCCCCACAGTAATACAAAGGGAATACAGACAGTATATACAACTCATCCCCATAGTTATACAACTCACCTCACAATAATACAACTCACCCCACAATAATATAACTCATCCCCACAGTAATACAACTCACCCCCACAGTAATACAACTCATCCCCACAGTAATACAACTCACCCCCACAGTAATACAACTCACCCCCACAATAATACAACTCATCCCATAGTAATACAACTCACCCCTACAGTAATACAACTCACCCCCACAATAGTACAACTCATCCCATAGTTATACAAATCACCCCCACAATAATACAACTCATCCCAACAATAATACAACTCACCCCTACAGTAATACAACTCACCCCCACAATAGTACAACTCATCCCATAGTTATACAAATCACCCCCACAATAATACAACTCATCCCCAACAATAAAACAACTCACACCCACAGTAATACAACTCACACCCACAGTAATACAACACACACACACACACACACACACAATAATACAACTCACACCCACACTAATACAACTCACCCCCACAGTAATACAACTCACCCCATCAGTAATGCAACGCACCCCCACAATAATACAACTCATCCCCACAATAATACAACTCACCCCCACAGTAATACAACTCACACCCAAAGTAATACAACACACACACACACAATAATGCAACTCACCCCCACACTAATACAACTCACCCCATCAGTAATGCAACTCACCCCACAATAATACAACTCATCCCATAGTAATACAACTCACCCCTACAGTAATACAACTCACCCCCACAATAGTACAACTCATCCCATAGTTATACAAATCACCCCCACAATAATACAACTCATCCCCACAATAATAAAACTCACCCCCACAGTAATACAACTCACACCCACAGTAATACAACTCACCCCCGCAGTAATACAACTCACCCCCGCAGTAATACAACTCACCCCCACAGTAATACAAAAGGAATACAGATAGTATGTACATATAGAGACAGAAGGATAAACGGGAAACAGATAGTATTTCCACATAAAAGCCAAAGGATAAAGGGAAATAAAGAGAGTATATACATATAGAGACAGGGGGAGAAAGGGGAATACAGATAGCATATACATATAAAAACAGAAGGAAAAAGAGGAATACAAAGATTTATAGATGTAGAAACAGAAGGGAATAAAGAGAGTATATACTTGTAGAAACAGGAGGATAAAGGGGAATATAGAAAGTATAATACATATCGAAACAGGAGGATAAAGGGGAATATAGAAAGTATATACCTATAGAAACAGAAGTATAAAGGGAAAACAGAGAGTATATACTTATAGAAACTGAAGGATAAAGAAGAAATAGGAACTATATACATTTTAGAAAATGAGGATAAAGAAGAAATAGGAACTATATACATTATAGAAACTGAAGGATAAAGAAGAAATAGGAACTATATACTTATAGAATCTGAAGGATTAAGAAGAAATAGGAACTATATACTTATAGAAACTGAAGGATAAAGGAGAAATAGGAACTATATACTTATAGAAACTGAAGGATAAAGAAGAAATAGGAACTATATACATTATAGAAACTGAAGGATAAAGAAGAAATAGGAACTATATACTTATAGAAACTGAAGGATAAAGAAGAAATAAGAACTATATACTTATAGAAACTGAAGGATAAAGAAGAAATAGGAACTATATACTTATAGAAACTGAAGGATAAAGAAGAAATAGGAACTATATACATTTTAGAAACTGAAGGATAAAGAAGAAATAGGAACTATATACTTATAGAAACTGAAGGATAAAGAAGAAATAGGAACTATATACATTATAGAAACTGAAGGATAAAGAAGAAATAGGAACTATATACTTATAGAAACTGAAGGATTAAGAAGAAATAGGAACTATATACTTATAGAAACTGAAGGATAAAGAAGAAATAGGAACTATATACATTATAGAAACTGAAGGATAAAGAAGAAATAGGAACTATATACTTATAGAAACTGAAGGATTAAGAAGAAATAGGAACTATATACTTATAGAAACTGAAGGATAAAGAAGAAATAGGAACTATATACATTTTAGAAACTGAAGGATAAAGAAGAAATAGGAACTATATACTTATAGAAACTGAAGGATAAAGAAGAAATAGGAACTATATACATTATAGAAACTGAAGGATAAAGAAGAAATAGGAACTATATACTTATAGAAACTGAAGGATTAAGAAGAAATAGGAACTATATACTTATAGAAACTGAAGGATAAAGAAGAAATAGGAACTATATACATTATAGAAACTGAAGGATAAAGAAGAAATAGGAACTATATACTTATAGAAACTGAAAGATTAAGAAGAAATAGGAACTATATACTTATAGAAACTGAAGGATAAAGAAGAAATAGGAACTATATACTTATAGAAACTGAAGGATAAAGAAGAAATAGGAACTATATACTTATAGAAACTGAAGGATTAAGAAGAAATAGGAACTATATACTTATAGAAACTGAAGGATAAAGAAGAAATAGGAACTATATACATTAAAGAAACTGAAGGATAAAGACGAAATAGGAACTTTATACATTAAAGAAACTGAAGGATAAAGAAGAAATAGGAACTATATACTTATAGAAACGGAAGGATAAAGAAGAAATAGGAACTATATACATTATAGAAACTGAAGGATAAAGAAGAAATAGGAACTATATACATTATAGAAACTGAAGGATAAAGAAGAAATAGGAACTATATACTTATAGAAACTGAAGGATTAAGAAGAAATAGGAACTATATACTTATAGAAACTGAAGGATAAAGAAGAAATAGGAACTATATACATTAAAGAAACTGAAGGATAAAGAAGAAATAGGAACTATATACATTATAGAAACGGAAGGATAAAGAAGAAATAGGAACTATATACATTATAGAACCTGAAGGATAAAGAAGAAATAGGAACTATATACATTATAGAAACTGAAGGATAAAGAAGAAATAGGAACTATATACATTATAGAAACGGAAGGAAAACGGTGAAACAGAGAGTATGTTCGTAGAAATACTACGTACGGCAATACATTATGGGCAGAAAACACGATAGAAATCGTATGCTGCGTATTTCGTTCAAATTTCATTTATCGCTGTTAATTCTACCTAGCTCTACGTTGAAAACACAGTATGATTATCACCTAAACCTAATTTGTAAGTCTCAATGTACAACGACGCACATCAATACTGTTTGTCATTGTTATTTTCCAGGTACAAATCTACGACCAGATCTGTTTCGAGAGTATCAAGTCCCCAGGCCACTACTTCCACGCCAGCACGCCCTTCCAGATAGACACCGCAAACTACGGGTAGGTCTAAACATGACTCCTTGCTACCAAACGGATGCCTGTGCAAGTCTAAACATGGATCATTACCGTATAACTGCTGCCCTTATTGGTCTAAACATGTTTCCTTTATGTATAAATCCTGCCCAAGCAGGTCTAAACATGAATCATTTCTGTATTACTGCTGCCCTTATTGGTCTTAACATGTTTCCTTTTTGTATAAATCCTGCCCAAGCAGGTCTAAACATGAATCATTTCTGTATAACTTCAGCCCATGATGGCGTCCGTTGTACAAAGCGATCTAAGCACTCAGGTGATCCTACCTCCCATACCTTAAATAGAAATACGACAGTCGTAGCACAAAGGTTGTTGTGTAAAACGGCACCCAGATCTAGACAACTCTGTATAATTCCTGCACCTTTGGGACGAAACATGACTCCTGATTGTATACCCCTATCTGTGCAGGATGAACCATGACTCCTTATTGTATACCACCTGTCCGTGAAGGACGAAACATGACTCTTTATTGTATACCCCCTGTCCGTGCAGGACGAAACATGACTCCTTATTGTATACCCTCTGTCTGTGCAGGATGAACCATGACTCCTTATTGTATACCCTTTGTCTGTGCAGGATGAACCATGACTCCTTATTGTATACCCCCTGTCCGTGAAGGACGAAACATGACTCCTTACTGTATACCCTCTGTCCGTGCAGGACGAAACATGACTCCTTATTTTATACCCCTGTCCGTGCAGGATGAACCATGACTCCTAATTGTATACCCCCTGTCCGCGAAGGACGAAGCATGACTCCTTATTGTATACCCCCTTTCGGTGAAGGACGAAACGTGACTCCTTATTGTATACCCCCTGGCCGTGAAGGACAAAACATGACTCCTCATTGTATACCCCCTGTCCGTGCAGGACAAAACATGACTCCTTATTGTATACCCCCTGCCCGTGTAGGACGGAACATGACTCCTTTTTGTTTACTCCCTGTCCGTGAAGGACGAAACATGACTCCTTATTATGCACCCCCTGTCCGTGCAGGACGAAACATGACTCCTTATTGTATACCCCCTCTCTGTGCAGGATGAAACATGACTCCTTATTATACACCCCCTGTCCGTGCAGGACGAAACATGACTCCTTATTGTATAACCTCTGCCCGTGAAGGACGAAACATGACTCCTTATTGTATACCCCCTGTCCGTGCAGGACGAAACATGACTCCTTATAGTATACCCCCTGTCCGTGCAGGACGAAACATGACTCCTTATTGTATACCCCCTGTCCGTGCAGGACGAAACATGACTCCTTATTGTATACCCTCTGTCCGTGCAGGACGAAACATGACTCCTTATTGTATACCCCCTGGCCGTGCAGGATGAAACATGACTCCTTATTGTATACCACCTGTCCGTGCAGGACGAACCATGACTCCTTACTGTATATCCCCTGTCCGTGCAGGACGACACATGACTCCTTATTGTATCCCCGCTGGCCGTGCAGGATGAAACATGACTCCTTATTGTATACCCTCTGTCCGTGAAGGACGAAACATGACTCCTTATTGTATACCCCCTGTCCGTGCAGGACGAAACATGACTCCTTATTGTATACCCCCTGTCCGTGAAGGACGAAACATGACTCCTTATTGTATACCCCCTGTCCGTGAAGGACGAAACATGACTCCTTATTGTATACCCCCTGTCCGTGAAGGACGAAACGTGACTCCTTATTGTATACCTCTGTCTGTGGAGGACGAAACATGACTCCTTATTGTATACCCCCTGTCCGTGCAGGACAAAACATGACTCCTTATTGTATACCCCCTGTCCGTGCAGGACGAAACATGACTCCTTATGGAATACCCCCTGTCCGTGAAGGACGAAACATGACTCCTTATTGTATACCCCCTGTCCGTGCAGGATTAACCATGACTCCTTATTGTATACCCCTTGTCCGTGCAGGATTAACCATGACTTCTTATCATATGCACACACACATCCCACCACAACCACCACGCCCTACATCACACACTGGAACCCAATGCAGTAGTTATATAGGGTTACATTCACGACTCGGGTCAACAGTTTGTTTTGTTTGTTGTTTAACGCCGCACTCAGCAATATTCAAGCTATATGACGGCAGTCTGTAAGTAATCGAGTCTGGACCAGACTGATTGACTTCATGAGCATCGATCCACGCTATTTGGATACGATGACATGCAGCCAAGCCACCCTGACCACCCGATCCCGTTATTCGCCTCTTACGATAAGCATAGTCACCTTTTGCGGCAAGCTTGAGTTTCTGAAGACCTATTCTGAGGCGGATCTTCGAGGATATGGGGTTAACAGTTTGCCCACAGACCCATCGAGATCGTTTCATGCCTCAAAACAAATTAAACAGATGGTGTTGGTATTGGTACATTGTCCACTCTATTACCAAGTCAAGCCCGCCATGTCCCTCTGTCAGACAAACGGAAACTGCTATGTCTCTACAGCACTAGGCAGGACAGAATGATGAATGCGAGCCATTATGTCAGAAGTGAACTCCAAAATTGATATCGACAATAATGTTAGTTCTATATTTAGAATGATTTCTTCAATCAATGTCAGAGGCAATTATTCGCGTGGCTCTACTTTCTCAAAGAGTAACATCCTAAAGTCAAGAATGGAGGCGTTTCTTTGTGGGAGCTATGGCAGATACAAGATAACCATCAAAAGTAAACTACGTAACGAGACCGTTTTGTTTATCGGTCAATCATTCCATATAAAGCGATGGCGTTAGACAACATTTGAACAAGCCCCTTGAATCTATATCAACCGCAAGTCAGTTCCCTGCACTCTTTCGTGTACCAGGATATGGCCTGCTCATCCAGTCACGACATCTCCTGAAGATGCCTGAAGATCTGACTCCCAATTGTTTGGAACCAACACTAAGATGGCTTCGGGCTTGTGAAATTAAAGATTTGATCAAAGCTTGCCCGGAAATAACACGGAAGTAAAGGATCGTTAGAGCAAATGTTGATTAAGTCTTAGACATAAACTGCACCATTAGATTTTATGGCGGAAAACGACACTTTGTTGTTTGTCAGATGAGCTTCTGAGGGCGGATCTGTCAACACGAATTTTCTGTTTGCTTGGTTGCCACGTTTATTAAAGGAGCAGGACTCAACCTCTTAGAAGAGATTACAGATAATTCAGCTAGCAATACCAACTGTTTATTGGACACGCAGTGCAGTAGTCATAAAATAGGGGAGGCACGGGTGGCCCTGTCATCTGCTCAAGGCGCCGCAATTAGCTGTGCAGAGTAGCGTCCCTTGGGCACGCAAAAACATATGATTGCGGGTTCGAATCCCGTATCACCCTTATTATGTTTCTAGGTTTGTTTGCTCCATACCCATGGTTGTTTCACCGAAGTGATAAACGTAAAAGACCTGCATCATTCCGTGATGTAACTGGTCACTCCGTGATGTAACTGGTCACTCCGTGATGTAACTGGTCACTCCGTGATGTAACTGGTCACTCCGTGTTGTAACTGGAATCCTGTTAAAAGCGACGTCAAACCCACCTCACTCACTCATACAATAATCATGGCAGAAATGGCATAACGCTTGCAAGGCCTTGCAAAAAGGATGTTTCTTTATTTTCAAGTGACCAGATCACTAGCACCCCGCCCCCGACCAGATTATTATCGGAATAAGCAATCGTATTAACTGCCCTCATTTTTGAACTTTTCACATGCCTGCATATCAATTGACACTTCAAATATTCAGCCAATAATAGATGGGATTTCAAATGGATTATATCTGAAGTTATGAACAAAGGCGAGTACAACCAATAAAATCCACGTAAAAGCCGCTGTATATATGGATCCATGGCGTCGTACCAGTGTACCTTCATATCCCCTGTGTGTAATTTTACAATGACAACCGTTGATCATGAAGTGGAATTGATAATATTTGCATCTGTATATCAAGTGAAGTTTTCATTTTATGGCTTGCACCCTACAGCTTCTAGCGATCGGAACAAGGAAATTTGGCAGTTAAAATATATGATGCGAATCGGTCCAATAATATATCTGCTACATTGGACAAATGTCATGCCCACCCGAGTTTGTGTCAGTGGTGTGCCTGGTTGATTGTCTCCCGGCGGTTTTGTCACAAACCGTTGCACCGCCTGTTGTCAGCTATACGCCCAGTTGGTCGAACTGTAGGGATTAGGCACCGCTGTGATGCTCAATTTAGCCATCGACTCTAATTTCTAGTGATAAGTGTTATATCCGACAAACCTTTAACCACTGAGCAGTGTATCCGTGTAGCTACTTTGAGGTGGCCACACTGTCTTCTTAACAACTAGCGATGGTTAGTTATCCACATTATGTTTGGTAACCCAGCTAATTGAAATGTGATAGCCATTTATCCACAAACCACTCAATGCTAGTGATGTATCCATCCAAGTGTTAGACAATGGAACTATCTGACTAGATCGTGTTGGACACTGAAGCCACATAATCATGCAGGAACGACCTCACCATACAGTGACGTTGTAACCCCCGCACCACACAGCGATGGACACTGTAACACCATTTTCTCACTCTGAATCTGTATGCAAAGATCTAAATATTAAACAGATGAGCTGGTCTCACTCGTCTCCTTTATTTCTAGCTCAGGTGGCTTAGTTAGTAGAAAGGAATTGGCTAGTTGATAGTAACTGAATGATATCAGATAATCGACATACGAATCTTCCCGAGGCAAGAGAGTTAACTGACTTTAAAAGTCCAGTTTCCACCCTTGCCGAACTTGGCTGGAATTCCTGGGCTCTATCGTAGCGCCACCAGTGGCTATTACGAGTTATGTCCCTTCTGAGCCTCTCCTTTAGACCAATCAGATTCCATCTCTCGTATCACTTGCATTTACTTGAAACAAAACAGTGGCGCCCCGTCAAGACGATCTGATCGATAATCAAGGTCTATGTTGTGATAAAACGAGTCTTACATCGCGCAATGCGTGCGCACCTTGATTAAAAACATGAACAGATTTGGAAAATATCCGTTGACAACGAGTTGGCAGTGCACATGCTTTGCAAATCCTGCAATCGACCGAAATCTGCAGGACAGTTTACGAACCGGATTTCGATTTCGATGCACGATTGTGATTGGACTATGCATAGACTCGTTAGTCCAGCCAAAACGTAACTCCATAATACCAGCCAAGTTCGGCAAGGGTGGAAACTGGACTTTTTAAAGTCAGTTAACTCCCTTGCCTTAGGAAGATGCGACATACGAGGACTTTGCCAATCCGAGCAGAAATTCTGATTCATATGCATAAAGAACCAGATCAGCAAGAATGGGAGCACCATATAGAGACACCATATAGAGATTGCCACTGTAACATCACATCATATAGTAACGGACACTGTAACCACGTAACTGTATCTTGATGCACACTGTGCACTGTCTCATCATCTAACGATAGCCTCTGCAACCAGCTTACCAGTAAGGAAGAGAATTGATGGATGTCAACTTATTTATTTTTTATCATTATAAAGAAATTGATCCATAAATTCTCTTCCTTATGTGTATCACTTCTAAATGCCATTCAAAGACTTGATACAGCTTACCATTGTTTACACAAACAGAATGTCCATCAGACCATTGGTTTTGTGGATAAGTATTCCTTCACTAATTACCGTAAGGGTCAATTGACCGATAGCCATACTGTCCGATGGACAATGTATCAATTAGTATAAAGTGAGGTTGATCGATTGACCACAAACGGAGTGGTTACGTCAATGAATTGCTATCACATCTAATAACGCACTGTCTGTCACCAAGTTAGTTATCGATATATATAATCGATGGACAGTCCATCACTTAGTGGTCAGACAGTCTATTGTATAATCCATACCATGTGGGCCGACGAGTGTATCAATGACAAGTTCATCGTCAGTTGGGTGAAAAGTCTGTTACTGAGATACTGACGTGACAAATAGGAAGTAGAAAGACATCAAATACAGGCTGGGGATTAGGACCGCAAAATAACTTCTTAATGGTGTACGTATGTCTTTGTGTGAGTGTGTGTGTGTGAGAGAGAGAGAGAGAGAGTATGTGTGGGTGTGTGCGTGTGTGGGTGTATGTGAGTTTGTGTGTGCGTGTGTGTGTGAGTGTGTGTGTGTGTATGTGAGTGTGTATGTGTGTGTTTGTGTGTGTGTGTGTGTGTACGTGTGTGTGTGTGTAAGTGAGTGTGTGTGTGTGTGTGTAAGTGAGTGTGTGTGTGTGTAAGTGAGTGTGTAAGTGAGTGTAAGTGAGTGTGTATGTGAGTGTGTGTGTGTGTGTAAGTGAGTGTGTATGTGAGTGTGTATGTGTGTGTGCGTGTGTGTGTGTGTGCGTGTGTGTGTGTAAGTGAGTGTGTGTGTGTGTGTAAGTGCGTGTGTGTGTGTAAGTGAGTGTGTAAGTGAGTGTGTATGTGTGTGTTTGTGTGTGTGTAAGTGTGTGTGTGTGTGTGTGTAAGTGCGTGTGTGTGTGTGTAAGTGAGTGTGTGTGTGAGTGTGTATGTGTGTGTTTGTGTGTGTGTGCGTGTGTGTGTGTGTAAGTGAGTGTGTGTGTGTGTGTGTGTAAGTGCGTGTGTGTGTGTGTGTGCGTGTGTGTGTGTGTAAGTGAGTGTGTGTGCGTGTGAGTCAGTGTGAGTCAGATTATACTTCAGATCACTGCTTCAAGGCACAATACACAATTCTACCTTGAAAGGAGAATATCAAAACAATTATTTTCATAACACACATGTTCAACAATTGTTTACGTTACATGGAACCCGAGGAAGAATTATTTATCCACAATACAAAGAAAACATATTGACATCAAACCCTCTCCGAGAATATATTACACTGAAACCCCTTACACTGAAACCCCTTGCAAATGAAGAAAGAAATGCGAAACTGAAAGCTTAAAACCTGTCTGTACTCAACTTTTGTACACAAAGGCCTGTGGCCTATATGTATTGGAAATGAAATGAAATGAACCCCTTACACATAGAACCCGGCTTTCCGCACGTATCCTGTCAGGATGTCCATGGTTACATATGAATGATTCGTTAATCTGAAACGTCTTTGAAACGGACTTTTCTACGGGACAATACATCGTCCGATTTCACTATTTGGCTTCAAGATATCAACTTGTTTATTTGTTAATAAATAAATTGATATGATTCCAAGGCATTCTATTGGTTTCCTAAGCAATTGTTTTTGCGTTTATTTTTCCATACATAGAAACGAATTTTGGATACGCCCGCTAACGGACTACTTTTTCTTGATATTATGGGCGGGGCTTTTGTTATATTATTGCACTGAACGATGGTGTCACTGCGTTCGTGTTGGTGTTGTCTACAGTTGTATGGGTGTTAATCATCAAATAAGCAATCTGTGTGGTTATTATTGTTGAGGAATTTACAAGAATTGACATCAATATGTTTTTCTTGTGCTTATAGAGGTATAAACGTGAAATAAAGCCGATGTACACTCGTTCCGTTACGCAGTAGGTACTCCGGTTTTTGCGTTTAAATCTCCATAAATGCAAATAATCTTGTCAATTTCTAAACGTAATTGTTTTGAGGTGATATTCATACGCATCCACGAAACATTAATGTGTAAAACATGTACGACAGCATCGTTAACAACTGGTCGTACAAAAACAGTCATCATGCGAGTTCATCCATCATCATTCTTATACTAGAGATCATATTTCTCATATATATTTCTTATATAGCTGAAATGTCTCACAGTAAAAAACTTCACGGTATCACAAAGTTTAATGCATAAACATGTTTCTCCCACAGGTCGGAACTTAACCTTGGGGTCGAGCGGACCGGATTTACCCTTGTCCGTTTCTGCAAAGAAAATCCAGAACTCGACCTCTTTGTCAAAGTGCGTATCCACACCATCTCCCAGTGATTCTTAGCTGAACTAGACTTGTAATCAGTCCTAGGGTACAGCCTTATTTAGTCTGTATAAGGTTATGTACCAGCTAGCCAGGAAGTCTTCTCGGCGGTTAGGTTAACGTTATTATATCATATGTAACCGAGTCGACCAAGAAAGTTGATTATGCTCTTATTTTACATCTGATCGCTCTTCTATTGATTTCTACGTAGATAAAGAGCAAACGAGCTCTATTCTGTCTTAATTGTTTTCTATGAATGTATATGCACTATTGTATGTGAGAGCTAGTGTTGTGATGCATGCTTCGAGATTGTTTCTTCTGAACTTAGAGACTTAATATTCAGATAGTACTCCGATGATTTTATTTGCAGCGTGGGATTTGTACAATTCCCAAATACGTCAAGGTAGCTGTTATGGGTATACTACTATGTGTTCTGCTCAGTATATGTCAATATGTCTGTCCGTCCACACGTCCGTCCTCGTCACGGCTCTTTCACTTGGGACCTAAACTCGTAACAATCGTGTATAGGCATGGGTCATGTAGCCTATCTCCTGGTGTCGGCTAACCCCCTCTCTACTGTACCATCTATATCCTGTCACGCACAGTCAACCTGATGACAATATTATGAAAACAAACAATAACAAACAACACGTACACTTTAAATAAAATAAGAAAAGAGTTTGAGAAATACCTTGTAAAATTTACACATATATTTTTTGGTAATTATTTTATAATAGATTACGAGTATTAATAAAAATGGAAATTTAAAACTTCAAATTAAGTTTTTGAAATATTAAATTAAAATTAAAATTTATATAATTTTTTAAGATGTGCGTGATTGGTGAACTAACACCCAGAGGTATCTCTGATGGATCTGGAAGAACTCCGTACTCCACCTGTCAACCCCATGTGCTACTCGCCATATGTACAAATCCCTGTGTGTCATACCATGTCACTTTAACCAGAACTATATGTGTCTAACAGCATTATGTCTAACCTTAACCAGTAGTTGTTTGTGACAGGTTTACTCTTTACTCACAAGCCTAGGCCAACTGGGGGAGCCTACCCGACTCAGTGTCCACCGTGTGCTCAGTGCTACCCCCCCAGTCTATGTGATCAATACCATATAAACATATGCATGCATGCTCCTGTATAAACCACGGCGCTGTGAGCATCACACTTTATATAACCAGTATATAACCATTCGTGTATATCACTTTAAGATATATTTCACTGTTGGATATTTTCTTAAGATAAAGACAGAATATTAGTAATTAAATTTCAAACTTGTTTGTTTACAATCAATTGTTTCTGCATCTGCACTGTACCTCTGTTTCAGGGTGGATGTGCCATACGATTGTTCCACAAAGAACTAGAGGCGTATTTAGTCGCCGAGGGATTATTTGACGAAGAGGTTACCGAGGATGGTATGTATTTATAGAATATTTTTTTCATTTCGCTGGATTGTTTCGAGACATTTTAATTTGCACATGTAACCTCTATTTTGGTTATGTCTGATATTGTAATCTCAAGGAAGCACCTTTGGCACTAGGGTCGTCTGGTATAAACCATTGTATGAAAACATCCACGACAAGACGACTATGACAAATGGGAGTTTCTAGCAGCAAATAATATTCAATTTTCGTGGCAAACTGAATCAATGCGAACATTTTTCAATTTTACGATCAGCTACCATTATAACCAGAGACTGGGATGCTGGTTCATTTCAGTATGTTTGTGCAATCGTTGTGAACGCAATTACTCATGTCAGTGCAACTAGATGAAAGAGGAAGATTGTAAAGATAAGTCGTCATGATGATTACTAAGACAGCTTTTGTCTCGATTTATTTTCCACCGACAAAGGTGAAAATAAACACTGTACTATTGACTCGTATAAAGAACGTTCATGTGTCGTTAGGAACACGAATTACAATGTAGCAATTTTTGAGATGATAAGCGTCCCTTACTATGTTCTGATATGTGCTGGGATGTTCTAATATGTTCTGGTATGTTCTGATATGTACTGATATGATCTGATGCCCTGGTGTAATCGACTTGATATGTTTGAATTGCAATCAGCAAGTTGTGTGATGTGATTCTTCCAGTCCATTTCCGGATCAGAGTGATGGATCAGCACAAGCCTCGAACACTCTCTCCCCCCTCCTCCGGGAACACCTTCTGGCAGATCGAGGCTGAAAACAGTTGTCTCAATGGTAAGATGGGGAGACAGTTGTCTCAATGGTAAGATGGGGGAGACAGTTTTATCCCTGGTCAGTTGGCAGGGACAGTTGTCTCAATGGTAAGATGGGGAGACAGTTGTCTCAATGGTAAGATGGTGAGGACAGTTGTCTCAATGGTAAGATGGGGAGACAGTTGTCTCAATGGTAAGATGGGGAGACATTTGTCTCAATGGTAAGATGGGGAGACAGTTGTCTCGATGGTAAGATGGGGGAGACAGTTTTATCACTGGTCAGTTTGCAGGGACAGTTGTCTCAATGGTAAGATGGGGAGACAGTTGTCTCAATGGTAAGATGGTGAGGACAGTTGTCTCAATGGTAAGATGGGGAGACAGTTGTCTCAATGGTAAGATGGTGAGGACAGTTGTCTCAATGGTAAGATGGGGAGACAGTTGTCTCAATGGTAAGATGGGGGAGACACTTTTATCACTGGTCAGTTGGCAGGGACAGTTGTCTCAATGGTAAGATGGGGAGACAGTTATCTCAATGGTAAGATGGTGAGGACAGTTGTCTCAATGGTAAGACGGGGGAGACAGTTTTATCACTGGTCAGTTGGCAGGGACAGTTGTCTCAATGGTAGGATGGGGAGTCAGTTGTCTCAATGGTAAGATGGGGGAGACAGTTTTATCACTGGTAAGTTGGCAGGGACAGTTGTCTCAATGGTAAGATGGGGGAGACAGTTGTCTCAATGGTAAGATGGGGAGACAGTTTTATCACTGGTAAGTTGGCAGGGACAGTTGTCTCAATGGTAAGATGGTGATGACAGTTGTCACAATGGTAAGATGGGGGAGACAGTTTTATAAGTGGTAACATTGGGAGACAGTGTTATCAATGGTAAGATTGGGGAGGGGGAGTTGTCTCAACGGAAAGGTGATGAGGACCGTTGTCTTAAAGGTAATATGGAGAGGACAGCTATCTCAATGGTAAGATGGGGAGATAGTTGTGTCAAAGGTAAGATGAGGGGCAGTTGCCTTAATGGTAAGATGGTGAGGACCGTTATCTTAATGGTAAGACTGTATGGAAGTTGTCTCAATGCAAAGATGATGGGGACAGTTGTTTTACTGGAAAAGTGGTGGGGAAGTTAAGGGTAAGATAGAGAAGACAGTTTTATCAATGGTACGATGCATTGGCCAGATGCTTTTGAACAGGTACCTTTAATGGGAACACTTGGCTTGACGGTAAGATGACGGTAACGCTTGTTACAATAGTTAGCTAACGTAGATTAGGTGCCTCAATCATAATCGTTGCCTCGTTTGTCAGACGGTGGGGACAGTTTTCTCAACGGGAATATCACGGCATTAGGTGCATCAATGGTGGGATGTCGGCAGTAGTTTGGACAATGGTAAGTTGATGGGAAATAGTTGTCTAAATAGTGAGTCGATCGGGAGCAGTTCTTTCATTGGTAAGTTGATGGTTCCCACAATCATAAGAACAGTTTTCCCTCAGGTACAGAGAACAAGCTGTTCTATATTCGTGCAGGCAGACTAGAGTTTAAACGCGCACTGGACAACAAAAGAAACAGCAGTGTGTTACCTAGATATAGGACCATTATAAGAACTTGAATATCCTTTGATCACGTCTTATTTGTCTCTTTGTTCCAATATGGGGAACAAAGGGGCCTCCAGTTTGCGAGCTAATGTATAAATCAGGCCAGGTAATTACGATTGATTATCAAATACTTCCTTTCTAATTTGGTCGGCTATAAAAAGTTATGATGGAGTAGGAACAAACACAACAGGATGCGTATACAGTTTGATAAGTGCAGAATAAATGTTGTTTATTGGCCAAGCTGATGCAGACTGTCGGGAAATAATGTGACAGGAACATCGTTTTCTTACGATTTCTATGGCATGGTATTGTGTTGATGACTTTGCTCTGACATATTATTACAATTGAATCCCATTTCGCCTGGAGACTGATACGCGGCCTCTGCGTCCGCCCACAATACACTAACACAATCATAATAAACTGCACAGTCGGCAACAAACTGTAGATCTTACGAACGAGAGAATGTTATTACAAAAGTATAATATTGACACTTTATTTCGATTGGAAACGTTATCTACCCAGTGTCAGTGTATTTTATTCCTGCCTGTGTGGTATTTCCAATTATCAACAGACGTTACCTTGAGCAGGGAGTGCCTGACCTGTAGTTTGAAGAGTCTGGCATTCTGTGCCATTAGGGTATAATCATCTCATTCCGTCCTGTTTTATTTACGTGTATACTTTAAAAGTTTGAAAACGCATTATTGTAGTTTAAATGACAAAATACAACCTCTAACCTCGGATAACTCGAAGTATTTACGTAGGCCTTCAGCTACGACAAAACGATGTTTGACTGTATAGATAGACAGATAGACAGATAGACAGATAGATAGATAGATAGATACATATGTGTACGTTGAGTAAAACGACGAAGAAAAGAGTATTTCATGTTTTCGATAGGCATTTGTGACGTCATCATTTGTCCTCTATCATTACTTATCTTTAGTTGCCAAATTGTAACGCCACGTTTTTACCTGAAAATAATACAAGTCGCTTCCCCATTGTTTGATAGAAACTATGCGTATGCGCCCTGTGACGTAAAGTTTGTCTTGTAGGTGAAGTCATTCGGTGGGAGCAGCAGATACGACTGCGCCACATGACGACGCGACGCTACCTCTGCATCGACGGCAACCGTGAGATCTCCCTCATAGAGGACAACGAAGATCCCCGAACAGTGTTCCGGCTTCACTCTGTTCTCAGTGTAAGCTGTCCTCTTTGTGCTTAGCTCTTGGTTATGTCCCTTAGGTGACAGGATCCGCTGTTCGTGGATCGAATCCTGGACTTGAGTGGATCATGATCCTTGGTTTGTAAGCGCCATGTCACCACAAAAGATAATACACGTTTACGATTTGCCTTACTCATCACACAGTGGTGAGGTAACTGGGTTTAACGTCGCGTTCAATTTTATAGCGACGTGGCACGCATGTGTATTTGTGTGTGGCTGCTTGTACTTGTCCGGACTAATGCTGGTTTTATAGAGCTAGTCCACTGAGATATCATGCCACAGTTTAACATGGATACCCAACAGGGTATACAGACTCTGAGCCGACCAGTCCTTGTTTTAGGCCTTAATGCCGAGCGCCAGGCAGGGTATCAACATTACCATATGTTAACGTATTTTGGTATCATGTGGCTAGGATATCGAACCCTGCACCTCCCACTCTCCTGGCAGACGATCTATCCACAGGACGAAGGAGGCGGTATAAAAGTCGTGGTATATATGCAATGCTGTACACGGTGTATCAATCTGTCGGGACTTAATCCAAACTCACTCACTCAAAACCATGTAAGGGGCGGTCGGGTGGCCGAGTGTTTAAAGCGTTCGCTCGTCACGCCGAACACCCAGGTTCGATTCCGGACATGGGTACAATGTGTGAAGCCCATTTCTGGTGTACCCCGCCGTGATATTGCTGGAATATTGCTAAAATCACTCACAATCATATAGGCACAATACATGCAGGAACAGGGGCGGTCGGGTAGCCTAGTGGTTAAAGCATTCGCTCGTCACGCAGAAGACCCGGGTTCGATTCCCGACATGGGTACAATGTGTGAAGCCCATTTCTGGTGTCCCCCGCCGTGATATTGCTGGAATATTGCTAAAATCACTCACAATCATATAGGCACAATACATGCAGGAACAGGGGCGGTCGGGTAGCCTAGTGGTTAAAGCGTTCGCTCGTCACGCAGAAGACCCGGGTTCGATTCCCGACATGGGTACAATGTATGAAGCCCATTTCTGGTGTCCCCCGCCGTGATATTGCTGGAATATTGCTAAAAGCGGCGTAGAACCATACTCACTCACATGCAGGAACTGTTCCTGTGAAATAGGTTCTCAGAAGCCTGTAGACCAATGTCTCAAAACAAGTCCATGAACATTGTTACCAGTTGTTATTCCTCGTTATTCACAATAGGAAATAATCATCTAGTTTTGTCCCAGAACGATGACTATAGTGCATTCCTTGCCGGAATGTTATTTGCTAGCAGCCTTGTTATATTTGATGCAGTGGTAATCAGAAAAACCTTCAGACACTGCCAGTATATTTTTCTATTGACAAAACTCCACACAATACACTGTTATCATTCACGTTGTCCTTACAAAAAAATCGGAAATGTCTGAAGAAATCTGATCGTTTATAGAAATCGATTTTTCCACACGAATAGGTTTCATTTCCGACAATTGTTAGAGACTGGAAACGTTTCTATCTTACCCTCATTTTCCTTTGAATTGATGCTATTAAGTCTAACGTACATGCCCAAAACTGGACTGCATTCAACAAAATAGTAAATTACCAATATTTATGCCCATTAAGAATATGGCAAGAAAGTGAACGGTAGTCAATTGTGTCCAATTACCGTGTCATTCCCACTGTTTCAGGAGAGGGATGAGATCCATTTCGAGAGTTATGCTCGCATTGAGCACGTGCTCACGGGCTTCTGGCTGCACGCGCTCAAAGGTCGGTACTTATCGCTGATTGGTCCAGCCAATACACGTGTTAGTCCCAATTATCAAAGTTCCTTGAGTACTTTGTTCAAAAGAGCCAGTTAACAAGTCACAGAAATATTCATAACGATCGGGTGTATTATTTTCTGATATTTGTTCAAACAAAGACGGTTTGTTAATGCTTAATGCTACATATTGTCTTTTTAAAAGTACAAACGTTTCGTTTCATTTGTTGAAATGTTTGTTTTGCTTTTAGTGTGTACGTGCTGTATCAAAATATAAACTACCTCATTAAATGGGCGCTTTGTGTTAGAGAGACATAACTGCTATGCTGAGCTGTTGTTCTTTCCATAAAAAAAACACAGCTTGACATTGATCGCAATGATCCATCATGTATTTCTCAACTTAAACTGTTTGTCTATTTGTTTTTGTAGAGTCCTTTGAGAACGTGGTCGCGTAGAATCAATTTAAAAGCTCCTTCTCTTTGGATCGTTTGCTTATTTAATCCAAGTTAAACATGCAGTTGGTTATTTATTTTCTAACGTCTTTAGAACATGTATTTTTCCCGAGTAAATTAATTTGGGCTTCCTTGAAATATGATACACTTTTGACGTGCACGGGGTACTCTAAGATACTAGTATATATGGAAAGGCAAGTTTGCTTCCTTATCAAAACAATTAAGACATTCACGTCACCTTAAATTCTGGCGTCCTTTAATAGCCAACTCTTTAATTATTCATGGTTTATAGATTTACTGTTGTGTAGATAGATTGTGTGTTTCAAGTCACTTCCTGAACGGTAGAATTGTACAAGACCTAGAGTACCGTGACCTTGACCTTGACCTCATCTCAAGGTGAAACTACCTGCAGCTCAGGGTATTCTCACCCGTTTCGCGAACTCCCGGTGTCATCACTGAAACCTAACACTGATTTCTGTTTACATTGAGGAATTTGGTTCTTCAATCTTGTTTCAGCACTGTTAAAGGTGTCACTACGGATTGACGTTTTTATTGTCGTGTTTTTTTTCACAGATGAGGACTACATCAGGAAGCAGTTTCGCCAGGTAGATGACTCTCAGGACCAGAGTATGCGGGGACTTCGCTGGGACACCGCTCAAGTCCGACAGGTCAGCAGTATACAAATAATTACTCAAGGTCAAGGTCAAGGACAAGGTCAGTATGCGAAAGCACGGCCCTGAGGTCGCGACCCCTAAGGTGGTCTGATCGGAGCAAGGACGCCGAAGAGTCGGGTCCGAGGGGCCTTGTTTTCGCATAATAACCTCGCCTGGAGTAATTATTCGTTTAGTTATACCGAAATTCACTTAAAGTTGTAACGTTTTTATACCGTCCCCTGTTTAATTACTGTGACTTAGCTGAGAACCGTGAAACGTTCGTACCGGGCGCCATCTTGTTTTCTTGCAGACGAGTCAATATTCACCACGTGACAGGTCAATACTGATCATGTGACGAGTCAATATTCGAGGTCAATGTCAATCACATGATTTCGGGGCCCACATTGAAATGTATTGTTTTGTCACGTGTTACGGATTAACCAATAGAATTGCGAGATCCTTAATAGAGGTATAACAATTGGTTTTAATACCAGCGACGGAAAGGGTTGCACTACATTCACATATACCACTGTGATTGTCTATATGATATACCCAACGTCCTAAAGCAATGTGTTTACCGTTACACAGCTGAGCAAGGGAAATAGGAAACTTGAAATCAATAGTAGATGACATGACGTCATTTTACCTTGAAGATGAATGACAGGAAATGAAATTAGGAAACGGATTAGGCATGGAACCATAGCAAATAACCCCTTTCAGAAAAATGCAATACAAACAGCGAGACAAAGAGCAGGATTAATGACATGATGGAACTTTACCTGAGGACATGATTGTAGGGTGTTGGGATGTCAGCCACGCCCGAAGACTTCAGGCATTTTTGTTTCAAACATGAATTTTATATTTATATATAAATGGAATAAATATGTATGTGTGTGTATACTCACTCACTCACTCACTCACTCACTCACTCACTCACTCATTTATATATATATATATCTATATATATATATATATCTATATATATATATAATGGGTAGGTTTCTCGGCAGGATTATTTATTTATTTACACATATATATATTTATCATATAATGGGTAGGTTTCTCGGCAGGATAAAGCCAACGGATAAAAACGATATCCGTTGCGGTCATATGCGGAAAGAGATGCAAATATCAAAGGTCAAGTAGGGACTTCTTTCACTGTTTATAAACAAACATGGCGTCGCCCTCGTCATTCGGCGATCGAATCAGAATTAAGCATCGGGAATCTGGATACACTACAGGGATAATTGCTATCATTATCAAAAGAACAGTTTAGTATACTGAAAATCAGTGTCTAACTGTGACGTAGCGAGGGCACGAGGCCTAGCCAAGCGGGATAAGTAGCCATATCTGTGCTTGTAGACCTCTGCGACTTGAAACCTTCTCCACAAATTAAAATAGTTGGATTTGGCCGAAATATATTTGAAGTGTTACCTTGTTTGGTTTTGTCGCTGTGTGTACATCTGACTACACTTCTTAACGTTATGACAGGACAGACCGATTGTCAAGAACGTCTGACCGTGGCCGTGACGTCTCATAGACTAGGGTTAGAGTAGCTTCCCTTTGGCAAAGGGCAGTTACTCTAGTGCACAGACCGATGGATTGCCGCGAAAGGCAATTAAAAACAATTGTTGTTTTGCGTATTTGTTGCTTCGCCACTGTGTAAGAAACAGATTTCAGTTGGAACTATATTGGCTACTGTCACTGTCCGACTGACACATCACTTATCCTGTGACGTAATAAATATTAATGCGCGCATTCGAGGAAAACTCGCAATGTTTCGGTTATGTTTGTGAGAGAGGGAAAGCGATTTTGAAGCACAGAATGACATTATATGATAAAGATGTTATCACGCTTGTGTGTTTGGGGATGGTAAATATCCTGTACTAGGAATAAACACTATGTATTTAGCTTGCCAAGGCTCGCTAAATACAATGTTTATTCCTAATGCAGGATATTTACCATCCCCTAACACACTCGCGTAATAACCTTTATATATATATATATATATATATATGTGTAATGTATGTATGTATGTATGTATGTATGTATGTATGTATGTATAAAACCTGTAAGCATTTTCAAACAATTTTCATATTGTATCTATGTTATTGCATTTTTATTTTTTTAAACTAATTTCAGTAATAATTTACATTTTGTAAGTGGCTCAAGTCCATCATGACCCTATGCCTGTCTTGTTATGCAGGTTGCCGCCAGTGGGGAGAGCATGTACGACGACGCCTTCACCATACAGTGGGTGGAACAACAGTACGTGGATGACTTTAACTACGTCGGCGGGATGGTGCCGTTCCTGCACAGCCTTATCAAGGACGTGAGTTTCTGCAAACACTGAGACATTTGAACCGGAGTGCCTGATTTAAAATATTGGCATTTTAGGCGAATGTATGGGACATTGGTTTTACTCCAGGACCCTTGACCTTACTCTGAACGTATAGAACATAGGCCCATCTACTTGTGTATAGAACATAGGTCCTTCTACTTGTGTATGGAACATAGGTCCTTCTACTTGTGTATAGAACATAGGCCCATCTACTTGTGTATAGAACATAGGTCCTTCTACTTGTGTATAGAACATAGGCCCATCTACTTGTGTATAGAACATAGGTCCTTCTACTTGTGTATGGAACATAGGTCCTTCTACTTGTGTATAGAACATAGGCCCATCTACTTGTGTATGGAACATAGGTCCTTCTACTTGTGTATAGAACATAGGCCCATCTACTTGTGTATAGAACATAGGCCCATCTACTTGTGTATAGAACATAGGTCCTTCTACTTGTGTATGGAACATAGGCCCATCTACTTGTGTATTGAACATAGGCCCATCTACTTGTGTATAGAACATAGGTCCTTCTACTTGTGTATGGAACATAGGCCCATCTACTTGTGTATTGAACATAGGCCCGTCTACTTGTGTATAGAACATAGGTCCTTCTACTTGTGTATGGAACTTTGGTCCTTCTACTTGTGTATGGAACATAGGCCCATCTACTTCTGTATAGAACATAGGTCCTTCTACTTGTGTATAGAACATAGCCCAATCTACTTGTGTATAGAACATAGGTCCTTCTACTTCTGTATAGAACATAGGTCCTTCTACTTGTGTATAGAACATAGCCCCATCTACTTGTGTATAGAACATAGGTCCTTCTACTTGTGTATGGAACATAGGTCCTTCTACTTGTGTATGGAACATAGGCCCATCTACTTCTGTATAGAACATAGGTCCTTCTACTTGTGTATAGAACATAGCCCCATCTACTTGTGTATAGAACATAGGTCCTTCTACTTGTGTATGGAACATAGGTCCTTCTACTTGTGTATGGAACATAGGCCCATCTACTTGTGTATGGAACATAGGCCCATCTACTTGTGTATTGAACATAGGCCCATCTACTTGTGTATAGAACATAGGTCCTTCTACTTGTGTATGTAGGTCCCAGTACCTGTGTTTAGAACACAGGTCCCAGTACTGGTGTATAGAACAAAGGTTCTACTACTAGTGTATATAACATAGGTCCCACTACTAGTGTATATAACATAGGTCCTTTTACTAGTGTATAGAACATAGGTCCCAGTACCTGTGTTTAGAACACAGGTCCCAGTACTGGTGTATAGAACATAGGTCCCACTACTAGTGTATATAACATAGGTCCCACTACTAGTGTATAGAACATAGGTCCCAGTATAGAAAATGGTTCCCACTACTAGTGTTTAGAACACAGGTCCCAGTACTGGTGTATAGAACATAGGTTCGTTCCACTGGGTGTATAGAACATGGGTCCTACTACTGGTGTATAGAACTCAGGTCCCAGTACTGGTGTATAGAGCACAGTTCCCACCACTGGTGTATAGAACATAGGTCAAAGTGCTGGTGTATAGAACATATTTCCCACTACTGGTGTATAGAACTAAGGTCCCAGTACTGGTGTATACAACAGATCCCACTACTGATGTATAGAACACAGGTCCCAGTACCGGTGTATAGAACATAGGTCCTACTACTGGTGTATAAAACATAGGTTCAAATACCGATGAAAAGAACATAGATCCAACTACTGGTGTATAGAACATGGATTCCACTACTGGTGTTTAGAACATTGGTCCCACTGAGAGTGTACTCCGTGAAGATCCGGGTTAGAATAGGTCTTCAGCAACCAATGCTTGCCGTAAGATGCGACCAACGGGATCGGGTGGTCAGGCTCGCTGACTTGGTTGATGCATGCCATCGTAAATAGAGTATATATCGTATTTTGGTTTGGTGGCACTATTAATGTTGTTACCATTGGACATTTCTCCGCCTTATAGATCACCCCTAACGTTCTCTACTGCACGTATATGTTTACACCTTAACTGTGGTGATAAAAGAGAAAAACAATGTCACCACGTCGCTTCAGTTTTATCTCGCAACAAGTTCCAGAGGCTTTACCCGCGTATGTTCATCCCTCTCTGTAGCTTCAGGACCATGTATTCATCAAGCCTGGAAACTGTTCCATCGGCATTCGAACGATCAGTTACATTGCATTCAATCTCCAACAGGATGCATCAATGGTGGCTTATATCCCCCTTATCAATGGGTGTAGAACAAGCTAATCTGTTGACCAGAACAGGGAAATACATCAATGTCGTTCCAGTGAAGAAGAAATGTTCTTTATAGTTGAAAGGAATCATCCACATTCTCTGTTTCAAAGAAGATACTTTCAACCAGATCTTAAATTGTAACATAAGTTTTGCAATAGTTTTTCAAGAAGGAAACAAAAGAGATTATCATTGATGCTTTATTACAAACGCTCCTAACAGTTTGTATTTTAGTTAGTTTCTTGTATAATTATTGGAAATTGTTTCTGATTGCAATCTCTTCAATTATGCATCCTTATATTGATTACCTGACATTGCACCCAAGGCAATAAATATTTGCAAATCATGACTATGTTTGTTAATATCATGGCCACTATTACGATTCTGTTAACGGAAATGATCGATTTCATTCTATTTCCCGACAGTCGGTGATCAGCTGATACCGCCTCGAGTTTCCGGACAACTTTGTCCAAATTGCTCACGAAATGTGAACGCGACTTTTTCACAAAGGGAAGGGCCAATAAGACACTGATTCTAATGTCATAGCTAGCCTGGAAAAATTTGCATGGCATTTCAGAACGTCGGAGTGATTACAGATTAGATCTAGCCTTAATGTTACATGCTAGTATCGATGTGCATGAGGTCAGATGAGAGGTGAAACACTCAGTCATAGTGGGCAATCAGGTTCTCCATTTAACGTTATTGAAAGTATGGCCAGGAAGAACGGTGTGTTTAGAGGTTGAACACTATCACGTATAGGACATACTGGTGGACAGATTTATTCAACATGTCCATATTTCTAGGAACATAACTGTTTTCTTGGTAATTATGTATTTGGCATCAAAGGAAAATAAAATTTATTCACGAAGAAGGATATTTTATTACATGCACTAAGCTAACATATTGTCTTCGACTGAAAAAGGAACGTGACGTGTTTTTTTAAAATTTTCCACGTCTAAAATGACTGTAAACGCTTGAGCCATCGGTATTGTATGTATGTCGTGCTATCGTAATCCCACAAACGCCTTGTAATATCATGTTACGATTTTATGGAGACAACAGAAATTTTATTATTTAATTCTTTTTTAAATATCACAATGCAGAAAGCAAACTTAAGTATTTCATGGACGGTTCTTGTTTGTCAAACGCTTCAAATATGTTGTTTATGTGATCTGGACTGTTTATTCTCTTGCATTGACGATATATATAACAATGATGCCCCAGAATGTTTGTCAATATTTGGCCAGTTCTATGTGTCGAATATTCACACAGTTCTATAAAGCCCGGAGGCACGGGTGGCCCAGTCGTCTAAGGCGCCGCGATTCGCTGTGCAGAGTTGCGTCCCTTGGGCACGCCAGAAACCTATGATTGTGGGTTCGAATCCCGGTTCGCCCCAATTGTTTCTAGGTTTGTCAGCACCATGCCCGTGCTCGTGGGTTTCACCGAAGTGGTAAACGTCTGAGACCTGCATCACTTCGAGCTTTCCTCCCACATTAAGCTGACACGCCGTGATATAACTGTAATACTGTTAAAAGCGGCGTTAAACCCAACTCACTCACTCTATAGAGGCCAGTACATGCGTGCCTGCGTTCATGCGGTTTTTTTCAATCTGTGAGTTGATGAACATGTGTAAGTGAAAATGCATGAGAATTAACATATGCGCGCTTGTGTGTGTCTGTGTATGTTGTGTGTGTATCTTTGTGTATGTGTGTTGATGAACGTATGATGTGCACTTTATAGTCAGCAACAGGCTAAGCTGTATCTCGAACCTTATTTCAGAGAGAAGAAGGTCACCTGTTGAACTCAAAGAAGACGCACACAGTCCTAACAGTAAGTTGTCTTGTGGCCTAAACTGACATATATTACTCATGAGTGTGTTGTTAACATATGTGAAGGCGCACATGTTATTCTATAGCTAGTTTCAAGAATGTTGTTTCTCGAGCACAGTAACTGCCGCAGATCAATGAATCTTCTCAATTTTGGTAGATGCGATTCCGTACCCAAATATGAATACGATGTAATGATTTAGGGGACCGACAACGATGTTGATGTACACTCAGCTCACAACTACATATAGGAGTTGGCACCATCTACAACATAACATACCACATTGCATAACGATAGGACAATTTTAGATCGACAGTATTTCATTTAACAATATACTTAGATGGCTGAAAATGGAACGAATGGTTTACACTTTGATGGTTTTTTAATCAGAAATATACCGAATTAAGAAATTCTTTCAAAACACGTTCATAAGATTATAATAATCAGAGCTCCATTAATCAATGTCCCTATTAGTCTTCTAAATAAATTATAAAAGGAATCCAACTCAAGTCTAGATTGCCCCTGTTCTGAAATTAATCATTGTTCTGGGATCTTATTTTATAAGGTTTTTATTTTATATTTTGTAGATACATATATTTTGATAAGATAACGTTATTTTGGGGACTAGATATTAGTCTGCACAGGACTTAGTGTCGAACCTACTGCAGTGTTACAGTGCCTGTATTAGTCATTGTACTGGGTATGTTTCAGGCCATGGAGGAGCTCAGGAAGTTCATGTATGTGAAGGGTGTGACGAGTAAAGGAAGACAGAAGCTCATGAGGAATCTCAGAGTAAGTATAAATGTACACAGTGTACATCAATGAAGTAAGTATATAAGTACACAGTGTACTTCAGTAGAGTAAGTGTATGAATACACAGTATAACCCGATAGTCATGTGAATAGCGAGTTCGGATATATCGAACGTATGTTAAGGATTTGTTTCAAGTTATGATATTCGTTTTTCTCGTACGTGTTTTCTCGTGACATTTATATTACCTTATTTTATTTTATTATCCTATTTTAAAATGATTTTTACCCAATTTACTTTTTTTCGCCAGGTGATCGACTTGCTGGTTCGAACTCTCCAGTGCCCGCTAGACGGTGTCCATGACGAGTCCAACCTCATACAGATCTTCAAGGAAGCCTATGAAATACTGTACACCTACATGATAGGCAAGAGCAGGAAGAACGCCCTCTACTTCGCCAAGTACATCGACTTCTTCCAGACACAGTTCACGCAGAAGGTAGAAGCCATGCTAACTGCCACATGTTGAGACTCATGTGATTTGTGAAACATGTTTCTTTATCTTCCCGAGGCAAGAGTGTTAACTGACTTTAAAAGTCCAGTTTCCACCCTTGCCGAACTAGGCTGGAATTACTGGGCTCGATCGTAGCGCCAACAGTGGTTATTACGAGTTATTTCCCTTCTAAGCTTCTCCTATGGACCAATCAGATTCCACCTCTAGTATCACTTGCATTTGTTTCAAACAAAATGGCGGCGCCCAGTCAAGACGATCTGATCGATAATCAAGATCTATATTGCGATAAAACGGGTCTTATATCGCGAAGTGCACCAAATCACGCGAGCACCTTAATTAAAAACATGAAAAGATTTGGAAAATATCTGTTGACAACAAGTTGGCGGTGCACATGCTTTGCAAATCCTGCAATCGACCGAAATCTGCAGGACAGTTTACGAGCCGGATTTCGATTTCGTTGCGCGATTTGGATTGGACTATGCATAGACTCGTTAGTCCAGCCAAAATACTCCATAATACCAGCTTAGTTCGGCAAGGGTAGAAACTGGACTTTTATAGTCAGTTAACTCCCTTGCCTCGGGAAGAGGTGTTTCTTGAGAGCTTCCAATTTTTTTTCAGTAAAACGCCCTTCGTGAGAACATTACGTTTTAGCCAAACATCCCTCCTGACCTTTCAGTAACACTATCCCCACAATAGCGAGCAACGACATTCGTCATGACAGTATTGTCTCTCAGAAAAAAACGTTCGTCAAGACAGCATTGTATTTCAGTAAAACATCCGTCAAGGCAGCATTGTATTTCAGTAAAACATTCGACAAGACAGCATTGTATTTCAGTAACACATTTGTCAAGACAGCATTGTCTTTCAGAAAAAAACGTTCGTCAAAACAGCATTGAATTTCAGGAAAACATTCCCCTTGACAAAGATTTATTTCAGTAACACATTCATGATAACATTTAATTTCAGCGAAACACGCAATCCTTGTGACAGCATTGCATTTCAGTAAAAGATACGTCAAGACAGACTTGTATTCAGTAATACATTCGTCATAACAGCATTGTATTTAAAAAAACGTTCGTCATATCAGCATTGCACACAGTAAAAGATTCCTCCTGACAAGGATTTATTTCAGTAAAACATTCCTGATAACATTTTATTTCAGTAATACAAACAACCCTCATGGCGGTTGAGTATTTCAGTCAACGTCCATGGTGGCAGCGATGGAGTAGAAGCTCCTATTGAGTAAACATCTTCAAGGCAGCGACACATTCCTCAAGACATCGTTGCGTACCCACATTGTGCTTGGGATATAATCATCCCGAAGAGTGTATTTTTCAGCCTCATATTCTTATTACGTTCTCTAGTGCATTGCGTTTTTAGATATGTTTATTACAGAGTCGTGTTGTGTTTTATGCTTTTCTTGCGCACATGTGTCATCCTATCGTGAAACCAAGCATACCACAATTGCCAGCCTGCCTGTATTAAACATCTCCTTCGCCTTCACCTCCAGGGTGGGATTGGTCTCAATGTGGCGCAGATGATTGTTGAGCTGATCAGAGACAAGAGGAAGATCGTTGACAGGATCACGCATGCGCAGATCAACGAGTTTGTCGGATTATTGGAAAACACACAGGTAAAATAATCTTCACAAGGAATCCTTACAAAAATAAAATGATAACTGAACATGTATTTGGTATCACAGATCTGGTATAAAATATATGCTGAAAGTGGGTGAGTGAGTATGGTTTTACGCCGCTTATAGTAACATTCCAGCAATATCACAGCGGGGAACATCGGAAATGGGCTTCACACGTTGAACCCATGTGGGAATTTGAATGAAAGTGGGGGGCACGGGTGGCCCAGTCGTTTAAGGCGCCGCGATTCGCTGTGCAGAGTTGCGTCCCTTGGGCACGAAAGAAACGTATGATTGTGGGTTCGATTCCCGGTTCGCCCCGATTATGTTTCTAGGTTTGTCAGCACCATACCCTTGCTCGTGGGTTTCACCGAAGTGGTAAACGTCTGAGACCTGCATCACTTCGGCCTTTCCTCCGACATTAAGCTGACACGCCGCGACATAACTGGAATACTGTTAAAAGCGGCGTTAAACCCAACTCACTCACTCGAATGAAAGTGTTTATATACTCCAGTAAACGACGTTTATAACGAACATGCTTATAACGAATTGAACGATATAACGAACTTATTTGTTAGTCCCGACCATTTGTTGTATATATGCTGTATGCATGCTTATAACGAACGACGGTTATTACGAACTAAAATCAGTGGTCCCCTCGAGTTCGTTATAACCGTAGTTTACTGTCATTAATCCCCAGAAAAAAGGGAACGGTTGTAGAGGAGGCGTGTGTTTGGTATGAAATTCTATTAACCCAAAAGTGACGCATCCTCAGACACTAATTTGATATCTGTGTCATATTCTCTTGAAATGAAATATGTTTATTAAACGCAGTAAACAATATGTTTTAATATTCCTTCACCCATGTGTTCCTTTACTTTTTTTATGAGTATGTGTCGTGAATCTACAGAATCACCGGTTCCTCGACCTGCTGCACGTGCTGTGTGTGTGCGACTTTGTAGCCATCCCAAACAACCAATCATACATCGTGGAGAGATGGCTGCAGAAAAAACAGGTACAGAAACTCCACAGGGAACCTTGATAAATACCTCCGTACTAGCCATGTCACACTGACCAATGGTCAAAAGGAATTCACTGTCACCCCACTCACTATGGGGTTGCGCCCTAAATGAGGTTAAAAAGAAACTTGTATGCCTATGAATTTGCACTTCAACAATAAAAAATGAAAAACAAAATCGTTTTTAACACGATTTATTTTTTCAATTCACAATCGTCACTTTTAATGTTGGCACTCTTCTCTCGATCTATAGGTAACTCGATATTTTTTAAAGTTTGACTTAATGAGTATATGTTGTCATTGTCCAGCATGGTGCCTACCTGACCGCCAGAGGGCAGGACATCAACCGGCAGCCCAACATCCTGTATATATCAACAACTGCAGGCAAGACGTGGGTGGCGCTCCATGAATTTGTTGATGTAAGTTTAAACAGTTTTTCATCGGACAGGTGTTGCCAGTACGTGTTACTTAGCGTTAGAACGGCGGTATCATCTAGCCCACTTTCTTCAACCAACAACAGCCAATTTACTTTTACCTGCAGCTGTGTCTCTCTCCGTTCTTTTCCAACTGATTCCTATTTGGTCGACTATTCTGAAAATGCATCCTTACCCTACGAAAAACACACCATACAGCGGAACCTTTCCAAACTCAAAACATCAAGCATAACAGCTTTGTTCAGAGGATATGGTTGAAGGGGGATATGACAGGACAAGGGTAATAGCACCTGACGCTGCTGTTTATTGTAATCTGTTTAATCAGTTTGACGATAGATCCCCTTTTCATTAACGCCTAACAATAATATTTTTAAAAATCTAAATGAATTATTCCATTCGCCTAGTAATCGTTAATTTGACATTGTGAAACCATTATTCATAACCTGGTCATTATAGCCTGCAGCAAACGAGAAAATAATTCGCGAAGCTTCAATCTGGCACAGCCCAGTCAGTCAATATGCCTGGATTGGGATATAACAGTGTTGCTTGTAACGGCCCACAGCTTCAGCAGTCGGTGGCCATGTCGCTCAATCAGAGGAGGAACACGTTAACGGCGGTGTCAGTTGCTGATGTCACTGGCCCATCCTCAACACTGTCTTCTTAAAGCCAGTCTCAATGTGATATCCTTTAGCAATGACAAGATGGCTACATATATTGTGTATGTGTGTGAATAGTATGTTGATCTAAGTTAACGAGCGTTGTCTTCACTTCAATATTTCCCACATTGTCCTAATATGCAACAGTCCTAGATATAAAATTTCAAACGTTTTCCTGATATACCACAAACCAAAATGTAATGTTACCAACGATGTCTGATATATCACAAACCTACATATGTTTTCCACATTGTCCTTATATATAACAATACCATGTAATATTTCCGTATAGCCCATTTGTCTAAAGCGCAGTTATGTGCTATGCAGAGTTGCGCCCCTTATGCGTGCCAGTATCCAATGATGTAGGTTCGAATCCCAGATTCGCCCAGATATGATTCTGTATGAGCACCATGTCCGTGATCGAAGGTAGTACAAAGTAGTACACAACTAAAACATGTTTATTTTCCCCCTTTCCTCCCGCGCTTAGCCGATACACTGTGATATATAAGTGGAATACTGTTCAACGCGCCGTTAAACCCGTCATTCACTCACCTTGTATACCCCCACTTGTGTTCCAGGAGGAATCTGCTGTATATGACAAGGACACTCACGACTTCCTCATCCATCAGCTGGATCTGTACAAGGCGCTCTGCTATGTAAGTAAAACGACTTGTATATAAGTATACCCGTGGGCCCATGTATGTAAACATGAACCTCTGGTATATAAGAAATAAATGACGAGTTGGAGTTGTTTATCGGACAATACAACACTGCAGGGAGAATAAACAATTCTCCCTGCAGTATTCTATTTTACGATAAACAACGATCACGAGTCCTTTATTTCTTATAAGATATCAACATTGTGTACAGCCCCTTTACGGATGTTGAAAAAATGTTCAAGCTTTAAAAATATTTTCCCCAATTTTCATAATGATGAGTTCCTGAATAGAATCCAACCAAGGTAATGTCGGACAAGTCCATTTGGCGAAAAGGTGGGTTAAGTATGGGTGGTATTTCCCGCATATTCTCACAATCCTAATGTCTATTATATGTACCTTTTCTCCAAATACCGATATACTGATTGTCATATCTCTCTCACTTTTGGATGCAATCTTTCGGCCACTGCGTTTATCTGCGTAGCCCAGCTACATCTGTGGGGAAAAACTTACTGAAAACTTCCCTATCAAAATAACGTACAATATATGACGTCATTAAGTTGCGTGCGCATATTCGAATCTCCAGAAATGACGTCTCGATAGGACAATGTTTTATCGTAAAATAAATCGCGCTTTGTTCTTCATTGTTCTTTGCGATTTATCACGAAGCTATGCTATATAACGCATAAACAATATGAACAATATGGGGAGGCTGTTATGTATTCATAATGCATGGTTATCACTATTAACATCGGGAGCCTTGGTATAGGTTGTGGTGTACATGTTTTATGTATACACAAAGATATATTGTTACAGTTTTTTACTCAAAAGGCTCGGGTTTGATCATCCATATTGCTAAGATATGCACAGCTCATTCTTTGTGTCCCGCCCACATACAAACGGCCAAGCATTATAAACTATACACCGTTGTTTGATAGTGCCAGAAAATGAAACAAACAAGAAATGGTTATTCGATGGTGATGTATTTGATACGGGTATCATAGGCGACATGACATATATTATATCAATGAATATCTTACAAAACTACATTGGATTCCAATTTCACCGTACACATTAACAGTGTGAATTTAAAAGTGTATACTCGTGCTTTCCTTTGCCCGGCAGGGTACGAACTTAATTTTGTTATAGCGGCGCACTAAAAACACTCACTCATTCACTCCTTCACTCCAATCTAATGTTAAGAACCAAATGTTTTTATTCCTTAAACCATAACTATACGTATAACCACAACTGCCATTTACAATGAACTAGTCTGTAAACCTCGACAGCTTCATTCGGACTGTGAGTCAATATTTTGGATTGGTTAGAACGCTTCCCGTCAAAGATTGCCTTGCACATATTCCAACAAAACGGTTATTATCTTTAACACCGACACATTGATAAAGAAAGATTGATCCTTTCTATTCCCATGGTCTCGTGCCTACTGCAGCACCACTAGATACTGTGTGTATGTGCGGGCTTTATCAATATCCCATCAGGTGGAATATTCAAAAGCACGCAATACAATGAAATGAACAATTCTCGTGAATACGTTATTGCAGAAATGTTCTCCCTCATCGTCTAATTGTATAATAACATTGTCCCATTGGCGAGCTGTCCATAGACAGAAGCTGTTATCAGAGAGTAAATAAATATGCCTCAAGATACTACTGAAAAATTGAAATTGACATTTGTTGCCTATGGGGTTATTCTCCCAACTATATTTGACTAAGGTCTTGTTCAAACAATCCGTGAAGACCTTGGTTTGTTGTCGTCAAACATTCAATTCGATTGTATTTGGTTTTTTAGGAGAGATAGTAATTCGTATTCTAATTTCATGGTGTAGAAATAGTGTTCCACTAAATATCTAGGCCACCTCATTTTCTATGTATGTCTTATTGTATATGAGGTGGGCGTAAGGTAATGCAGATCAACGTTTATGAATAGTGGCACTAAATGTCATAATCTCAAGGGGTACCACAGTATCTATTAACTCATACCGTCTCCAATGAAGTGTGTAGTGGTAGCCCCTTGTGGTTTTTTTGTAATGCAAAAACCTTCGGTTTTATTATGGAAAGGGGTTTGTCGCTATTCGTAATGTGCGGCCAGTGATGGGGGTACGCCCTGCCGGTGTTAAGTGTCCCCACTGACGTTCCTAATTCCAATATGGCTGTATCAAGGGTCACAACGTTGCAATTATGTTTCAATATAGAATCTTGGATTGATAATTATTTTTTATGAATACCTTACTGCAAATGGCCTCTCGATGGCCTAGTGATTTGCGATGTCACCACTGGGCGCTGTGCCGATCCATAGAATTCATGTTTAATAGAACTCTTTAAAAGATCTCTTTCATAGAACTCTTTAATGGATCTCTGTAATAGAACTCTGTAATAGAACGCTTTAACTGTCAGACCTTTTCAGTGAAGATTATTGGGAATGTGTTTGAACATTACGATGTTTTTTCTATCCAGATTCCCGTTCGTAAAAGCAATATAGTGACACATGGTCTTTCATATTCATTTACGATAATACATGAACTCATCTTGTGACAGAAGTGAACCTTTGTCGCATCAACTTCAGTGGAATGTTTTTAGATATGATTCAAAATGGTGAAAATGGTTTTTTTTATGCTTTGCATGTTTGCAGTCGAGCTCCAACTTCAGACAAATGGCAGCATTACATGTAGAACATGCAAGGCGTTAAAACTACATGGACTTGTAGACTTTGTGAAGCAACCGTTTGTTGGCACTCTCAAAAAATGTTTCTTATCGTAGACAAATACCTCAGTATCATTCTGATGTAAAACCATGTGGGGTCTCGGGGTGACCAGAATCTATGTTGTCGTAAGTGTCCACTGCCATGCAATGCATGGTCAGGCTCCGTGACTGATTGGGCGTCATCGTACTCCGATTGCTGGTGCAACAAAGGCTCACTTCATTGTTTTGTCGTTACATAGCTTGCATATTGAGGACTGCGTTACATTTTGTTGTACTCTACGTCAAATGCCGTGTTCCTTGTCGCCAGGGCCGGAACGACTTCGCCATCAACATCATCACAAAGGAGCTACGCTATCTCACCTGGGAAGAAACCTTCCTGTCCATCGGCTCTGACATCCTGCCTGACGCCATCAGAGCCAAGTACTGCGACCTCACCACCAGTAAGATAATTGTTGCATACCCACAAGCCACCCTTCCGTTTGGACACTTGACCCTACTTACCAATTCGCCTACTGTTAACGATCGAACCAAAATTCTTTCAATTCAAAATATGTATTTCCCCTGTGTTCAACACTTCCAAAACGTGGTTGAGTGAGATGGATGTACATGTCAGCAATTTGGATCTTAACAATTTGGGTTTTTTTCAAACGGTTGCTAGTTTTACAATTATTTCACCTTGCTGATGACTCCGTCGGTTTAAACATCAGACAGTCCTTTGATAATTATTTTAAAGAAACGATTTAAACTCGACGACCTGGTAGCCCAATGGCAACATCGTTGGCTCGTCATATAAAAAAAAACGAGTTCCAATTACTATACGAATACGTTGGATGCTCTTTTCTTGTGAAGATCCGGGGTAGAATAAGTCTTCAGCAACCCATGCTTGACGTAAAAGGCGACTGGGCTTGTAGTAAGAGGCGAGTAACGGGATAGGCTGGTCAGGCTCGCTGACTTGGTTGATGCATGTCATCAATTCCAATTGCGTGGATCGATGCTCATGATATCAATCACTGGATTGTCTGGTCCAGACTCGATTATTTAGACCGCCGTCATATAGCTGGAATATTACTGAGTGCGGCGTTAAACAACAAACCAACCAACCAACCAAACTCTTTTCGTGTGTCCCCCGTCGTGATCTATGGTTTGAATATTCCGAAATTGGCCTACACACCAGTAGTGCTACAATAGTGTGAAAGGATCATGTCACACATGGCAAGACGTTCTGCTATGTCTGACATGTACTTGACATAAACCTGATTACCCGGTGTATGATTCCTCTAAAGTACCAATAACCGCATACGCTGCACTCAGAACATCATATATAGGAACCACCCACCTACAACATGGCGAATACACTACACCCGTTTGTGTTTCTTTTTCTGCCTGGTCCGTAACATGATCCTCAGTGTTTCTGTAATTCACGGCTATGCACCGCCTAGATATATACACATTACGTATTTCACTGTATGTCATTGCTTAAAAAGTGTGTTGAAATAAACATGTGAGTGCGCATCTTTGCAACTAAACGTCAGCGATCTGGCAGCGCACCTGTTACGCAGGCAATGAGAAGAAAGACAATCGACATTTTAAAAATCGTACATACAGGTTACGTTTCATTGCGTCGTTCCTAATGGCGAAAGAACATTCTCGATCTCAGATGATGGTATAAAACCTCTTTTCCCTCTCTTCTGTAAGAAGACAAACATTCAAGGAAAATATTTCCTCGCCACGTGACAGCGTCTTGCTGCAGTTGGTGCTTCATGATAGCTCTCATGCGTTTTCTCTGTTTCATTTCTTGGTTGAGATTCTTCGAGCATATTTGGTTATGTTTTGCTGCACGTGATGATTAATCACAGAGAACAGGGATTGTTCACGTGTCTTCCTCGTGACACGGGGCGTGAATGTGTTTGAGACGGCATCTGAAACACGCTACGGCAAAGTGAACATGTTATGTAAGACAATTCTCTATTTTTTATTCATTGTCCGGACCACAAGCATAAACTTCCAGCTGGAACGGGAAGCTTTAACTTTAACCGTCACTTGATAGAAAATGCACATTCTGTATCTAGAGGATACTGTGTTGAATAACATTCTGCTCATGCGTCTTTTTTTCAATCCCCAAAGAACAAACGTGACCTTGACCTTATTAAAAAATCAAATTTGTACAAATCGTAACTCTGTTTAATAACAGTAAATTATCAATCTTACGGAAATTATCAAAAATGTCCTTTTCTATAAATGTATGAATCGATGTTGTGTATGGCCGCACGTGGTGTTTATTTGTTGTTTTACGCCGCACTCAGCAATATTCCAGCTATATGCCTTCGGTCTGTCAATAATCGAGTCTGGACCAGACAGTCTAGTGATTGAAAACATGAGCATCGATCCACGCAATTGAGATCGATGACATGCATCAACCAAGTCAGCGAGCCTGACCACCCGATCCCGTTAGTCGCCTCTTACGACAAGCATAGTCGCCTTTTACGGCAAGCACGGGTTGCTGAAGACCTATTCTACCCCGGATCTTCACGGGCCAGCCGCACATGTGTCAAAGTTTGTGAAAGCATGTGGTTCAGTCACAGTGATGAGACATCACTGATTTCTTTAAGAGGATATCTGGGATACGTCTGTTGCAATGAAGAACAGTTTGTCTGCTGGATGTGCAGGCCAGGTGCCATCAACCACTGGCATTTTTTTTAATTGCATTGGAAGTTGGAACCCTACATACGCGGTGTTTCCTTTCCTTTATCGCTGCTTAGAGAAAGCAGGTTTACAAAGACGAAATGAAAACATTATCACAATGAAGACTTTCCACAAATGTGGAAGGATAAGAGGCAGATAAGAACCAGATGCAGCCAAGTTTACCCTTCTGCATCGTAATCTTAATGAGTGCATTACAATCCGATATTGTAAAAACACTCACGCTGTGAAAAACGTACCTTTTTATACATGCATTCACACAATTAGCCGAGGTGACGGTGAGGATTAGTGTTAGAAAAAGGTTGGCAACTGTGAAAGATGAGAAACATGTGCAGCAACGAAAGGTAGTCACCACCTACGTTATCTTACACAGGACAAAATGTCCGTCTCATCACCCTCCATATAATGTTATAGTGTTTCAGCGCATGTTTCATGATGATTAATGCGACCTGGCTGGGAATACGATACCAGATATGATGGAGGTTTCTTGAGTGACTGGGCCCACTCCGTACTTTATGGGGATATCAACAGTCCTGCTCCAGCCCCGTAGGGCCATCTGCCCTACTCTTTCCGTGCCCAGATAATTACAAGGATACCTGCTTTCTGTCCGATCATCAGTCGGGGCGTATTTGCTTGTTGTTCCTGGGAACTTCTGTAGATGTGCTCGCCTGTGCTTGAAAGAGTTAGTCTAAAAGGTTTCACAGACAGCTTCTGTGGGTCTGCGAGTAGAAGGGCTATTATTGTTCATTTTTCTCAAGAAATATTGCCATGTGGATTGATACATAAACATGGCTCACCCATGTTAATGTGTTCATGTGCTGTTGCGAGTTCAACACGTTGCATCTGGTCCATATCAGTAATTCATTTACGCAAGATTATGGCTGATAGAATAACCGCGACGCCCAAAGGCCGATGTCTTCAACCACGTTTAAAATATAATTATCATTTTTTCATTTTAATCTTAAATAAAGCGACAAAACCTTTTCCATATCCAATAGAAATCTCTGCATTCTGTACTATTCCCACTGTATCATGAGCATGTGTTTATGAATCACTATCAAATAGTGATGATATCAGGTGTTCGCGGAAAGGTAGCGTATCCGACACCCGGCACAAACACATGCAAAGGCAAGTCAATTTTTCACCTGAAAAAAACACCGAAACATTTGGTACAAGTCAAAATAGGGAATTGCATCGGACATAATTTTTGTCACTGATGCGTAAAAAAAACCAACCGCAAAAAAGCAAATGGGAAAGGCTTCGTTAATGATATGACTGTTTTGATATGACCTGACGGTATTATCATCAACATCATTATTTTCACTTGTTTGGTTTCTGTGTGAATATCGTAATATTTTGAACTGTACGTGTGTGTCTTTGTGAAGCCTCACCCCATCCCATTCACCCGCTCTCTTTCATCGACATAAACAACATGACAGTCTTGCTACAACACTTCAAACACTCGTATCTTGCATATCTCCGTTTACTAAGGTTTCTAAGAACAAATTAACACTTTGCCTGGATCAGTAATATATGGAAGACCGTTATGACCACTATTACCACATGTGAGGCCCCTTACAGGCCTGGTACTCTGCCTCGCGCTCTAATCCCATTAGACAATGGCTATATTCCGTGATACTATCTCATATTTCCCGCTACGGGCTATTGTAAAATTGATTTTTGTCCAAGATGCCAGTGCAGTGTTTTGTTATTTTCGTCTATCTATGCCCGCTGCCACTTTGGTGTAATTAACAAGATTGCTGATTACTTGCTCTTGTCACATAAAAAGCCCGTCAGTCTCATCTGGTGAAATCAACCGGGATAAATCAAACAGATTCCTCCTGAAATCTATCTTGCATCTGTCAATAACAAATTTACATGTCCATCAGAAAATCAAATTTCCACTCGATTAATTTCCCCATCGTGTAGGTAGGTCCTGCTGATATGAGTGATTGAATTATTTTTGAAATTCTATGATGTTGGGTATAAGGTGATTAATTGTTGCCCCAAGTTTCAGACTAATTTCTAGTCATGCTGCCATATTTCCATATCAAAAATTTGATTTCATGAAATATTATGACGTAACTTTATATCAAATCAATACTTTTCACATTACTTCTTTCACTGGTTCTTTTAAGGCACAAAGTTATTATCTTTAATACACAGACGCGATTCATCAGTTGATTGGGTTTTTCTTTATTACTCCCTTCATTTTAGTCGAAAAAACATATTCTGAGATATTGATAGATTTGTAATTTGAATTTGGTAAAATATGCATCAGTAATGTGTGTGCACGTTATAAATCATGTTGATTTAAGTACGATGTCAAATGGGGCAATGTGATGGCTTAGTGGTTAAAGCGTTGGCTCGTCACGCCGAATTTCTAGGTTCGATTCCTCATATTCTTGGTTCACTTGGCTCAATCTAGTAGATATAATAAGATAAATTGACAAATTAATAATCGTGTGTTTTTAGTTCAGTTCGTCTATGATACTTATATTAATAAAGGTATGTGTATGTCTAACTCTACCCTTGCTTCCCTCTGTTATTTGGGAATATATTATTCTGTAGCACGATGGTTTGTGTGTACCCATTATGGTAAGTCTCTGTCAGATTTGATTCAAGACTGCCCGGTCCACATGCACAAAGCAATCTTAGCGCTACAATTATTGTAAATCCTTAAGATCGCGATCTTAGGCTTCGGCTACAATCGTCATCCACCTGGGCCCACTTGCACAAAGCGATCTTAACGCTAAGACTAGTGTAAGCCTTTGTTAAAGTATGGGAGTTACGGTCATCTTAGCGCTGAAACGATTGTAGCCTAAGATCATTGTAAGCTACAATCGAAACTTACAATTGGTCCGGACAAATCTTAAGTAGCTAAGATCGTTTTAGTCCCTTAATAAACTTGACAAAATGGTGTGCAAGACTTGGTCTGTTTCACATAAATAATCTGCTTAAGTTCAAACATTGCGTCTCTATCATGTGAAACTTTATGATTCGAATCGACACTTTAACAACATGAAAAACGCACCACAGATTTAACGTCAGAAATATCGTTAATTGCCCTAGTTAACCACATAACTATCGAGTCGATAGCCAAAAGGAATAATCCCATCCGACTCAATGCTGAAAGAAGTGTGAAACAACATACCTTTTCGCTAAACAAGGGAAGGATAAAAGCCTAAGTCGTCTGCAAGCGATTTGTAACGTCCGTGACCTTTTGGATAAATCAAGGGCAGCAAATCTTAGTTTATACTGTAGATGGGAGTGGTTTCCCTTTGTATAAGCCCGTAGAGTACAATCTACCTTACCCTGTGTATTAATGTTGTTGAATCGCTGAGCTCCCCCGATATTTCTTTGGGGTCACATTCGTGTCAGTCATTTTGTCTTAAGTTTATCATTAAATTAATGTACAAATAAATACATGTTGAAGAGCAAAATCATACATGCTTAAATCTAAAATCGAGTGAGACGGGGACGAGCGGTTAAATATCTGAATTTTAAAGAAATGAATACAAGTATTCATCACACAAGCAAATACACATGATAAGACATTTAAAATTTGTGTAAATTATCCAATAAAAAGCAAAAGTAAAATTCACACTTTTTAAAAAATATTATTATTACCAAGTGAATACACATTAAACAACTGCTTTCTCGAAACATTATTCATTATTCTTATTTCCCGTCTCTGTGTTTTTGAAATTCTCCCTCTTTCTGTGTTTTGAAAAGGTAGTCATAACATCCTTTGTTATAGCAACGAAACGAAAACATGAAGGATATATCAAGAATTTTACGAAAAATAAAAATTGTGTCACTAAATAATGTATTTATTCGTATTTCAATACTTTTAATAAAAATACATGAGTGGGTATTTGTCTAGTTGCAATAGAAAACAATTCCTAAATCACGACAGTATTAATGCCGACAAGAATATATGCCATCATTCTAGTAATCGTTTTCTTTAAATAATTGTGACCTTTCTTGAAACTGTTCAAGATGCGATGGAGGGGGCACGTGTTGTTTGTCGTTACCGGTTCCACTTATTGTATGCGCAGCACGCTATGCGCGTTTGCTGACAACTGCAGACAAGAGTCGAGTTTAAGATATTCGTATTTCCACCGTTGAAGATTTCAATCTTAGCTAAGATTGCGATCTTAACTCCAAGCCGTCCTACAATCGCGCTAAGATCGGTTTGTGCAAGTGGAATAGGACCATTGTATGATGATTGTAAAGTTGATTGTAGCCGCCTAAGATTGATTGTAACTAAGATTGTTCTGTGCAAATGGGCCCAGGAACTTCTAAATTTCCAAGACAACAATCACCACAAGCTTAATTTGTTGATTATAAAATTTAAAGACATGAACGTGCATGAGTATGTGTTATAAACTACCCTTACATTTTCATCCCAGGTTTGTTCGTGGACGTCGGCAACAACTACTCGGTGCTAGATCATCCAAACATCTGCTTCGTCTACGACTACGTCGGTTCCAAGGATGAGGAGAAAAGTCAAGGCGACTTTGTAAGTGTTCCTGTCAGATTGTGGTCATCGGTGTTCATGAACATCAGTACGTATTAACCATGTAAATAAAGCGACAAAACCCTTTCCATATCCAATAGAAATATCAGCAAAAAGCAAATAGCGGTGAAAAATATATGAGCGGTTAACTGAAATCAGTGATGACACCGGATGTCCTCGAAAAAGGTGATCCTAATGCCATGACATCAAAACATGGTGTGCTCTATTATATTTCATGAAGGAAAACAGTGAAAAATATAGAAGCAATTAATGTAAAGAATCCTGAAATCGTGCCAGCCCTACCGATAGCACCTGTTTGATCTTTCCTTCTAAATTGAAAATAATCACTTAAATAGTTCGTGTTTTCATATATACGATTACCTCATAAACATTGCCAGTGGCTTGTTGGTCATATACATATACTTTTTTTAAATTCGAAGTTTACACGATATACGGCTTAAACATTAAACGAGAGGTCGGTCGCATGACCGCGAAATTGACGTTCATAAGTGTGTGAACGACACAATTTGACGTTCATACGTTTTTAACGAGACCGTGTTCTTGAAATGACATAAACACTAACGGACTACTTCCACATTCCTGGGGAAACCCTGGGAATTCCATAGCACGAATACATACATTTAAATTACATGGAGAAACGTCAGAGAGTTTGACTTGTTCACATATATTCTCGCTACGACCCATCCTAATGAACCAAACGAAGAAATGCACATCCAAACTGCCATAGTATCGACTCGATCCGTGTCTAGACTGACAGTGACAGTCTACCTACCTTAATGTCTGTTTGACACATCTTTAATCACCTTTCCATGGTCGGCCAGTTGATCAATGATGACTAACACATGTAACCGCCACAGGTTCATTAACAACTTCCGAAATATCTCCCGTCACGTTTATCGTGTCGGCCATTTTGACGTCTTGAACTTGATGTAAATGTATTGCGCTGTCATTGTGACTGTCTTACTGATGTCATTCGTAACAGACCTTTTTCGTCTGAGGATATTATTTGAGTACATTTGTTGTACAGAAACTACAAAAGTTGTCACCGTTGAGCATGTTGAGCATACAAAAGCTCATGTCACCTCTCCTTTTGAGGAACTATTTTATTCAGAGATACATCTGGTTGTTGTATAGCTGTCGGTGTAAACATGAAGTCACATGTACTAAATATAATTGTGTAAAGACAAGGTCTCCGTTCTTTGAGGTAAAACTAGTGATACAAAAGATTATAAGAATTCACTTTCATTGTGTGTGAGTTCGTTAACTATGAACCCTTCTTAGAGTGAGGGCCAAACTGTATGAATGTCAGAGCTTGCGATAAGCATGCACATATCTCACAAACAGTACCTGTTTATTTGATTTGAGTAGTCCCTTTAAATAAATTTGGAAAATTAAAATAAGCACACCAGTAATGCGATATTTCACACGTGAATCAATATAGTAATATGACAAAAATGTATTAAAAATAAAAAGAAGACAAAACATATTTAAATATACGAGTATTTGTCCATCTGGCCGTTGGAATCCTAACATTTATATTGTGTGAACTATTACTGTTTCCAGCACTGAGATAGCACGAAGGAGGTCAAAACATGTTTTGAAATAAACTGGATATTGCCCCTAGCTATCCCATTCATCATTGTTATTAAGCTTCAGAGTATTTACAGTGTTAAGCAAATATTTCCCAACGACATTAAAAGACGGCTTTGTTTGTTTTCCATTAAAACGTAAGTCCTATTATTCTCGAAGAAAGGTAATGAAACGCTTTTGACACAAGTTTAAGTTAACGATTGCAAAAAATGAGAGACGATGAATTCCTCAACTTCAAAGTAGAGACGGCCTCGGCTGTGGTATTACGAGGGTTTCGTTCGCATGCCAGAGTGTGTATAAATTTAGGACTATTCACCGATATGAACCGTATAATGATTCTCGTACATTTGGCCAACACAGTCCATATTGACAGTACCAACCCGTAATTTGATCTCCGCTCAGTATGATAATAATGTGTTTGATCACAATAACCGCCGTGAAACGCATTGTATTGATGAAATAAGTCATGTGTGCTCGACTTCATCGGCGGAGGGCTAAAGCGCTATAACTGTGTATAAATCAAAGAAAGCGTTTTAATTAACGTGCTATGTGGACGTTTTGCGGCTAATCGTGAAGTGCATGTTTAACGATTATATCCCCGTTACAAGGACTTATCCATGACAGGATGCTCGGTAGAGGGCACTGTGTAGCCCAGGTGTATACTGGGAAATAACGCAACGTAATTATGCCAGGGCCGTGCCTATGATCACCATACTAACACTTGTTCCAATGGGAAAGTGTCTGTTCATTGACTAACTGTCAGTTAGCACCCTTCGGGTTTACTCTGAAGTCGGTTAGTGAAAGAGTCCGATCTGGAACCAAACAAGTTGGTCCGTGCAGATAATTAAATGCGCCGTTAAACCGAATGTCTGTTGACCGAATGACTTAGAGGTGCCCGATGTTGAACTCTATTACAGCTTCCGTATACACATATTAGGTATTATGTGGTTTTACTTAGAGTGAGTGAGTACGTTGGAGGTGAACATCCCTCTGAACAGCATTAAAGTAAGGGCATATCAACTGCTTGTGGGCCACCGAAAATGACAATGCTCAGAATTATGTTTAAGACGTCGGTTTAACCCTGCAGCACCGGTATGTCCACTAAAACCAAGGATCATAATTTTGTTAACGGATGAGAAAGTAGACACGATCTATGGATATCAACTTCTTTATTTACTGTAAAGGCGACGTTTCGGTAGAGATCCTTATACCGTTGTCAAGCTTGATAAAGGTATAAGAATCTTTACCGAAACGTCGCATTTACAGTAAATATAAAAGTTGTTATCCATAAATTGTGTACAGGATCTATTTGGTGCGAATGTGAGATTTGCACACACGAGCTGCGGCTCCTGTTTTGATAAAGATACGCAACTCTGCAAAACGAATCACTGCGCCCAACACAACTGAGCCAGCCATTAAGGGGTAACTTGGCAGAAGGATCATAAGTCTTATCTGGTTGCTTATCTTAGCTTAGAAGAGAGCAAAGGTAGAATAAGAACACGACAAACAGTAAAATAATGTTGACACCTTGTGTTTATTTAATTGCTGATCTTATTATTAACGTACTCCATTTTGAAAATCTAATTTTGCAACAAAGAGTCACCTATCTTCATCGACTTAATATCACCGATGTTAACTATCCTCTGTTTCGTACAGTGTAGTTGAGGTTTATACGTATGTCTCAGGTTGTGAAGGAGCTGGTCGCTATCTTCCCCGTGTTGAGAGACTGGATCGCGGAGTTCTTGTCCCAGAACACCTGCATGATTGCCTCGGACATCGGTCACAACATGCTCGTCGAACAGGTAATCCTCGAACTGATCCCTAAGTTGTTTGCAAAGTGTGGGTTCTACCATCTAACACGGTGTGTCTTATCTCATACAGACATGCCTTCATTCCGAACATTTGTATCATTCTTCCTCTTGTCATACTTGTATCAGGACTACAGCCAGCCTTGAATCTTCGCCTTGCAACGACGAACTACATGATGTATCCCATTGCTAGTTTGCAGTAAAATGCCAAAGAATTTTTTCTTAAATTGGATATCTTTACGAGATGTCGAGCAACTTTACATGCAATATATAATCTGCATTTTTAAATGCAAACACAAAACTGGCCTTTGTTGCACAAGCAGCAGTCATACCTCATAGGAACTAAAGGCATTCATGCGGATTAACAAGTGTCCGGATTAAGGAATGGTGAAAGAGGAGTGATGTATATTCTATACAGTGAACCCCTGTTAATCCGGGCGGTGCTGTCCCAAGGAAAATAGTCCCGATCAATTGCCATATTTAAATGGCATCTGGAAAGGGAGATAAGTGGTCACTTTCCGGAATAATGGGGTGAAACTTTAGTCACTTTGTTGATCCACTATGTGAGTCGTTTCTTCCCACAAGTCGACGACTATGGAGCTACATCTCCAGCGGAAGTGTCGTGGTGAACGCAACTCAGATGACACACCTTGCGTTCCACGCTTGTTGTTATTGCCGACAGAATTGAGGATCGGATGGTTAAATTGGCTGCTTTTGCCTCGCGTTCCGATGACGTCAAAAGTAGGCGGGACATCTGTTTCAAAATCGGTATATATTTTTTAAACTGTATTTCCATCTTTATTCTGACAATATTCCTGGCAAATTGGCACCCACTGTCTTGTAAGACAACCCCATGTGCTGTGCATGGTATGTCTGTCACTAAATGTATCTGCATTTCCTAGGTGCTGAGGTTACTGTACCATCTCGTGAAGTTCGGCTACTACCTTGACCTTGAAGACGTTCTGCAACTTCTGCCTCCCCTCCTCAACCTCCTCGACGGCCGACACGACTTCCCCTTCCCAAAGGACAAAGAAAAGGGTGTGTACGATAGACTGTTCTGTATATACACAGTGGGAAAACTCATTACAACAAAGTGTTGGTGTTACGCGTCCAAATCATGAATCTTGTTCTTATGTGAAAGTCACATGTGACGGCTAATCAGAGGAATCAGAGGAATTAAATCTCAAAAGACAAACATGCTCCTTGGTGTCTTGTCTTTGAATCCGAATAGAAAGAGTTACTTCCCTTCCAAAGTCGGAGGTTTTATTATGACTGAAAGAGGGTAACAGACCCAAAAGGTATAAAGCTAGGAGTTTTATATGTTATTCCTCATTTGTGAAAATTGGGATCAGCATCTTCGTAAACCAAGCAATAACAACACGAAATGACAGCATTTGCATCGGTTAAGCATCAAGTCCACTATGTATTTATAGCCCCAGAACACTGTGAAATTAAGACAAAGTGAAAGGCTAATGGTTTGGTGCATAATCTATGCTGACGTAGTAGCTAATGTTGCAGGCTACTCCAAGGAGGCGATGAAGCAGGTGACGCAGTACCAAACGATAGACAGATATGAGAAACACACAGAGACGGAAGCTATCGTCAACGCCAAGTTCCAGTACGTTCCCCTCAGTATATAACAGCGACGAAACTATTTCAATAATCACAATAAACATCTGCTTCAAGCAAAGTCCTCTGTACGATTCCAACCGTCTGATACGTATGCAACGAGGCTTTCTTCTTGTTAATTGTCTTTAGTTCTTATATTCAACTTGAGTTTATGAGACCCATCTCGCTCTCGAGTTTCTTATTCCAGTACACTCCTTTGGTAGAATGGCAATGTTCGAGGACCTGTCGTCAGCCAATCCTAATTCGTGAGGCTGTAGACATTCATTATACTAAACGTGCATCCCCGGTGGTCTACGCCACCTGCATTTAACATACCTTGATGAGATACATGTCATCGAGGTTACTGTACTTCTTGGGATAGTTCTGCATCCCTTTCCGAGCACAAGTATATAAGGGATGAGGTGAAATTGGGTTTAACGTCGCGTCCAAGATTATTGCACTTAAATAGCGACGTGTATACACGTGTGTGTGGCTGCTTGTACTCGTCCGGACTGATGCCGATTTTATAGTGTTTTCCCACTGAGATACCATGCCGCAGTTTAACATGAATACCCCACTCAGACACAGTATACTGACCCCGAGCCGACCAGGCCTTGTTAATGCCGAGCTTCAGACAGGGTTACAACAAGTATCATCTTTTAATGACGCGGCCGTGGATCGAACCCCCGACCTTCCGCTCTCCGGGTGGACGCTCTTCCACTAGACCACGGAGTCGGTCAGGTATATAAGAGCCTCTGCAAAATGCTGCTCTATTGCACACAGTTAAGTTCCCCAGATAAGAGCCTTAAACTGTACCAGAGATTTGTTCCATATTGCATGTACCTATCCTCAAGGAACTACCCTCTCCACAGTTATACAGTTAAACGAGACCGTAGTCCAATCCTATTACACCGGCAATGGTCTCTTAAAGGTAGAAAGGTATACAACATGTTGCCTTTTTACATTCAAATAATCGATATATATGTCAAATGTTATATGTGTATAAAGCTGTTGCTCTGTAAACATGCCCGTTGCTGACCGTTTATCTTATGTCACATATAAGAGTTTCTTGAGTTTATTCAATAAAAATATTTTATAGATTTTCGCACAAGAACTCCAGGTATCGTTTTTTATAGAAATTTAAATTTTGTTGGAACCAGAGGAAGATTGAACAGATCAGAAAATACTTATACAATATACATGTTAGATAAGATTGGCTGGACTTCGATTTAGGAATAATGAGGCTAATGATTGTCAGAGGATATGCCTCTAAGATAATCACGATTTTAACTATGGGATAGAAGATGAATATAGTCTTTCTTTGTCCTAAATTGTTGGATAGGCTTTACTTAGACGTTGACGGATGACAAGGTTGACACAATTTTATGGATAACAACTTCTTTAATACTGTAAAAAGTGACGTTTCGGTATAGATCCTTATACCGTTGTCAAGCAAGACTGAATCAGTTACAGTATAAAGAAGTTGTTACCCAAAATTGTGTCTACCCTTTCTTTGTCCTGCATACAACGAACTTGAAGCGATGTCTTCTGGATATTTTCTGTAGTAATGTTAATATGCATGCACTTAAAAGATGTTTATGTTTATAGCACACGGTGTCAGTTGTTAAGATACTCAGATATATTAGATATAGTCACTACCTGCTGGGAATTGTAACCCCCATATTGTATGTGTGCCTTCCTACATAGAGTGTTTGACATTTCAGAGTGTTGGAGGTTCTTGACCTTCTGCTCACCTATCAGAGGAACTCCCGCCTCCAGGTAAACAACAACACTGATCAGTGTACCTGTTTTGTGTCTTTCGGATAATCGAGACTGGTTATTCTCTGGCGTTGACGTTTTACATTTAACGTCGGATAGTCTAAGGAAAATAATCCTGATTTCTAAACTACTTTTTTGTACACTTGTGTCAACATTTCCTGAGCACAAGATGATATTCAATGCAAAATGCCAAACTATATAACAGATAAGGTTCAGCCAAAACAGAGTTAAAATATTGGTATACTCATCTCCAAAAATAACTGATCGTATAAAGGTAATGATAAGGCTTCACAGAATGATAAGTGTCCTGTTTAAACAGCAGAGCACCGGACCAAGAGACCAGGGTAACTTAATGACATTGTGCTGCGTATTTTTGTTAACAAAGATTATATCTCAACGTGTTTGCAGTTCAAACTGCTGTATACATACAATGGGGACAGAAAATAACTTATCAGTATTCCTAAATCTTACAAGTGGGGTATTCATTGCCAGTCATAATTTTAATTTTAAAGGTTAAAGCATTTTTTATTTTTTTATTTAATTATTTTTTATTTTGAAACGAAATATGTCAAACTTCAACCTAATTAAACACAGGTATGCAATATCTGTATGAAAAGTATTTTCCTTACAAGCCTATATGTATGTCTAATAGTTTCCTCTGTGAATGATTTCTGAGTGGTTCTAGGAGTGCTACTGAATTATATGAAACTTCCTTGCAGAGTTTCATGGGCAAGTTTAAGGTGGCAGAACAAGCGGCAGCTGTGAAGAGGAGCGGGCAGACCTCACTTATACCACTCCTCTTCGATGTCTACAACCCACACGAAACCACAAAGTAGGTGTATCATTGACTTTCAGTAATCGATTCATATAACTGTCATCACTGTTTTGTCTTTTACGCCAAGTGGAATCTGTTTCGGCCCTTATTCGACATTGGTAATTCTCTGGCGTTGCCGTTTTATATAATGTATGTATTATAAAATTATAGGATTTGTTAATTTTTTTAATTTCTTTTAAATAATGCGAGTACTGTTTATCCAAAATCAATATATTGACACACGGGACAATTTTAACTACACTACCCATAATAAGTCAAACAACACACGATAATATGAAAGAAACGGGTGTTCCTTAACTTATTTTGAGTAGTATGGCTAACGGTGTCCTTTTTAGAAGTGTCGAGACAGATGAACTATTGTAATATAAAAGAATCGGGTGTACTTTGACTTCGTTTCAGTGGTAGATATGAAAGAGGGGCGATGAGATAGCCTAGTGGTAAGAGAGTTCACGTGTCGAAGACCAGTGTTCGATTCCCAACATGGGTGCATTGTCTGATGTCCATTCCTTGTATGCCACACCGTGATATGGAGGGGATTTAACTGAAAGCTGCGTAAAACCATCATCTCACTCACATGTGCTGCGCACTCAGCATTGTTCATAGTATCAATCACTGGATTGTCTGGTTCAGGCTTGATTATTGACAGGTCGCTTTCTTTGTTGCAATAGTGCTAAGGGTGGTGTTACACAACACAGCCGATGAGCTCATTACATCCCTGTGTAGACGGCCATGTAGACAATGACAGTATTGTTGTTTGTTTGCTGTGTAACGCCGCACCCAGCAATATTCCGGCGGTCTATATATAATCGAGTCTGGACCAGACAATCCAGTGATTGACATCATGAGCATCGATCCACGCAATTGGGATACGATGACATGCATCAACCAAGTCAGCGAGCCTGACCACCCGATCCCGATAGTCGCTTCTTTTCACAAGCATAGTCAGTCGCCTTTTACGGCAAGCATCGGTTGCTGAAGATCACAGGTCACAGTGACAGTGAATTCAATGTATCGTATGACTTACTACTTTAAAACAACACGTAGACCTACGCTTGATAGAAACACGTTCATGGAGCATCTCCCTAAAAGATGAGGCTGTTGCGTGTATGTATCGTTACAAGAAACCGTTGTCTGTAATTAAATATACAGTAGAGTGGGGAATTAGTTACCCTAATTCTTCATGCTTGATTGGGGACGATGGGCTTGAGATCGATTACAATTAGCCCATCAACTTCAGTTCTCATCGTAAGGAAAACGTCGCAAACCAATTGTTTGATAGAGCGTGTATATTCCATGTATAAGTAATGTATTTATCGTGTTTATGCCATTTATTTGTTTGGTAATTACATGAAAAAATGCAATTGTATGTCTCAACAATAGACATGTAAAACCTTAAGTAAATGACACTTTATATAAAGTATGTCGAACGCTTGTGTTACAGATCTTCAGCGATTAGGCCGCCATTTATTAATAAAGATTTCTGACATGACTGATAGAAGCGTGTCTCCCTGGCAAGTAAAAGTCAGCGTGGTCGTACATGGACACCACCCATTTTACGCCCATTGGAATCTGTTTCGGGGGATAATGGAGAGTGGTTATTCTTAGGCGTTGACATGCTATGTTCACTTCAAGCTTTTTATCGGAATTTACTATCTCCAAAATAGCACGTGATAATTGACATTGTTCAAGGTACTCTCGTGACTCGAGTGGTGACGTTCGATTGAACGTGGCTGTTTGTTGTTTTCGCGGTGGGGTGTTGTTTTTACATGGGCCAAATGGTTATTTTAATGGTTGAAATTGAAAATAATAGTTAACATAGCATGTAATTTAGTATTTATATCCTAGAAAACCATCATCAGGGGTTAAAACGACAAACAGAAAAACGTGAAGCGTTATTTTGCGATCCCATAAATTATTAGCTCAAGAGTTCAGTGGCACTTCTCACGGGAACAGGCTGGTCTAATGGTCTTAGGGGTCCTAATGAACTTACACAGTCCTCAAGGATTCACTGATTGTGAGTTCGAATCCAAGATTCGCCCCGTTCATGACCTTTGGTGTTTTCCTCATCCCTGTTCTCGTGGCTACTTCAACGATATAAACGTCCTTAGCCAGCGTCATTTGCTCTTTTTCGTCAAGCTGACATGCCTTTATATTAATAATATAAACTTAAATACTTCACAAGCAGCCGAAAACGACAATACACCATTCACTTCTTCCAGAGACTTGTTGTTTGTTCCAGGAAGGGGTTGGCCCACATCTCACTACTTCTAGAGACTTGTTGTTTGTTCAAGGAAGGGGTTGGCCCACATCTCACTACTTCTAGAGACTTGTTGTTTGTTCCAGGAAGGGGTTGGCCCACATCTCACAACTTCCAGAGACATGTTGTTTGTTCCAGGAAGGGGTTGGCCCACATCTCACAACTTCCAGAGACATGTTGTTTGTTCCAGGAAGGGGTTGGCCCACCACTCACTACTTCTAGAGACTTGTTGTTTGTTCCAGGAAGGGGTTGGCCCACCAGAAGAAGGTGACGAAGGAGCTGAGAGACATGTTTAATGTGTCAGCCATATTTGATGTGGATCTTCTCACCAAAGTTCTCATGGTAGGATATATCACCTCGATTTACCCACAACCCGGGTATAAAAATCCGTTATTACATTATAACGACTCCACCAGCAGCTGAAACTGACAATAGTATTATTAGAATTCAACATGTATGTATCAATCTCTGGAACGGACCTCTCGAAGCTGTTGCTGTTGGCTATTGTATGATCAGTGCTGATTTATTGACTCCATTACATATCCGCAGTTGCATGTGAGGACATTATACATCCGCAATTGAATGTGAGGACAATATATATCTGCAGTTGAATGTGAGGTCATTATATATCGACAGTTGAATGTGAGGTCATTATATATCCGCAGTTGAATGTGAGGTTATTATATATCCGGAGTTGACAATGATGCCATTATATATCCGCAGTTGAATGTGAGGTCATTATATATCCAAAGTTGAATGTAAGGACATTATATATCCGGAGTTGAATGTGAGGTCATTATATATCCGGAGTTGACAATGAGGTCATTATATATCCACAGTTGAATGAGAGGTCATTATATATCCGCAGTTGAATGAAAGTTTATTATATATCTGCAGTTGAATGTGAGGACATGATATATACGGAGTTGACAATGAGGTCATTATATCTTAAAAATTGAATGTGAGGCTTTTATATATCCGGAATTGAATGTGAGGTCATTATATATCCGGAGTTTAATGTGAGGTCCTTATTTATCCAGAGCTGAATGTGAGGGCACTTTATATCCTGAGCTGAATGTAAGGTCACTATGTATCCAGAGCTGACAGATGACGGGTGATAATATTATTACATGTTCGTTTTACTAATTTATCGGTATATATTAGTCGAATGTGAATTACCGCCGGGTCACTGATAATCTAGTTTACTTTCATGCCAAAGGGTACCGAGTTCCGTCTTATCCTATAAACTATACCCACGGTTAAACGAAATCATATATATTGATTTTTCTTTCTATATGCAGAACATGAAAGCTGCATAAATCAAATTAGACTGTTTAAGAAAATATGTTTGCAGTTTAACCCACAAGCAATATTTCTGCAAAATGGCTGACAGTCTAGAATAGAGAGTTCATCTACGCGAACCGTCTTGTTCCATACGTATTTCTTTCATCAACATTATAATCGTTTATATTACAACTTACTGAATTAATGTTTCTGTTTTATTAACACAAATTAAAGGACCCCAATCCGGGCGTCCCCAATAGTACCGCACAATCCTGTGAAAAGTAAACATGCTGTGTAATTTTAAATTGATCCAACGTTCCTATCGTTATGGATTCCCTTGCTTCTGATGCCGGATTAGACTTGGAACACAAGCACACACCAATACGACCTTCCCTCCGAGTACGCCCGATGTTTAGCTAGCGTATGAAAACGGCGATTAATCAGGGCTAAGCCGTGCCGATATTGGGCCCCGATCGAGTATATTGTATCACATTAATATCCCTGTAAACCTATTGTTTCGTTAAACAACAGAACAGCCAGAGCTTGAAAGTTTGACTTGTTCCGTCTTTAATCTGAATTATATTATCTCTAATATACCTAATTAAGTGCAATCTATCAGTAATAACTTTATCAGAAAGCGCAACGATTTTTGGTTTTTATTGAATAACATTTACTTTGCTGAGAACCAATCCCTGGGTTTCGGTGCTGGCATAACGGCTGATTTAACAAATATTTGGTTATATTCGATTGTGTCATTAAATCACACGTCCGTTATGTCCCGTTATATTGAATTCTATCCCCTGTATTTCTGGTGGATTGGGGCAAGGTTGATCTGATGCGGGGATGGGAGTTGTGATTGGGGGACGACCACTCACACTACTGTGTCAAATTACCAGCTTTCAGATCAAGCGCGGCTTCTAATTTCCTCAAGCCATGTTGCATTTAAAGCGTATTAATGTAATGTAATACTGAAGCGTTCTTTGCGTTATAAGCACCCTGTGTGATCACAGAGGTAGGAGTACGGGGCTTTGGCTTTGGCGGCTCATCGCCGCCAAACCAGTCTACAACGTTGGTTAAAAGATCGTGTTTATTTGCGTTGCATATATTATAGACCTACTCCTCGATCTGTGGTCGATTATTAAATGGTCATTATCCCGAAAAACACGCGTCTCCCTGACGTCACAAGATATTGTTTTATGCATCTCTGTTAGAACTTCTGACATGACACTTTCGTACGAAACAATACAAATGTTTTGTTACCATAGAAACCCATAGTTCTTATACTAATTCCAATATGTGTGTACACGTACGCGTTTAGAAATACACTTGGCTTCTGGTGGCTTATGGTTTTAATGTATTAAATGAAACTTAAAAACAGCTTCATTCTAAATATAAACGACAAAACCGTTTCCATGGCTACAAGAATTCCATTGTACAAGTCCGACCATGCCATGAGCATCACATAGTGATAAAAATAGGTGTTCGCGAGAAGGTGAGCATATCTTGGCTCTCCGATGGCACCCGTCACAAACACTTGCAAAGGCAAGTCAATTTGTCACCTGATTAAGAAAAGTAAAGAAAACGACATTATCGGTCTAAACATTTTTAGTATAATCCGTTTCGGGCATAGCGAGATGTCCTATCATACAGTGACTCATCAATTTGAACTCCGTTATCTCAATGAACCGTTTTAGGCAATTATGGTGCCATCATTATCCCTATCGGGGCGGTCGGGTAGCCTAGTGGTTAAAGCGTTCGCTTGTGACGCCGAAGACCCGGGTTCGATTACCGACGTGGGTACATTGTGTGAAGCCCATTTCTGGTGTCCCCCGCCGTGATATTGCGGGAATATTGCTAAAAGCGGCGTAAAACCATACTCACTCACTCACTCACTCATTATACCTATCGGCATTTCGGGTTAATAAATCGACATTCCGCTTGCCTCGAAAAGTGGGCATACTATCGGTTGTTCCCAAGACTTGAAGGTTTTAGTGTACATCCCAAATGCATTTTTTATTTTTCAGGACTTGTCGCAGTATAAGTACAACAAAATCATCACAAAGTCTCTTAACATCCTCAATAAAGTCTACTCCTCTAAAACCAACATGTTCAAACTCTCCAGCAAAGCTCAGGTACGTTGTTGAAACGATAATACAACTAGAGTCATCTCCAATTAAACCTTTCTATATACAATCAATTTTTCTTTTACACACAATTAAATGCATATTTATATTCCGCTCGACACTGACAGTATCCCTCGTGATTTGCACGTGTGTGTATATTGCAGGTGCTTCTGACCCAGGACTCGGCACGGGTCCACCGAGAGGTCCTCAAGAATATGCCAATCCTTCGGCGACTTGCACGTGCAAAATTGGACGCCCAGCAGGTCAAACTCATGAGCGATATCTTGGACGATCTAGCAGAGTGAGAACATAATCAAGTATTGAATCGGAAAATAGGAACCAGTTTGGATAGAAAGGTTTTGTCCTAAGCGATTGATATCAACAGAAAATATTATCATGTCGAGATAAACTCAGTGACTAGAAAATTGAGGGGGCACAGGTGGCCAAGTCGTCTAAGGCGCCGCGATTCGCTGTGCAGAGTCGCGTCCCTTGGGCACGCAAGAAACCTATGATTGTGGGTTCGAATCCTGGTTCGCCCCGATTATGTTTCTAGGTTTGTCAGCACCATACCCGGGCTCGTGGGTATCACCGAAGTGGTAAAGTTCTGAGACCTGCATCACTTCGGGCTTTCCTCCCACATTAAGTTGACACGCCGTGATATAACTGGAATACTGTTAAAAGCGGCGTTAAACCCAACTCACTCACTCACGACTAGAAAATTGAAACAGTGTCCATCTCGACCGTTATCTAAAGGACCTTACATAACCCTATTAAATTTGCAAAGTTGTATTTGAGCATTTGGAAAACTAGATTTTTTATTTTAGAAACCAAAAGTCTGTGACCAACCATTTCCAAAGAAATTGACTCTTTTGTGTTCTGCAGGTTTTGCCATCTGCCTATGACGCCGGATGAACCTCATCCAATGAACCAGAACATCCTCATCAGTAACGGTTGGTGTAATCACCCCATCATCCTTATAATAACAGCAAATCCCAACCGTGCATTCACATTTGATAGTTGTATCAGTTGGAACCCTCAACTCTTTAAGTGGACTTTCTGTTCCATGGGCACAGCCGCCTTAGACGCCGCAATTCGCCATGCAGAATTGCCTCCCTTTGGCATGTCGGAAACCTGTGATCTTTGGTTCAATTCCCGGTTCGCCCTGATTTTGTTTCTACGTTTGTCAGCACCACACGCATGTTCGTGGGTTTCACCAAAGTGGTAAACATTTAAACCGTCGATCTGTCCTCCAAGATTAAGCTGGAAGGCTGTGAAATAACTGGAATACTGTTCAATGCGGCGTTAAACCCAGCCCACTCACTCACTCTTCACTGTTCCAGGAATACTGAACATCTTGTTTGACATCTTGGTCCAGGATATCGACGTCAAACTGCTGGTAAGTATATATTTTTTTAATCATCGGCTTGCCTGTCCCAGACATCGGAATATGCAGCTGGAATACTGCACACAATTTACTCTCTCACATTATGTAGAAGGCCTTAGTGTATGAGGTACAAATTGAAACTACATCCTAACCAGTCACTGCATCTTCCAGGAACAATACAAGGGCATGCGGGACATCTTCAGGAAGACACTCTACCTCCTCAAGCTGCTGGCCAAGGAGAACGACAGAGTGCAGCATCACATCTTCGAGAGACTGGACGTCCTCCTCGAGGTCCGAGTCGTGGAGTCTGACCTAGCTGTAGCCCTTAGAGAGGTGGGTAGATCAGCCTAGATACAGTCAGAGTCAGAGAGGTGGTACATCTGCCTTGACACAGTCAGAAATGTGGTAGATACAGTCAGAGAGGTGGATAGATCTGTCTTGATAAAGTCGGATAGGTGGTACATCTGACTTGTTACAGGAAGAGAGGTGGAAGACACAGTCAGAGCGGTAGGTAGATCTGCTTTGACACAGTCAGACAAGTGAATATATTTGTGTATAGCTCATAGGCCGGAAAAAAATCTGTCTTGAGCTTCCACCGTTGTTGACATCATACCTGGACCAACAGTGAAGCTTAATAATGATCTTCTGATACTTTTATCGAGTGTTCCAATGTCTTCAGATGCGTTTTACTTATGTCTGCTTCAGGTGTTTTACGGCAACCAGAACACGTGTTTGAAGATCAGCCCCCGCCAGATCCAGAAGGTGGTCAACAGAGCGGCAGAACTTAGAGAGAAGGCTCCCGAGTTCCTGGACCTTCTGCAGATGATTGTCAAGGTCGTGGGCACCGGACTGACTCTGAAGCGGAACCAGGCCTACGTCATGAAGTACATCATGCAGAACTATAAGAAGCTGGCCTACGTGCTTGATCAGTCTCGTGACGAAAGGTGAAGTTGTGCTTTATTGGGGTGCACACAGAAGTAACGGCCCACTCTCTACATGGCGAAGGCCACACATGATGCACATTGAATGAGTCCGTGTGTTATGCTACCTCTTAACATAGCAAGTGCTTAAACCACATGGCTAGCCTGCCTCACCGTTTTAACAAACACATTGAACTTGTTTGAGAGAGAGAGAGAGAGAGAGAGAGAGAGAGAGAGAGAGAGAGAGAGAGAGAGAGAGAGAGAGAGAGATTAACATTATAACACTGGCACAGTCAGGCTGGTAATTATTATTATTATTATTATTATTATATATTCATGTCTTACAGGGAGAAGATCCTGACAGATCAAGACCGTATATCCACGCTGAGGTACTACCTTAGTCTCCTGGATCTTCTGGCAGCATGCGCTGAGGTGAGATCTTGGCCACGACGTGTTGTACTTCATGTTGTGACACAGGGCACTAATAGAATAGAGCACTGTGACTCTACATGTTTACGATCAACGTCTGGATATTATTAAATGAACATAGCTATCTACCCATGATTCGTGATTCCTGAAATTCGTTTATGACCAGGAATGGTACCGCCTGGATCAGTTCCTGTATGACACTCATTCTCACTACATGGAACAGTATGCCATATGGTTCTAAAAACGTGAGTGAGTTGGAGTTCACGCCGCTTTTAGCAATATTCCAGCAACATCACGGCGGTGGATACCAGAAGTGGGCTTCACACATTGTACCAATGTGGGGAATCGAACCCGGGCCTTCGGTGTGACGGGCAAACGCTTTAACCACTAGGCTACCTCTAAAAACGTGAATCGAACTATTTGCCCCAGGTTACACATGTGTTTTGGACATTGGGTTTGCAGTGTTTCTGCGACTGTTTAGAGCCACGTTACGTTCTCCTAACTTTTGTAATTGTTTTGTCTGATCAAATTTTCAAGTGTATACTTTCTTTCGCCCAGCAGTTTATTAACCGGCATACAGTTTAGCCGTGCAGAACCGGTGACCTTGAATGGCTGACATACCGTATTCGACGTAATAAGCGCCCAGGGCGCTCTCAAAATTAGAAATAGGGGGCTCTAGAATATTATTTTAAAAAACAGAGTTGAAAGATACATTTCATGGCCTGAAATGTTTATGTACGACAGATATATTTTTCCAAAATTAAATGCCCATAATTAAGGGTGCGTATAACACACAAGTGCGTATTAAACGCGAATAAATAAGTCTTGTGTACATTGATCAATCGGAAGGGGTGCTAATTGGGATTGTTCACTAGCCAATATCTTAGCAAATGTCGCCGTGGGCGCTAATTAGAGCGGGGCGCTTATTACGTCGAATACGGTACCTGTTTAATATATGTGTCCTGGCATGAACTGAACTCACATTTCCAAAATTCATTTGAGACATATTGACCTCGTGGCACTGCTAACAGAAATGACGTGTTCCTTCTCAGGGGGAGAACATGTTCATTGAGTCCCTGTGCCAGACCATCCTCCCCATGGAAGATCTCCTGTGGGTGCTCAACAACCCCAACGTCGACAACGTCCAGAAGAAGCCGTTCCTGCGTTGCCTCCACCACGTCTACATGAAGAGCAACGGCTCCTCGGTGGACATGGCCAACAGCGAGATCCCGCACGACAGGTACATTGATGACACCTACTTCCTCCGTCTCCTCTGTAGTCACCGACATCTTCTATTCTACCTTCTATGCTATAACATCGCTTCTACTTGCCAATATTGCAGGCCTATAGACACACTCATGCCTAATTCCATTAACACTTCTGCATGGCGATATGAAATCCTAATCGTGATACACTTCATCAATAGGAATTAATGTTACATCTTTGCATTTAGTACAAAGGGATTTTTTAACTTTCCACTTTTACACCGTTTTAAAGTATGTTCAAGCAATAGATGCATGTCTTTGCTCTTATTAATGTTACTCCGTAATGTTGGCGCTCAATGCCTGTGATGTACCGTCTCATGTACCTGTACATATATGTATGTAACTGTGATCTTGTAAAAAATGTGTTCATTAAATATAAAGTTTACCTACGAACTGACAAAAACAACCTGAAGTCTTTCATAGGCATTTACAAGTTGGAGGAATATGAAGACATTAACTTTTATGAATAGGTTTATTGGTTCTGTATTACGACGGTATATGGCTACTTTCTGTCCCTTCATTCACTGATGAAGGTGCAAGAAGTTGCGCCGAAACGCCACGTTTTCAATAACTTGCTTCTTACTCGCCCAGCTTCTACCTACTTATCTTTGCAATGTTTTTTTTCATTAAAGAACTCGATTAAAAATAACAACATGATTGTTACCCCATGGGTTTCAAGGAAGAATGATATTCACCAATATCTCATGTTTGTCGTAAGAACCGAGGAATGAGGATCTGGAGGTCACAATGCGTGACCTTTGTGAGTATGTGTCATCGTACCCTGACGGCGGATCGTTGCTCATGCTATCACTCACTGGCCTGGCGTTTATATTCAGGCCTTCGTGAAGAGCTAGAATAATGTTAATGTTAAACTAACAAACAGTAAATCTACAAAACAACAAAGTTTTTGTGAACATTCGTTTGGAAATTTCTTTTCTTTGGTCATTATGTGGTTAGTTCCCTATCCACGTCAAACCATCCTTCACTTTAATCTCAAGGACCCCAACCCGATCCAGGCCCTCATTCAAGAGCCGACCTCAGGAGGGCAACCCCTCTCTTATTCTTGACAACCCGTGGTAAGATGGCGACCCCTGTGACCTTGACCTGTTGGAGTAACCCTATGACCCCTACCACCTGTGATGTGTGCCTACCATATTTCAGTGTTGTGTTGCAGAAGCATTTCTAGGTTGTTTGTCTTTAATGGTATGGTAGGACTTGTATTCACCTTACTACTCAAGTCTTATAACACTCTGATATAACACAGTCGTCGCCCTGGAAATGCTTCCGAGTTCTATGTGTTTGACAGTTATCCCGAACTTACACGGCGTTTGTGAGATGTCCCCATGGTACTTGAACCACTGACCTTGCCACTGACTTTGTATCTGACCTTGCCAATGACCTTGCCACTGACCTTGTAATTAACCTTTTGTCAGAACTATGCAGAATGACCATACAGTATGTAATGGAACTTTCGTAAAGGTCGACTATTCAGTATCATGTTTGTTTTAAAACAATCCTTTGAAAAATTAGTAATACACATTCATTATTTTATAACTGAGCATTTGTTTTGCAATTCAAAAATCATTCCTAAAGATGTATGTAAACTGGATCGTTGACACATCGGTGTGCGGCGTATTACATGAAACACTCTCACGGCAGAGAACTCACATAACACCAGGTGTTCACGACTCTCATAAGCATGTTCTATTCCGGTAGTAATGTTTGGTTTTCGGGAATCACGAAAACATGTGTCTTGATACTTTTCTACAATGACCACGCGTGCTCGCTGCACGGCCATCAAGATGACACACATGACATAGTTTCATTCTGCATTGGTCTGTCCACCTCCCCCGTGTTCACCCGTGTTTTTCTCCCCTAACACCATTACCACCCCCTTACCTTCCACAGGTAACACCCACCACGTGTCATCAGAGAGCTGTTATCAATATTTATGATAAATTTGGACTCAAATTTGAATCTCGTTTATGTCTAAGAAACTAAAGTGTTTCATATTTTAACATTATCTTCATTGTCCTCTCTCAAAAGTGCATATATATTTTATTGGCTCCTAAGGGATACGTCACGTGTATTGATACCAGCTCCGGTTCGATGGCAGTTTAACTGCTGAAGAAACCAGTAGCACGACCTACATTCCTTAACTCAAGGTCATGGATGAAGGGGAATAAGAACGTCATATTCCCGGAAATGCCATGAACCAAGATGTCACAATTGAACCCACGTTTATTTACTAACATTTTCTAACAGTTTACAGAAAGCACGACCTGCACACGACTTTTTCCGATGGTAAATCTGAGTGTTTTTTGTGCATGTGTGCAGACAACGCATGCAACTATCATGCAATGTTACCCGAGTGCAATCAATGTGCATGCATCAAACCATCACTGCAGACTCATTGTTGTGCATACCAGAGTAGGTGACGCCCAGCGGTTGTAAGACTGCTTCATTGAGAATGTGTGTACGCTCCCCATCCCGTTGTTCCCCGGCATTACACCAAATCCTGGCACAGCGAATCCTGGCATGGTAGTCAGCAGCCAGGCCTGGTATAGTTGTTTCCAGTGTTATGTAGCGGCGGTACACCGTCACACCTGCACAACCCACAGCGGACACGTCCTAGACCTGTAGGTTGTGCCTAGCCTTTGTATTGGTAGTTATGGTCATCTTGAAGCAATACGGCCCAGAGAGGCCATTATGTTAATGTTAGACTAACACTTAGTCATTGAAAACATTTCTTGAAAATATTTATATATTTTTTGGTTTACTTTGATCTAGACTTGCCTAGACGTTTAGTAAATAAAATACCTGAAACATATAAATGCTACAGTCATGGCGCATGACTATGTTAATGTGAACTTACGTACTTTGAACATATCAACTTCAGATATAACCAATAGTTGGTTGTAACGAAATTATTTCCTTTTCATCTCAGTTGTGATCAAAGATATTTGAGGATTTCAAAAACGAATTTTATTCATAAGGAACTGTTCGGGACATGATTAAACACTTTGGAAGAATAACCTTTCTATTCCTGTGAACCATATAATTCAATCTGATATAGCGAATAATCGGTAATAGAGAGGGTAATTTATGAAGGTTCAAGTCAACTCTAGATGTAATGAAATCTGATATACCGCAGATCGGTTATGCCGAATAAAAGAAGTTGTTACGGGACAACGAACTACGGTCAAACGGCATTATAGGTTAGTCGTATATAGGAATGGTCGATGACAGTGAACCCAATTCCAGTGGCAGTCACTGATAATATTCATTTTAACGATCGTTGTATACAACGAACAGATTATGGTTCCATATAGTTGGTAATATTCTGAATTCTATTTAGATTTGGTATGTAACGCCATTACGAACTCTTTTTCAGAATTGGTTGATCACCAGACAGCATTAAGTACCCGATAACATACTCATTCGAAACATCACCGATGACCCCAGTAGATATTTCCCAAAAAGAACCCAAGACACGGTTGATTTACATTATTGTTGATAATCACCGTGAAGGTTATTTATCAACGGTGAGGGTTGTTTTGCTGAGGATCGATGCTGACGTTGCTATGTACTGGTTTGTCCGCTCCAGATCTGATTGCACACTGTAGGCCGCCATCGAGTAGATGATGTTGCTGTTCACCACGCCGTCGTGGCAGTCGCTTAGGTAGCTAGATGACGTTACCGACATGTTGGTCATTTCAGACCTGATTGTAGTTTAGGTCACCATCACGTAGCTGTGATTTTGCTGACTCAGCGTAAACCCCATTTACTCACTAACTGTAGAGTAGGACTTGGACTCGCTGTGTGACTTCATCTAGACACACCATGTCTTGGCTAGGGTAGACAGTGCTGAAATTAACTTCTAGTATGTAACAATGTTGCATGGCAGGCTATAGTCAAAATAATAATTGAACTGACATTACTAGTCTCGAGAAGGAATTATCTAGTTGCTAGGTATGACGTTTTGTTGAGTTACCAGTCCTAGTATTTTCAGGTTTGAGCTGAATAGAACAGCAGTTTGCTTTCTTACGCTTTCTGAGATTGTTGAAGAAATATTTACCATTTATCTTGACTTGATTTCGTAGGGAGTATCTTCAGTACTTTATCAGATATTTTCACAGCTTGGCGTAGAAAAATAGGTTAACGTGTCCGCATTACTATGATTATATATTTCATTATCGCATGTCTTCTTTCTTTCAATATACTCATTAAAATACATAATGATGTGAATCATATTCATTACGACGTTAATAAAGCACCGGTGTTGACATCATGGCCTTAGTGGTAGATATGTGTTGTCTGTGCAAAATGTGGAAACCTGCTTCTGTCCCTTCAGTGAGCTGTGGGACTACCTGTCTTCCCTGTCCATCGAGATTAACAGACTGACTGACAGCATCAAGGAGGATCCGGACAAGATTGCCATCTATCTCAAGACTGCACCTGAGAAAAGGTGGGTGCGGTGTTCATCTGGAAAAAAACTCAGTTGCAGCTTAGATCTGATTGTTTGCAGTTACTTTAGAGAAGGACATGCTTACCCCTTCGCGAACACCTGGTGTCATCACTGATTAATGAGGGTTCGGTCCATGCCGTTGTAATACTTAATGTATTCTCGATGCTAAGAATGACCCTAAATCTATCACCATACTGATGTGTGATATAATTCGTGTCAAGTGAATAGCCTGACTGAGCAGAACTATAAATATCCATTCATTTTTGATTTCGCAATTATCACTTATCTGTTAACCCGCTTGTGCTTGTACTAGATAAGTCAAACAATGAGTGAGTATGGTTTTACGCCGCTTTTAGCAATATTCCAGCAATATCACGGCGGGGGACACCAGAAATGGGCTTCACACATTGTACCCATGTCGGGAATCGAACCCGGGTCTTTGGCGTGACGAGCGAACGCTTTAACCACTAGGCTACCCGACCGCCCCAGATAAGTAAAAAAATGTGGTGTTAATTTATATTGAGTCAAAGTGTCACCCTCTACCCCATGCCTCCTTCCCTGACAGTGGCACGGCACAGACCCAGTTCTTCGAGTCCTCGGCCTACGGCACGGTGCTGTATATCCTTGAAGGAGTGTGTCCGTTCCTGGAGACGTTCTACCGTGACTTCTACTTCCCTGACCAGATCAACCCAGCCGGGAATGAAATAGACGAAACTGACCATCTCGCCAAGGCCGGAGTGGTGAGGACATTGCAGTTTACTTTGTGACTCTCTTGTCACGTCTCTTTCCTGTACAACGTCATGTCACACAACATTATCTTTTTCCAGGGGCTTGGTATAGATGTTTTTTGTGTGTTGTGTAACGGTGGCATTCCTCTGTTTAGGTTGTGCCTAGCGTTGTGTATTGGTAGTTTGATCTGGTCACATGACGATAGCAGTCCGGGCGTGTGTGTGTGTGTGTGTGCGTACGTGCGTGCGTGCGTGCGTGCGTGCGTGCGTGCGTGCGTGTAAACATGTTACCGTTTTGAAGCAAAGCTTGATGAATGCCAATGTACATATAGGTGTATATATCTTAGATGGTAAATGTAAATTACTTAAGATGTTCAATATTTCTTTATGCTGCAGATGTTCAGCGAGATCGTCGGCCCTCTCTTGTACAAGCCCGGCCACATGAAGAACATGGTCAACTGTCTGACCGTCCTCGTTCCCGTGTCCAACATGCCCAACTCGGTGAGTCCCAGTGTCCAACATGCCTAACTCGGTGAATCCCTGTGTCAGACATGCCCAACTCGGTGAGTCCCCGTGTCCAACATGCCTAACTCGGTGAATCCCTGTGTCAGACATGCCCAACTCGGTGAGTCCCCGTGTCCAACATGCCCAACTCAGTGAGTCCCCGTGTCCAACATGCCCAACACGGTGAGTCCCTGTATCTAACATGCCCAACTCGGTGAGCCCCCGTGTCCAACATGCCCAACTCGGTGACTCCCTGTGTCCAACATGCCCAACTCGGTGAGTCCCCGTGTCCAACATGCCCAACTCGGTGACTCCAATTGTCCAACACTCTTCCGTAGTTGAATTCGAGATTGCCGTGATGCGTCGGGGCGGTAGGTACCCTTATGGTTAAAGCGTTCGCTTGCCATGCCTAAAGACCGGTTTCGATTCCCCTCATGGATACAATGTGTGAAGCCCATTTCTGGTGTCCCCTGCCGTGATATTTCTTGAATATTGCTAAAAGCGGCGTAAAACCACACTCACTCACTCACGCTTCCACCTTACTGTAAACATTGTTGTCCTTTTCCCTGCAGAATCTCGAGGTGATCCTGGAGAGGTTTGCGTCTGGCATCACGGTGGAGGACACGTCCAGCGCCATCCGGAGGGTAAGCGTATGAGTAATATGTGAAATCAAGATAAATATTCAAATTATTAAAAATTAATAACCAAATATAAACCCGCACGAACCACTGCGATGCCAACCCAACGAATGTTACCTGTGATGTGTACCAGCCTCCGGGCGTGTCACTGATTCAGTTGCACATAGCCTTGTAATATGTCAAAAGTCCATTTCTAATAAAACGATCCTAATGTTAAGTCTATTATAGACCCGAGCCACAGCACGGAAACACTAAAGGTGGTATATTTCGGATCTCTGAACGCACCTAGGTGATGCGTTGTCACTCGAATAATTGGTATTTGTCCTGTTTGTGTGGCGGTCAGCTGGTGCAGATATTACATTCCTTGTAATTGACCTCGCAGAATTGGCCTTAATCACATCATTTCCGTCTCAGGGTAATATCGAGTACTATTCGTCGGAGGTGGAACTGAACGCCAAGTTCCGGACATTTGCCAAAGGGTGTGCTGTTGTGTTCGCCGGACACAACACTGTCCAGGCTCAGCTCAAGTTCAAGTCAAAGAGAGGTCAGTTGGAAAGCAGGAACATGTTTTCTTTGGTGAATTGTTAATCAATGTCTATTTCGACATATACAAGAGACAGGTACATGGGGGACTCGTTAGGCAGAGTTATGCCCCTTTGTAGTATCAGGCGACGCTGGTGGAGGGTTCGAATTCCAAATTTTGTAAGTGTTCATCTGAAAACATCAAGCATCAAACATGAATAGACGTAATCATATATTATTGGTTATCAAATTGGTAATTGTCTTAAAAGTCTTTGTAACTCCTAAAGCTCTAAGAGGAACCATGGGACAACCTAGGGGTTACAGCGTTGGCTCGTCACGCTGAAAATCCGGGTTCGATTCCTACTTTGAAACAATGTCCATTCTTGAAGTAGCAGACGTAATATGACTAGAATATTGTTAAAAATAATCACCAGCTGAAACGAAAATAGAGTTAACTATTTATGGTAGTTAGGGAAACAATCAGTTTAAACACGTATCAGCCCGCACTTCGTCAGCACACTATTATCCGGAAGTAAAGTGTCTCGCATGTCCCTGTCTAGAATACACGATCCTCGGAGGAGATGAGGAGCTGCCCCTGGGAGAGGAGTTCCAGAGCCTGGTCCGCTGTTTTATTGCTTCTCACGAGAAGAAGCCGGAGAAGAAGTTCTTCCCGTCAGGGAAACTCATTGAGGAGCTGTCGTAAGTTCCACTGATATTGCAAAACATCATTCAGAAAACCATTAAAGGATTGTCGGAGTTACCAGATATGTTCATATGTCAAAACCAAGAAAGTGTAATGTAACTGCATTTATGGAATTGTATATGTCAGACAGTTTTTATTTGGTTTGGTTTCGGATAAAAAAGGTCCGGGCGACCCTTGCCTGTCGTGAAAGCCGACTAACACGAAGACTATTTTTTTGTTTTGTTTCGGATAAAACAGGTCCGAGTGTCCCTTGCCTGTCGTGAAAGCCAACTAACACGAAGATTTTTTGTTTGGTTTTGTTTCGGATAAATGGGTCCGAGCGTATGGCAAGCCGTTTTCCCTTATATTACGGAATTACAGATATCTTCAATTGTTTTAAAGATATCTTGAATTGAATCGAAGATATCTTGAATTGAATTGAAGATATCTTAAATGCAGATAATTGTAGATATCTGCAATAAAATTTAAGATATCACGAAATGAATTAAGGATATGGTGAAGCGTATTACTGATATCTTGAAAAGAATTGCTGATATCTTAAATTCGATTATTGATATCAAAATATAATTTATAGATATCAAATGTCATGTTTTGTTATGATATCAATAATTCAATTCCTGATATCTTGAAACTAAATACAGATATAAATAAATAACAAGTGTTGCCATTATTAAAGATGTTACATTAATAATGTTACTTAAATTAGATAACTGATATCAATAATTGATATAAAGATATCATCAAAATTATTAATGATATCTTTAATTGGATTTTTGATATCAGTAACGGTCAGAAATAATGATATCTTGAATTGAATTAAAGATATCTTGAATTGAATTAAAGATATCTCTAATTGAATTAAAGATATCTGTAATTCATTTGTGGATATGTATAACTTATTTCAAGATATCTTGAATTGAATTTAAGATATCTTGAATTTATTTCTAATATATTTATGTACTGGTAATTGTTTAATGAAATCTTAACTACATTTAGAGATATCACAAACTAATTTGTTGATATCACCGTAACATTTTAAGATATCAGTAATTGTATTACGGATATCAGAAATGAATTTAAGATATCTTTAATTATTTTTTTATATCTTATAAACTTTAGTGATATCTTTAAATAAAATACCGATATCTTTAAAACAATTGAAGATATCTGTAATTCCGTAATAAATGTGAAAACGGCTCGCCATACGAGCGTCCTATGCGTGTCATGAGAGCCGACTAAAATGAAGATCTGATGGTTATGATGTTTGACGTGGCCCATTAGTGTCATGGTACCCTGACGGCGTTGTTTGTTGCTCATGCTATCAGTCACAGGTTTTTGTCTGTCTCGGACACGATTATTCCCAGACCGCAAGGATACGACCGGCGTACCTCTGACTGGGGCGTTACACACCACTCACTTGATCATTCATCTGTCCACCTACAGAATCTCGCTTGACTACAAGAGGCTGACGGAGGCTGCCCGACAGGAGATGGACGACCTGAACATCAAGTGTCTCCAGGTGCTCAGGGCCCTGGTTCACAACGAGGAGAGGAAGCTACCAGAGGACTGGGAAACACGAACAACAGAGACCAAGATCCTCAGGTCAGAAGCAACATGTAACAGTAACCTCTATGACTTACCCGAGTTTACCCGATACAAAAGATAAATGCAAAAATCAAAATATCCTTATGATGTATAACAATAAAAATATAGGTTAATTTGTACATATATGTTGCTCAAAAGAAGTTAAAGAAGTTTTTTTCATATGTCTACAATGAATCTTTCATGACATGACAGATTGACTTTAGTCATATGAAAATGTCGAATGTTCTTTAACTTGTTTTGTGTATATATATATATATCATAAAGAGGTTCACGGTGCTTTTGAACAAGCATTAACTGCATTGACATATGCGTTTCCAATATTCCAATATTGTTCTCATAGGCTAACTATTAAACCGTCATTAGTCCGGACAATCAGACAGAGAGACACACACACACGCACACGCACGCACGCACGCACGCACACACACACACAACCACGCACGCACGCGCACACACACACACAACCACACACACACACACACACGCACGCACGCACACACACACAAACACCTACATGCACGTAGTTATCTAAGTGGAATAATCTTGGACGCCACGTCAATCCTCCTTACACTTCACCCCACAATTACCATGACATAATCTGTGTCCCCAGATCCCTGAAGCTCATAGCCTGTGTACAGAACTTCTACGAGTGTAACGGCGCCATGAAGAAGTCGCTTCCCCACCTGGCGTCCAGAAATGATGAGATCGCCAAGGAAGTCCTTGGCTTCCTCTGCATCATGCTGTTCAACGCCAACCAACAAGTTCAGGTGAGTCACCGCAAAACATTCCTATCACTCACCTTACTAATTAATAATACAGATAGCCCATTAACGTTTCGTTTGGTGATATATGTGTATGTTGCTTCTGTCAAAAATATTTATATAAACTGTTTTTACGTGATTATTTAATATGATTACTTAATATGAGTCAGCTTGAATCCGATGATCAAATTGATAATTATGATTCTTGGTTTGTCAGCACTATATCCCTGTTTGTGGGTTTCACCAAAGTGGTGCTCGTTTAAATAAAGCAACATCCCTTTCCATATCCAATAGAAATCTCTGCATAAAACAGAGTCGATAGTACGATTCCGACTATATCATGAGCATGTGTTTATGAATCAATATTAAATAGTGAAGATACTAGGTGTTCTAGAAAAGGTGAGCGTATCCTTCCCCACCGGTGGCACACGTCACAAACACATGCCAAGGCAAATCAATTGTTCACCTGAAACAAACACGGGAACATACGGTACAAGTGAAAATAGGGAATTGCATCGGACATCATGTTTGTCACTGATGTGCTTTCCTCCTACATATAGACCCCGTGATATGACACACTAATCTGCGGCGTTAAACCACATTAACTCACTATACTGCAGCTGCTTTGTCGAGAACATTAACAGATATATACTGATATATATAGATGATACTTGGGAATATAAACAGTTAATTATGTAGATAAAATACCACTATGACATCATCAAAATAGATGGAAGTTTCAGAAACTCGTTTTGCATTGGACATCACGAACGTGACTGTCGTCTCCATCATTGCTAGACCCACTGAGACTCTCGAGCAGACTTAGAACTCCATGTTTTTTAGGAGCTCGCTAAAATGGTAGTTACAAAATGTGGCGTGGTTTTCTGTATGCGATTGTGCCCCATTGTGCCCCATTGTGCCCCATTGTGCCCGGGCTTCTCACTCAGTCATCCACAGTTTTACCATTTTCATCATTTGGAGGAAGTTGGTGATAACTGGAATGTTGCTGATGATGACATAATTTAAAATTCACCAACCCACATTGTTGGCTTGAACCTCGTTAATCCAGTGTATCAGATATTCATTGCATTGTGAGCATAAGGATATATAAACTGGATAATCGAAAAGGTTGGACAATCAGTTTTTAGAATATCTGTGCACTGACGTTGTAAATGTATTATTTCCAGGAATCAATGTTGAAGTACTTCCTGTCGACGAGGGAGGAGGTATTCTTCATGGCGGTCAGAGACAGAATGGCGTTGTCCACCAACTCCATCAAGGAGAAGTAAGGGCTGGACATAACATCAGACACTCTCAGTACAAGTTGAAATATATACACTAAACTACGGTTATAACGAACACGCTTATAACGAACTGACGGATATAGCGAACTTACTTTTTGGTCCCGACTACTTGCTGTAGTCTTGCTGTATATGTACTTATAACGAACTACGGTTATAACGAACTAAAATTAGTTGTCCCATTGAGTTCGTTATAACCGTAATTTACTGTATAGTATTCCCCAAAATACCAAACCGTCAGAGCAGTGATGGGGTAGTCTAGTGTTTAAAGCGTTTGTTTGCCAGGCCAAACGCGGGTTCGACTCCCAACATGTGTGAAGCCCATTTCTCGTGTTTCCGTGGTGTGATATGGCTGGAATATTGTTAAATGCCGTGAAACAGTATACTGCTCTGTATTGATACTGGAACTAGTTGTTTAGGGTGATGAAAACAAGCACCTCTATGGGTGAGCTAGTCGCTCTTGTGTAATCTAGTGTACTGTATTTTTTAGGTATTTCTCTCTTGTCACAAGGTATTGACTATCCGGGGTGGGTCAGTGCCATGATATATCACACAAGGTTGTACTGGATCATATAATTATGTGAAGGGAGGTGGGGCACCAGGGTCAAGACCCGTGAAGATCCTGGTTCTTGCCGCAAAATGCGACTATGCTTTTACGAGACTAACGGGATCGGGTGGTCAGGCTGGCTGACTTGGTTGATGCATGTCATCGTATCCCAATTGCGTGGATCGATCCTCATGACATCAATCACTGGATTGTCTGGTCCAGACTCGATTATTTCCAGACCTTCCTCATATAGCTGGAATGCTGCTGAGTGCGACGTTAAACAAACAAACAAACAAACAAAAACATGGTCAAAGACAAACGCTAACATATTGCAGAGTCTTGTATCCGCTGATAAAAAACAATCTCACTTTATACACATTGTAATCTTTGGTTTGTCACATCATACCCTCAGAACGTGACACCCCGTTCTGTGACAGAAAACTGTTCAAATCTTTAAACTGTCCCTCTCTCACACATGGTGACCGTGTTGTTGCAGACGGTCCCTGCAGGCGCAGCAGGATGCCAAGATGAAGGACACTCCCGAGGCCGTTGCCAAGAAGGCAACTCACACATTCGTCGTCAGTCTCATGGCTCTCAAGGTAGTTCATGTTACACACGACGGATCTGTATGTTAAGTTTCGGTACTGAAACCAACTCCAACATTTCATAATTTTCCACACAGCACCAGTGTTACATGGTCCGTGAAGTATGTAGTATCTTCTTTGTGAGATGTTATATTATTAGGCGTGTAGAGTAGAACAGTAGCTTATCCTTACTATCCATGTATGCTAGGGTATGTTAATATGTTGTATCCTAGTTCAGAAATACAAAACATTGTTCCGTGGTTATTTCGATTAATCTTAATACCATACTGAAGCAAAGCAACTTTGAGTCAATACCTATGCAAATACATGTTGAATATCAGTGCACAGTTACATTTAATGGGTTATTTGAATTGAAATGAAACATTTCCAGCGGCAAATTAATTCTCCATTCACTTTAGTGTTAATTGCAAATGCAACGCAACATCTATTTTCTCTCCCTGTCCAGAGTTCTAGATGTAGATCATTAGTCTGTCTCACAGTCTCTGAACCATAATCTTTCCCTTCCTCCCGTCTCTAACTGTCATGCAAAATCTCTAAATGAAGCAAGTCTAGATTTGCTTATGCATCTCCCATCTCACTGGGGCTTCTTTTCAATTTTAATGGATTCATTTGTGTCTATCAATATCATATATTTTCAGAGACTATGCGTTCGTCTACTAGATCAAATGTAGCTCAGGAACCTTAAACGATTGTATTGCAAGACAATTCGTATGAAAGTTCAGTGATCGCGATAGTACATATACTCTCGTTCAGAACATGAACTAACTTTCAGGGCAAACGTATTCGCGTTGCTTCATGTATACGTACCAATATACCCTCCATCACTGAAGTAAGCTAGTCTACATCCCGATAATCATTGACAGTTCAACACACAATCATGGAACATTTTAATTCCAAATTGATAAATGACCACGGGTGAAAAGTTTCACTTGGCTTAATTGAAAAAGGAGCCACGAGTATACGTCAACAATGCGCCAGTGCAGACTAATACACTGCTATAAATCACAATTCCCCAGGTGACTATTACCTCTTGACTTTGTGTTCATCAAACTTCACAATTACATAAATGGATTTCCCATGGCAGTAAATTTAATTCTAAGCATGGTTCAGTGTTCGGGGGAAGCTTTGACCTTATGCAGATGAAAGACATGAGTCGCTGCTGCTTGGTATCAATAATTCACATGTGATATGTATGATTTCAATTTCCGCATGCATCACTGGAGTAAGATACATCAGTCATTGTTTTCAGTATTGTCAGAAATGTGTACTCTAGTGTATTAGAAAATGCAACATTAAGGAGATTTAAGAGAAGCTGTAACGGAAATGATATGTTCATCATTGGTTGTTTATTTATTTTTGCAATTCTGCATCCTTTGCATGATAGATTTCATCCGTTTGAACTTGTCGAGTTCAACTAAACAAGTTGTTTCTTTGATCTGTTGCAGCAAATACAAAGTTATGAGGACGCCCTTCGCCAGCAGAGGCTCAGTGGATGGGTAAGACATGTCCTTGTTGGATTCCCCATCGCCCAAGATCATCATTCCTCCTGTTCCCCATTGCCCCAGATCCTCCTTCCTCCTGTTCTCCATCGCCCCAGATCTTCATTCCTCCTGTTCCCCATTGCCCTATATCCTCATTCCCCCTCTTCCCCATTGCCTCAGATCCTCATTCCCCGTCTTCCCCATTGCCCCAGATCCTCAATCCTCCTGTTCCCCATTGCCTCAGATCTTCATTCCCCCTCTTCCCCATTGCCTCAGATCCTCCTTCCTCCTGTTCTCCATCGCCCCAGATCTTCATTCCTCCTGTTCCCCATTGCCCTAGATCCTCATTCCCCCTCTTCCCCATTGCCTCAGATCCTCCTTCCCCGTCTTCCCCATTGCCCCAGATCCTCAATCCTCCTGTTCCCCATTGCCTCAGATCTTCATTCCCCCTCTTCCCCATTGCCTCAGATCCTCCTTCCTCCTGTCCTCCATCGCCCGTGATCTTCATTCCTCCTGTTCCCCATTGCCCCAGATCCTCATTCCTCCTGTTACCCATTGCCTCAGATCCTCATTCCCCCTCTTCCCCATTGCCTCAGATCCTCCTTGCCCCTGTTCCCCATTGCCCCAGATCCTCATTCCTCCTGTTCCCCATTGCCCCAGATCCTTATTCCTCCTGTTCCCCATTGCCCTAGATCCTCATTCCCCCTCTTCCCCATTGCCTCAGGTCCTCCTTCCCCGTCTTCCCCATTGCCCCAGATCCTCATTCCCCCTGTTCCCCATTGCCTTAGCTCCTCATTCCCCCTGTTCCCCATTGCCCCAGATCATCATTCCTCCTGTTCCCCATTGCCCCAGATCCTCATTCTTCCTGTTCCCCATTGCCTCAGATCCTCCTTGCCCCTGTTCCCCATTGCCCCAGATCCTCATTCCTCCTGTTCCCCATTGCCCCAGATCATCATTCCTCCTGTTCCCCATTGCCCCAGATCATCATTCCTCCTGTTCCCCATTGCCTCAGATCCTCATTCCCCCTCTTCCCCATTGCCCAAGATCCTCATTCCTCCTGTTCCCCATTGCCCCAGATCCTCATTCCTCCTGATCCCATTGCCTCAGATCCTCCTTGCCCCTGTTCCCCATTGCCCCAGATCCTCATTCCTCCTGTTCTCCATTGCCCCAGATCCTCACCCCCCCCCCCTGTTCCCCATTGCCCCAGATCATCATTCCTCCTGTTCTCCATTGCCCCAGATCATCATTCCTCCTGTTCCCAATTGCCTCAGATCATCATTCCTCCTGTTCCCCATTGCCCCAGATCATCATTCCTCCTGTTCTCCATTGCCCCAGATCATCATCCCCCCTGTTCCCCATTGCCCCAGATCATCATTCCTCCTGTTTCCCATTGCCTCAGATCATCATTCCTCCTGTTCCCCATTGCCCCAGATCATCATTCCTCCTGTTCTCCATTGCCCCAGATCATCATTCCTCCTGTTCCCCATTGCCTCAGATCATCATTCCTCCTGTTCCCAATTGCCTCAGATCATCATTCCTCCTGTTCCCCATTGCCCCAGATCATCATTCCTCCTGTTCCCCATTGCCAAAGATCATCATTCCTCCTGTTCTCCATTGCCCCAGATCATCATTCCTCCTGTTCCCCATTGCCCCAGATCCTCATTCCTCCTGTTCCCCATTGCCCCAGATCATTATTCCTCCTGTTCTCCATTGCCCCAGATGCTCATTCCTCCTGTTCCCCATTGCCTCAGATCATCATTCCTCCTGTTCTTCATTGCCTCAGATCATCATTCCTCCTGTTCCCCATTGCCCCAGATGCTCATTCCTCCTGTTCTCCATTGCCCCAGATCACCATTCCCCCCGTTCCCCATTGCCTCAGATCATCATTCCTCCTGTTCCCCATTGCCCCAGATCATCATTCCTCCTGTTCCCCATTGCCTCAGATCCTCATTCCTCCTGTTCCCCATTGCCCCAGATCCTCATTCCTCCTGTTCTCCATTGCCCCAGATCATCATTCCTCCTGTTCCAATTTGCCCCAGATGTTCATTCCTCCTGTACTCCATTGCCTCAGATCATCATTCCTCCTGTTCCCCATTGCCCCTGATCCTTATTCCCCCTGTTCCCCATTGCCCCAGATCCCCATTCCTCCTGTTCCCCATTGCCCCAGATCCTCATCCCCCTGTTCACTATTGCCCCAGATCCCCATTCCCCCTGTTCCCCATCGACCCAGATCCTCATCCCCCTGTTCACCATTATCCCAGATCCTCATTCCCCTGTTCCCAATCGCCCCAGATCCTCATTCTACCCGTACCCCATTGAGAGGCCTGTACTCGGGTCTTCTACTGACGCTTTAACCACTTGTCATGTTTCATTATAACAGCATATTAATCATTCACGGAACATGTGTAGGTTTGTACACTGTCAGTTACTTTTAAGAATTCTCAATTAGCGCAGCCCCCTTTAGTCACAGGAAATACACAACGGCATCCTTGGCTGTCAGCCAAACGTTACATTTTTTCTCAATTTCTCAGTCAGAGGTCTGTTATTCAGTTGAAGTTCCTATCCTTACACGTATACTCACGTATCACACCATCCTCTCAGTGGCTTTACAGTGGTCACAGTAATGGCATTGGCATCTCACTGTTTCTGACATAAAATTCGGTCGTGGGTGACGCAGTAGTCCAAACGCTGTGGAGTAGGAGTAGAGGTGTGTTGTAGAAGTCAGAGAAATCACCTTTGAGCTCGTTGATTCCACTTCCGGAATCAACATATTCTCATAATTACGCCATTACTTAACACGCCACGACTTGCGTCGCGTGTTCATTCTGGCGCTGAACCAAACTTTCTCACCTACTCATCAAAAGCAGTTGAGTCATCTGTCAGTATCATGTTTACAGACGAAAAAGAAGGCATCAGCCTCGACGAAGAAGCAAAAAAAGGCCAAGAAGCCTAAGAAACCAAAGGAAGAGAAGAAGAAGGAGCCGAAGAAGTCGAAGAAGGATGCAGCCCAGGCCAACGGCATCAAGAAGGAGGTGAACTTCGCCAACCCTCTGGTGAAGGAGAATGAAGCCCTGATAGACACGGTGCAGGACACCGACATGGAACTCACTGTCAAGGTAGAGGTGAGCGTGCCGTCCTGTACACGTGTTCCACAACCTACAACCCAGCTCCAACCACACACACACACGCACGTACACACACGCACGTACACACACACACGCACACATGTACGCACGCACACACGCACGCACACGCACACGCACACACGTACGCACGCACACACGCACGTACACACACGCACAGGGAGTGAGGAAGAGAATGAGAGAGAGAGGAAGAGAGTGACAGAGGAAGAGAAAGTGACAGAGAGTGTGTGAGGAAGAGAGAGAGTGAGGAAGAGAGACAGTGAGGAAGTGAGTGAGTGAGTGACTATGGTTTTACGCCGCTTTTAGCAATATTCCAGCAATATCACGGCGGGGTACACCAGAAATGGGCTTCACACATTGTACCCATGTCGGGAATCGAACCCGGGTCTTCGGCGTGACGAGCGAACGCTTTAATCATTAGGCTACCCGACCGCCCCTGAGGAAGAGAGAGTGAGGGAAGAAGAAAATGAGAGACAGTGGGGAAGAGAAAGAGGGGGAAGGGAAGAGAGGGTGAGGTAGGAAGAGAGTGTGTGAGTGAGTGAGGAAGAGAGGGGGAATGAGAGAGTATTAAGGAGAGAGAGGAAGATAGTGAGAGTGAAGAAGAGAGTGAGTGAGAGAGTCTGTGAGAGAGAGATAGAGAGAGACCTGTTCATGTTCATGTCATTGAAATACTGGTCACGGTAAACATTGGATGGCGTAGTTTCAGTGATAGTAGTAGTAGTAGTAGTAGTAGTAGTAGTAGTAGTAGTAGTAGTAGTAGTTGTTGTTGTGATTTTCATGACGTTAGAGACAGGAGTAGACATAGCCGCGTCTCACAACAACCAGGTTAAACCTACAGAAACCATTGTAAATCCCCATTGTGCACGCGCACACACACACACGTCATTTACTGTATATAAGCTTATAACGAACTACGGTTATATCGAACTTATATCAGTGGTGCCTTTAAGTTCGTTATAACCGTAGTTTACTGTATATGGCGGCGGTGTGTTAATTATCGTATGTGGGACTGACAATCCAGTGATTGACAGCATGAGCATCGATCTACACAATTGGGATACAATAGCATGCATCAACCAAGTCAGCTGACCACACGACCCCGTTAGTCATCTCCTACGACAAACATAGTCGCCTCTTTGTGTTCAGTGTTTAGAATACCATCAGTAATAGTTACGTTCCTAATATTTGTGTCTGTTGTGTTCCCATAAGGACCCGGAACCGGAAGTGAAGGAGGATGACGCGGCGGAGGGTGACACATCCATGGAGTACCGGAACGACGGCTACATCGAACTGGTTCTCAAGGTGATGGCCCGGATGTGTGACGGGCAGAACAAGCTCTTGCAGGTATGGCTCCTTGACTGGGCGCCTGTCTACAAAAACGGTGACATTTTTCATAGGTTGCGATTAGTTAAATAAAGCGACAAAACCATTTCCATATCCAATAGAAATATCTGCTTAAAGCAGAGTCGATTTACGATTCGGACCATATCATGAGCATGTGTTAGTAAATCACTATCAAATAGCGATGACACCAGATGTTCGCGAAAAGGTGAGCGTATCCTGTCCTATCGATGTCACCCGTCACAAACACATGCAAAGGCAAGTCAATTGTTCCCCTGACAAGACACACAATAGGTGTTTGAATAGCTAGAGGTATACTGTCTGGACCTGCCAACTGATCCCGATTCCAGTACCTCTTTCCCCTTCAGGGTGTACAAAACACGTGTTTATGAAATATTCATCCTAATATTTTTAAGTCTCCCGTTCATTACTTGCAAATATTAGCGTCAGACCCTTTACATATTCATAAGAAATCTCTCTACCAAAAGCAGGGTCCACTGTACGATAACGACAACATCATTCCGACAACACTCCGACCTTCGTCGAAATCACTGGTGCTAATAATGCACCATGTCTACCATATAGATTAATTCATGCAGACATGGCACTGTTTTCACGTTTCATCCTCACATAAGTCCATAGACCACGTAATACTTAACACAGATTTATAACTTCGATGTTGAATAAAAATCTTTTTCATTATATTTATTTTAACTACATTGCCAAACCATTTTAGGGTAGTTCAAAGGTTAATTTGAAATGTGACCTCTTGCTTCTATTGTATATAAATTACAATGCTGTATTTCCTCTATTAGACGCCGGTTCTCTAATAAACACCGGCCTTTAATGGACCCCAGGTTATACGCAACGTCAACAAACAAAAGCAGGGTCCATTAGTTGATGAAATGTATGATCCCTATCACATTAAATTTACGGCGTATGATGATAACTCCCTCGCTTAATAATGACTTTTTCCTGCAAATGTACCATTTGAATGGCTAGAATTATCAATTCGGTGCCAACATTAAACAGAAGACACGCCGGGCCAGGGTCAACGACTTGTGCGAAATTAATCGACTCCCAGGCGCCTAATAGAGGAAATACGGTAATATCATTCACGATTATCGTTTTCTTCGTGTAGGTCGTTAAGAACTACAAATCGTTGGGGTTTTTTGTTGACAGGACTATCTCCGTGAACAACCTGACAACGTCAAATCGTTTGACATCATCGCAGAGGTGACCCGCTTCCTCAACGTCGTGTACTCCAACATCAACGATAAGAGCATTGACCTCGTTATTCAGCTGTTTGAGTCCATGAATGAGTTCACTGCCGTAAGTTATAAACAGATATTGATCTCGTTACTGTTCGGACCACTACTGCAGAAGACTTATATAAATATTATAAAGTATTATTGTTTCGTTTATACGAAATCATATGAAAACAAATGCTTTAGCTGGAAACGGTTCCAACGTAACGGGGGGCACGGGTGGCACAGTCGTCTGAGGCGCCGCGATTCGCTGTGCAGAGTTGCGTCCCTTGGGCACGCCAGAAACCTATGATTGGGTTCGAATCCCGGTTCGCCCAGATTACGTTTCTAGGTTTGTCAGCACCATACCCGTGCTCGTGGGTTTCACCGAAGTGGTAAACGTCTGAGACCTGCATCACTTGGGGCTTTCCTCCCACATTAAGCTGACACGCCGCGATATAACTGGAATACTGTTTAAAGCGGCGTAAAACCCAACTTTCTCACTCACTCCAACGTAACGAGAATGGAATATGTCCCTAGCAGCCTATGGTGGTCGTAAGATGGGATCGGATGGTCAGCCTCGGTGACTTGGTTGATTGCGTGTCATCCTATCCCGACAGCGCGGGTAGATGCTCATGATATCAATTACTGGTTTGAATGGTCTAGATTTGATAATTTGCAGGCCCACGTTACATAACTTAAATGTTGTTGATACTAAGACAACAAACAAACAGGAATAACGGGATATAACGGCATATACAATCAATGAGGTCTTTGATAGGCATTTAGAAGTTGGAAGAACATGAATACATGACTCTTTTCTAAGTGTAACATTTCATGGGGTGAAAGGTCAAGAAGTAACCCTGAAACGTCGTTACATCGAATGAAGGAGTTGTTATCCACAGAAAATTGTCATGTATATGTTAAATGCTCTCCTTCTAGGGTAACCAGGACAACCGCATCGTCATCTACGACAACAAGATCATCGACTATATCAACTTCATCTTAAGAGCCGGCGACTTCGAGAACTGCTCCATTGAGAAGGTTGGACGATTGTTGAGGAATCTGAAATAATTATTCTTTTTCACGTTTTTTCCGATTAATTGAAGTGTCAAAAGGAAAATGGAATCAAATGTCCACTTTCACCACTAAATATCACATCAATAAAATTGTTACATATGATAAACATATTTGTTCGTCCTCACGGAAACAAAATGGAGAAAAATCATTTCAATATTCATAAGGAAACCCCGCTAAAAGCGAGTCCACCTGACTTAATAATAAGCATGTGTTTATGAATCGCTGTAATTTGACAAAACTAACCAAATCATGTAAACTGCCGAGCAAAAGAAAGTATACACTTGACAATTGGATTTGACTCAAAAATTACAAACGTTATCATAACATTACGAGGCTGATCTGTTGTGAGATGCTCATTGATCGATGTGATGCATGAAACATCGCCTGTGATACCGTATCAAATACGTCAGTATCGAATAACCATTTCTTGTTTGTTTCATTTTGCCACCGTCAAACATGGGTGTATACTTTCTTTTGCCCAGCAGTGTATTTGTCTGTGACCAAAGTCCCAACCTATGAAAACTTGGAACTATTCTTCTGTTTGATTTTGTTACTGTTTAAGAACTTGAATGCAACTTATAAGAAAGAGCGAAACTGAATGTATGATCGTAATGGTATCAGTTCAAACCTATTTTACAAGCAGCAATGTACATCACTGCCATCAGTGTTTTGTTTTTGTTTGTTTGTTACGTAAAACGTTGTCCATGCTCCACAACCCAAATTGGTTCAGGAAAATTTTAGGGCGGGTAATTTGAGAACACGAGAAGCACGGGAATGGATCCAGAGTTAGTGTACGTTTACCGAAATGCTAAGCCTTGGAGATACAGAGGGGGAGGAGGATGGCAATGTGTGTGTGTGTGTGTGTGTGTGTGTGTGTGTGTGTGTGTGTGTGTGTGTGTGTGTGTGTGTGTGTGTGTGTGTGTGTGTGTGTGTGTTGTTTCACGCCGCACTGTTCCAGCTATGTGACGGCGGTGTGTCAAAGTGTGTGTGTGTCTGTTATCAATGCTAGCAATGTTTGTGTGTTATTAATTTTCGCAATGTGTGTGTATGTGTCATTAATGCTGGCAAAGTGTGTGTGTTATATTAAGTCAGGCAATGTGTGTATGTGTCCTGAATGCTGGCAATGTATCAATGTGTGCATGTATCATTAAGTCTGGCAATGTGTGTGTGTCATTAATGCTGGCAATGTGTGTATGTGTCATTAATGCTGGCAATGTGTGTGTGTCATTAATGCTGGCAATGTGTGTGTGTCATTAATGCTGGCAATGTGTGTATGTGTCATTAATGCTGGCAATGTGTGTGTGTCATTAATGCTGGCAATGTGCGTATGTGTCATTAATCCTGGCAATGTGTGTGTGTCATTAAGTCTGGCAATGTGTGTATGTGTCATTAATGCTGGCAATGTGTGAATGTGTCATTAAGTCTGGCAATGTGTGTACATTGTATGTGTCATTAATGCTGGCAATGTGTGTATGTGTCATTAATGCTGGCAATGTGTGTGTGTTATTAAGTCTGGCAATGTGTGTATTTGTCATTAATGCTGGCAATGTGTTTATGTGTCATTAATGATGGCAATGTGTGTGTATGTTTCATTAATGCTGGCAATGTGTGTGTCATTCATGATGGCAATGTGTGTGTTATTCCTTACAGATCCTGGAACTGCGGAGTAGTATTGCTAACCTGGTCATGTCCCTGGTTGAAGAAAATGGACCAGGTGCTTCACAAGTCGCAAAGGTAAGTGATTGAAGCGTACACCTTGTTGTCAAGGACAATTACAATCCAAGCCGAAACGATAAAGGACGACGGATTCCAAGGTCAGGGCTTTAACGTGTTGTCACGAAATGGCGATGGTTCAACTTCGACCTCAGTCAAGGATTAAATTCGTTCTCGACATACCGTTATGTTTCATAAACTTTATAACCAACTCACTCGTCGATGACGTAACTTCTGAATATTTATGATTTCTGCACTGAAACTCTAGAAGTGTACTTTCTTCGCCTCTGGATTTCCTTTCCTTAAACTGACGCTAGGCTCGTCCTAGTTGCGGGATGGGGGTTAGGGGGGTAGGGGCTAGAAAGTTTAATCTGCCCGGAGAGCGGAAGGTCGGTGGTTCGATTCCCGGTCGTGTAATACCAAAAGACGTTAATGGGTGGTATTTGTTACCGGTGAAACAAGGACTGTTTGGCTCGGAGTCCATATACTGTGTCTCAGTAGGTTGTCCATGTTAAACTTGGGCGTGTTATCTCAGTGGACATGCATTCACTATATAATCGGCATTTAACACATCCCAAGTCATCTTACTTTTTTCTTAAAACACCAACTTAATTAAAACATTTCATTGTGGCAACTGGTGATTACCAACAATTCACACAGACAATACCTGTTTGACACAAGTCACTAATAACTACCTCTAGATGCAGACCGGAAATGGGTACCAGGCTGCATAGAGTAGTCCCCCTTTAATACCCATGTAATGTACATACCTCCTATGTTCACATCTTCCCGAGGCAAGGTCGTGAACTGACCATAAAAGTCCAGTTTCCACCCTTGCCGAACTATGCTAGAATTGTCGTAGCTCCACTTGTGGCTATAACGAGTTATTTCCTATTAGTGTCCATCCTATTGACCAACCAGATTTCACCTCTCAGATCACTTGCATTTGCTTCAAACAAAATGGCTGCGGCCAGTCAAGACGATCTGATGGATAATCAAGATCCATATTGTAATAAAAAGGGTCTTACTTCACGAAGTGCATCAAATCACATGAGCACCTTGATTAAAAACGTGAAAAGATTTGGAAAATATCTGTTGACGCTAAATTGACGGTACACTTGCTTTGCAAATCCTGCGGTCGCCTGAAATCTGCACGTTAAAATCCATGTTGCTTACGAACCGGATGTCTAGTTTGTTACTCGGATTTGATTGGACTATGCATAGACTCGTTTGTCCAGCCAAAATATAACTCCAGACTTCCAGCCTTGTTCGGCAAGGAAACTGGAAACTGGACTTTTAAAGTCAGTTAACTACCTTGCCTCGGGACGATGCTATGTTCATTACATAAAAACACATTTTTCTTTGTAGGAAGTAAAAGATACTTTGGACAAGAAAGCAGTTTTAGCCTTAATGACGGAGTGCTACGAGAATCACGTGACTGACAAAAAAGCCATTGAGGAACTGAAAAACATGCCGATAATGGGCGCGCCGCAGACGGGGTCCCAGAGTTACCTAGCAACGGCAAAATCTTTCGCCATTGCTGGAGGCAGCTTCCTATCAGGGGTCATGGTATGTATTGCGTTTTTTTCATTGAAAGCATGTGCTTATATTAGATTATTCGAAAGCTGTTGATTTATTTATCAAAAATGTTAATTTCAAAGCAGCATGCTTGTGTAAAAGCTCAAAAAGAATAAATGATAACAATGCATGGCCTGATGCTTGACGAGAATATTATTGCATGCTATTATTTCTTTGTAACTAGATGCATAGTGTCTCCCAGTATAAGGAGACCAGTACGTGTTGTTATATTGTTTCATATCATCAATGTTCTGTTCAAGCTAGATCTATAAAACACAACACTGGAAATCCGTTTTTTAAATGTGTCTAGTGTTTATACTGTGTTCCAGTATTGATACTATTATGATACTGTCTGTTCTACTGTTCTTTTAAAGGACAAAGTAAGTACACATCTTTCCCTGCACTTCATCTTCTTTAACTACATTACCGTGACTCGAACTAACTGATTCATCCCATTTACTAGACCAAAAGCATCTGAATAGACCCATCATAACCCTAGCATGGACTGACTCCCGTAAGGGGGTTCTATATACCCACAGTCTAACCGTCTCAGTTTTCTTTTAAACAACTCATGCTTCCTCGAGCTCTCATTAGATAGAGGAATTCATCAATTAAGTCTCTTCATAACTCCTAACAAACTGTTATAGATAACGAAGCATTGTGTTTACCAGTAAAATGGCTCATCGTTAGTAGCGCAATATTAGCCTGCGCATCATGGAGACGTGCTTAGTTTAATTTGTGACTATTATAGAAAATAAGAAAACGTACAACTTTATGGAAAACAACTTCATTGTTTTTTCTATGTTTGGATGTAGAACTGTAATAACGATGGAGTTTGTGACTATTATGTTCATATGCAGTGGCGTATCTTATTATGTCATTTGCAACCATTAATCTCAGGGGTTAAAGACGCCTACTGACATATATGTAGAAACTTAATTTGTACAACTTCCGACTCTACATGTGTTACTGTGTGTGTCTGTCGTGGTCTCATTGTTCAGAAGTTATCTAGACGTGTAATGTCTCTCGTTTTGTGTTTGCAGGATGCAGCTGTAAGTAATATGTCAACAAACATATTAACAGAAATCTCCGAGAAATACATTTGTTCTAATCTTTAGACCGTCCGTTTCTCGTGTTCTGCAGTAGATTCCACCATGTCTGATATATGGGTAGCTGTCTCGGGGTGTGTTTTGTGGTAGATTCTAAATGTCTCTATATATGGGTAGCTGTCTCGGGCTGTGTTCTGTGTTCCGTGTCATGTTGTATTCTAGGGACTGTACAACCGACTAGTTGAGATGACGTGTGTAGTTGTGGTGTATAGATTAGATACTAAATCCACCAAGTAATGGGCAATCACCTACCTTATAACTGGACTCACAATCCTGTGAGGTTGTCTCGGGCTCATATGGTATCACCAAAGTGGTAAACTGCTTAGTGTAGTGTACAGAGTGGCTCTCTGGTGATTGGAAGGTCGGTGCATGCTCGTCGCTATATACCGTATTCGACGTAATAAGCGCCCCGCTCTAATAAGCGCCCACTGCGATATTTGCTAATATATTGGCTTGTGAACAATCCCATTTAGCACCCCTTCCGTGATCAGTGTAAACAAGACTTATTTATTCGCGTATAATACGCACTCGTGTGTTATATGCATTCTTAATTATGGGCAATTAAATTCTGGAAAAATATATCTGTCGCATATAAACATTTTAGTCTGTCAGCATAAACCACGAAAGTTATCTTTCAACTCTGTTTTTCCACCAATATAATATTCTAATAGGAGCCCCCTATTTCTAATTTTGAGAGCGCCCTGGGCGCTTATTACGTCAAATACGGTAAGTGTAATAATCTTGAACGTGACATTAAATCCGTTTCACATGATCTCACCAAAGTGGTTGACGTTGCAATGTTGGGTTTTCCACTCACATTAAGCTGACACACCATGTTATAACTGAAATACTGTTTCAATCGTCATTAACACTCACCCACCCTCAATAAGAACTGGAGAGCATACATTATGTGTTATCACTGCACCTTTCCTTCGTAAGGGGCGGTCGGGTAGCCTAGTGGTTAAGGTGTTCGCTCATCACGCCGAAGATCCGGGTTCGATTCCCGACATGGGTACAATGTGTTAAGCCCATTTCTGGTGTCCCCCGCCGTGATATTGCTGGAGTATATCTAAAAGCGGCGTAAAACCCCACTCACTCACTCACTCATTTCCTTCGTAAGAGGCCGACAGGCGATGACAGAGGATAGTGGTCGCTCGTCACGCAGAATTCATAACGTCTATTCCTTACATGAGTACAAGCTTGAATACAATGATGCTGTCCATTGTAGTAGTGTTGGTATACTGTGACGTGATACACTCACTCACTCACTGTGATAGGTCATGCCTCCAATGTGGAGATTAGTCACTCACTTTTTACACCAAATGTTGATATGTTTGGACAAATTACAATGTTCAACGTGGTATATGGCAGTAAGTAAACCCACTAATTGTCACCCTACCGTCACTAACGCACATTCGTGTACTTCCTGTACTGTCAATATAGCAATCGCTATGCCAGTCTCTGACTATGGACCTCGACAATCTTTTAAAACTCGATCTTCTCAATATGTCAAACAACCCCACCCTCTGTCGAGGCCAATCTTCTCAATATGTCAAACAACCCCACCCTCTGGCCGGGCCAGTCATCCCAATATGTCAAACAACCTCATCCTCTGTCCAACCAAATATGTTCTCTCTGTGAAACAACCTCACCCTCTGTCGGGGCCATTGTTTTCAATATGTCAAACAACCTCACCCTCTGTCCAACCCAATCGCATATATCTGTCCCAAAACCTCAGCCTCAGATACAACTTCGACGATCGGTCTCACGTTGATGTAACCTCACGCTTATGGTCTCGTTCGATAAGTAGAACCTCATCGCTACGACCACCGTAAGTCTATGTTTAAGTATGAGAGTTATGACACTCTTAGCGTTAAGGTCGCTTTATAGAACGAGGCCAGATTGTCATCACTATGTCTGATTCTTAATGAAGCACGATGATATACAGCCACTGGCACTTACACTGAGGAATACTAAAATATATTTGCATTTATATTTCGTACATAAACTTCAATAAGCTTTTCAAAAGCCTATACCGTGCATTTATTTATCGTTCCAGTTCATAAAGCAGTCTTCATAACATCATCCATTCATGATTATTATTGAAGTAATGGTTATGTGTAGTTATTGATTCAGCTCAAATGGCTTCGGGTTCCTATACTGTAAACAGTAATATTCTGTAAATGAAGCTGCTTTAATTACTTGGTTTACGGATCTACCAAGAAAAACAATATACATTAAATTTATGAAAGTTTCCTCTTTCACATTCAGAAATTATAATATATTGGAGAAACAAAAATCTTTATAAATCCATTTGGAAAGGGACGTACGTCACTCTGTAATTTTGTTTCACTGAAAACACCATTGTTTTAAAAGATAACGACAGCAACAAATACTATTCAGGCCACATTTTTGTTGTAGGTTTTTTAGGAAAATATCCCTAAACCAATTAATTAAGCGACCATAGATATTTGCAAATGAACGTGTGTGTATCTACATCGCTTTACTAACCATCTGTGATCACGCTTTATCGTGCTTTCAAATCCACATCTAAAACCATTAACTCACACATATAATATTTCCTGTACCCAGTCACCTGTACCATATAATCGCCTTACAACAACACTAACATGTACAAGTACGTTCAACTGTGTTAAACGTGTATATGACAAAACCATCATGCATTTGATTGCGTGTTCTCTAGACTTGACCAAGTCTGTTTGGTAAACAATATTTCTTAACAACAATATTTTGTTGAAGGGAGATAACCCTTATACTCGATTTGCAGGTTATGCTGACAAAACGAAATGAAGCGTAATAAAATGTGCGTTGTTGCCTCCGAACTGGGCCCCTTGGGAGCTCTGCGTGTCGGCAAGTTAGGGGAATTAAGGGCGAAGGGACGAAGTGTTAAGAAATAATGATGTTATATACTATTCCAAACAAGCTTAAGAATACCCACAGTTGGAAGACTGTGTGTTGCAATACACACAAGCCTTGTCAAATTAATCATATGAAAAAATCGGGTGTTCTTGAACTTCTTTTGTGTAGTATATACTAGACCAAACAGACATGGGCAAGTCTATGTGTTCTGAGGATTTGTTGCTGTTCTGAATGATGTACAAGGCTCACTTTAACACTGAGTATGTAGCCTTCCATTCTTCTCCACTTTGTGCCCATGGTGACTGTCGTTGTCTTGTAGAAAAACTCCTAACCTATAGCGAACTACTTATTATGCATGCCCCGTGAAGACCCAGGAAGAAAGTAGGTCTTTAGCAACCCATGCTTGTCGTAAGAGGCGACTAACAAGATCGGGTTGTCAGGCTCGCTGAATTGCTGAATCCGAATTGCCTGGATCGAGGCTCATGACATCAATCACTGGATTGTCTGGTCCAGACTCGATTATTTACAGACCGCCGTCATATAGCTGGAGTATTGTTGAGTGCGGCGTTAAACAACAAACAAATTATATATTATATAAGAATGAGAATGAAGTCGTGGTATAAGGTCATCTGATTTAACCCTTTCGGTTGTATACATGCCACTGTACATTTGGCGGTTCTAAACCCGCACTGTCCTTAGCTCTATTGTTTGATAGTGAGTAAATCTTGAGAGCAAAAACATTTCATTTTCATAACGGGTGTTTTTTTTATATCTCTGTGATAAATTGTGAAACATTCTAATGCTGTATTTTTTTATGAATATGTTGATAAATATTTTTGGAAAACATGTTGATTTATTGCTGGTTAATATTAGTCACTTTGCGCTTGTATTTCAATATGTGTGTATTGCCGTGCCGTATGGCTGTGATGTCTGTGATGTGTCTAGTGATGTAGTGTCCGGGGGAGAAGGTAGGTGTACTCTAGTCAGTTGACATTCCCTGCTGTGGCTGTTGGATACGTGTCCGTACAGGACACTGCTGGCCCAGTGGACTAACGCACCTTCTAGGCGTGTCAGGATCCGCTGGTCGTGAGTTCGAATCCCCGCTTTGCACCGATTATGATCCATGGTTAGTCAGCACCATTCCCATGCTCGTGGGTGTCACCTTACATGTCTAAGACCTGCATCACTTCAGGCTTTTATCCCACGCCAAGCTGACAGTCCTAATATAATCGAAATACATTCAAGCGGCGTTTAACCAAACTCACTCACTCACTCCAGTGGAGGGGGGCGTATATGATTAGATTGTTCACAACGGTGGGGAATATGTACTCACTGCTGACATTGTTATTTCACAGAACAAGAAGAAGATGGAGTATGCAGATGACTACATGGACGTCGGGTTCAGCCTCTACCTCATCCTTGCCCGTATGGTCGACCTTGACCCCAAGATCCTTGACATGCGTATGTTACAAGAGAACACTTATTCACCAGGGAACGTAGATGTCAATATAATACGAGCTCTTTTATCCATATGGAATATAAATGTGACATACTGAACTGAAAGCGAAATAATGCAATGCCCTCTCATACTTATCAAAGAAGTGAAGACACCAGGCGCGTCCCACCGAACACGTAGAGTTCTATTGATGGGGGTATGCCCACCACTCGTGAGCACTCGTCACCATTCGCCCCTTTCCGTAACCTGCAAGAAGACTCGTCCCCCGCTCCATGAATGCTATGTGCGAAAATGCGACAAACCAACCAGAATGCGCGTATGACTTAAAGTACTTCGGTCAAAGAATCTCTCAGGAATAATGTTTGATTTTGCATGTCTTGCATTTGAAAATATATCCAAGATACGGTTATGTGTGTCCAATCATACTGTATAATACCGAAAGTCTCGATGTGTTTAAATATCATCTGGAATACTTATATATGGGGGAAATATACGTGAATTATTACGCAACAAGTTGACAATTCTTTTAGCTAAGCCCGTTTGTGCTAAGACAGAACCCAGTCGCAAAAATGGCCACGAATCGGGCACGAATCGCTGTTCGGCTTGTCCCGGAATAACACGAGTTGGTCGCAAATGGGACAATAGGTCCATTGCATCCCACGTGTCATAAAATCCGTTACGTTGACTGAGTCATTATTCTTTGACTGCAGGGGTCTTGGCTCACATTATCAAACTCTGAATGTCCTGGTCCAGAACCGACTACAAGCAGGCCGCCGTACCGAATGTTGTTTGGTGCGGCGTAAAACAGCATTCATTCACACATAAAGTCATCCATTCATTCGTGAAATCAAGGTCACCCGATCGTGTCAAGAATTAACTTATTTTCTCCCATTCGTTATTTTTATCTCGTCCTATATTACATCTGTCTACATCTTCCCGAGACAAGAGAATTAACTGGTGATTTGTCTAGGGAAATAAGATGCTCGCCTGTCTACCATGACCGTTATCGTGTATGTGAGGTATCCGTTTCAGATACAGGGAAAACAAAGACGCACATACATGTAGCACTATCAAACATTCTTCTACAATACCGTAATAACCGATTGTCCCACATATACTCGTGTGTTAATAACGGAACGCTTGTTGCAGACGACAGCTTACAGATGCGTTAGATATAGTTTCTTAAAATCAGTTGAAGTGAAATGACTGGTGCGTTGACAGCCGTCACATGATATCGGGCACCAATAGGTATGTGTTATGTCAAACAAATGCTTCTGCTGGTCTAGGAATCGTTTTATTTCATCAGCATATACGTCGTTGAAGCACTTGGTAGGCATGAATAAATCTAGATATACAATGTATAAACAGTTGTCTGAATGTCATTCGAATATCAATACATACATATGACACATGTTTCCAAGATGGCGACATATGAGAAGGAAGTGTGTTACTGTTCCAGTGCGCATGTCGCCCCTGCAACAAAAAGCCTTCACCTTCTACAGGAAGAACTGCATGTCAATAGAGGTCGTGAAGGACGATGAGCTACAGAAGGTGAACTTCCGGGTCAAGAACAAGGTGAGGGACGAAACCATGTCACACAGAAGACAACACTAAATCATGCAATTCATGATATAACAGAATGTTTGTTTTTACATATATCACCAGGTCAATATCGTGCCCAAAACAGTATTGTTTATCGGTTACGTAAGTAGGTACCTAATGGGAAATCGAACCCTGTTCTGCTGCGGGATAAGCAACCGCTTTAACTCACCGTCCAATCGTATTTATCTCCCCTCTTTCTCTAAATGCTTTTTTATTATGCATAATATGTTTAATCTTACACCACACAACACTACAAGGGTAAGGATAACCCATTATATGTGTCTGCGGCACTATCTTTACTCGTTACGCCGAAGACCCGGGTTCGATTCCCGACATGGGTACAATGTGTGAAGCCCATTTCTGGTGTCCCCGCCGTGATATTGCTGGAATATTGCTAAAAGCGGCGTAAAACTACACTCACTCATTCACTTTTTACCACTATCTTTAATTACCGCCTCCATGGTCTAGTGGATAGAGCGTTTGCGCGGAAGGTCAATGGTTTGATCCCTGGCCGCGTCATACCAACATTAAAAGATGATACTTGTTGTTACCCTGCCTGGCGATCGGAATTAAGGGGCTAAAACAAGGTCAGGTCGGCTTGGTAGGGTATCCATGTTGAATCGTCTCATCTTTGCTTTATTAATCAAATAATCTAATTTAGATTTAGTTTAATCCAAATTTCATTTCATTTCTCCGACAGAGGGTACTAAGAGAAGAAATTAAGGAGAAACTCAAATGGAGTGTGGACAGATCGTCACCTAGCAACAAGATTAGGGACCTGATGGCGTGGAGTAAAGACATCATGAAGGACATTGCATACCAGCAGCGGATCTTGAGCAACTTCCTCGCTCTCTGCATCACCAAGGGATGGTACGTTAAAGCACACACACATATATATATATATATATATATATATATATATATATATATATATATATATATATTAAGAGTTTTAAAGAAAGCATTGATGTCTCAAGTGTTGTCCAACATGCAAATTTTAGAAACGAGTAAAATAAGAGTTATCTACTCTACAGTGGGATTACATCAAATTTCAAAACACAGTAGGTTTTTTCTCCGAAATATATCCGTTAAGAGTTTGAAAAGAAAGCATCGATGGAGTATTGTCTCAAGTGCTGTCCAACATGCAGCTTTTACGTAACTATTCATATACTAGTATATGGTATGGAAGCGAAATTTATTCAGTTACATGCAAGTTTAACTGAATACTCGTGTGGTTTTTTTTTCATTCTATCGTGAAACTAAGAGAGCGGGTTAATGGATGTTAAATATTATGAGGAACAAAACGTTTTGGAGTATATGCTTTCTCCTTCATGAGGTGAATTAATGCCAGGAGAGCGTATATACGTACATGTAAAAAGAAAACAATAGTTGTAAGATAACAAAAGGTGGAAACTTAACAAGGGAAGCAGTAAATTAGCGCTGATTGTTGATTGACAATAGACAAATTGAAACCAGGACTTAAATTAGCCCTGATTGGTAATATGCAAGGGACAAATTGAAGGCGGGGTTCCTTAGCGCTGATTGGTAATAGCAATGGACAAAAGAAATACCCCTCATTACCAGCATAACGTCTCTCTATTTCCCCTGGGTTTTGTACCAGTATAACACTTTCCCTTGAGTTTTGTACCAGCATAACGCCTCTCTATTTCCCCCAATTCAGACTGATCTGGAATCCCTCAATACAAGCATAACGCCTCTCTATTTCTCCTGGGTTTTGTGCCAGAATAACGCCTTTCCTTGAGTTTTGTACCAGCATAACGCCTCTCGATTTCAACAATTCAGGCTGATCTGGAACCACGCTGTGACGTTGCTGAGTTTTGGCATCAACATGTTGATGTTGGCCACGTGGAAGGCCAAGGGGTCGATGGAGACGCCGAACATCTTCCCTCCAAACGCCACGGGAATACCGCCGCTCCTTGTAGAGTAAGGACATTCCCTCATGTTAGTCAGGATATAAAACAAGGACTGGTTGGTTCGGAGTCAGGATAATGTTACTCTGTGTGGAGTGTCCATGTTAAATTGCGCGCGCACGCACGCACACACACACACACACACACACACACACACACACACACACTCACACACACACAAACACACACAAACACACGGCCATTTTATGAGTAAGAAGGTAAGAGTATTGCCTTGTTTACCTGCCTCCTCCTGGTGGAGTATCAACATTGACTTGATTATATGTCCATATGAATAAGTAGTTATAAATTCATCACCTCCTGAACACCATAAACAGTATCAATAGATTTCATAAGCATGAATACACAATGCCATTTAGAAAGTGGTCAAATGTAACAAATATTATATTTGGGATAACACTTTCTTAGTAAAGTACAGATACTATTTCCTATTTGGGTCGAATCCTTGATTGGAACCCACACTGCTATCAGCATGTTCTTCCACTGCCCGGGTGCACTTTATTGCCCTGTGTGTATGTCTAATGTCGGGGATGCTGCAATGTCTGTTTCAGCCCCGTGCCCGCAATCATCAACCTCGGTGCGGACACATACGACGTGGTGCTAAAGAGTATGGGCTTCACGCACAACGTCCTCTGCCTCCTCGTGCTCGTCAGCTACTTCGTGTGCAACCACCCGCGGCTGCCAAACCCTAAGACCATGTTCCTTAGCCTCAAGCAAGTTCCTCTTCAAATTATTGGTGTAGTTCGGATTGTTCCAGGCCCTGTTCCGCTAAAACATCTTAGCGCTAAATCAATACGAGTCCCATGCTTTAACATAGATGTGCAAGCGTCGTAGCCCTGAGATTGCTTTGGGAAGGTGTTAGGGTCGTCCCGAAAGCGATCTTAGTTCTACGACTGTCGTATTCCCCTACTCTGAAATAGATTTAAGATAATCGTGGCTCTAGGATCTCAGAAGCCCTGCGATTGCTTTGGGAAGGTCTTAGGCTTTGTTCCCGAAAGCGATCTTAGTTCTACGACTGTCGTAATTCCCCTACTCTGAAATAGATTTAAGATAGTCGTGGCTCTAGGATCTCAAAAGCCCTGAGATTGCTTTGTGGGAAGGTGTTAGGACTTTGTTCCCGAAAGCGATCTTAGTTCTACGACTGTCGTAGTTCCCATGCTTTGAAATAGATTTAAGATAATCGTGGCTCTAGGATCTCAGAAGCCCTGCGATTGCTTTGTGGGAAGGTCTTAGGCTTTGTTCCCGAAAGCGATCTTAGATCTCTTTGTGAAATGAGGGCCCGCATATGCAGTAGTCGGCTGTTTTTATTGTAACGCTACTTTCAGTTTGTTACAATTTGTCACATGTAAATGGAATTTAGTTTACACGTTTATTCAGGAACTATCTGATTCTACAAAATAGAGGTATGATCGTCGAACAGCTCAGATTGCTTTGTAGAAGGTTCAGGGCCCACTCGCATCAAAGCGATCTCAGCGCTACGACTATCGTAAGTTTATGTTAAAGATTGCGAGTTCATCTCAGCGCTAAGATCGTTTTGTGCAAGTGGGCCCAGGTGATTCGGAATGTGCCCATATGCTCTAAATTTGTTTGAATTTATTTTTCTTAACATTGATTATTCCCTTTCAAAAATGTATTATACCGATTCTCTTATTTAAAAAGCGGAATGTTAACGAAATACCATCATAGTTGATACAATATCGATTTGTTATTGCGCTATGCATAATTATTTTGATTATCCTGACGATTACATTTCATGTTAAGAAAAGCAGCATGTGTTATAATCAGTGCCACGTTTTAGGAGCGCGGTGAAGAAGAAGAAGGACGATGAAGAAGAGGATGGGAAGAAGAAGCAGCACCAGTCCAAGCTAGATGCCCGCTTCTTTAGTTTCACCACCTTCTACTACCTGGTGAGTTTCCCATGAAGACCCGGGTTAGAATAGGAGTTCAGCAACCCATGCTTGCCGTACGAGGTGACAAGGCTTGACAGAGGAGAGTATCGGGATCAGGGCATCTTCCGGAGGCAAGAGAGTTAACTGACTTTAAAAGTCCAGTTTCCACCCTTGCCGAACTTGGCTGGAATCACTAGGCTCGATCGTAGCGCAACCAGTGGCTATCACCAGTTATTTCCCTTCTAAGCCTCCCCTATGGACTAGTCAGATTCCACCCCTCGTATCACTTGCGTTTGCTTCACACAAAATGGTGGCGCCCAGTCAGGACGATCTGATCGATAATCAAGATCTATATTGTGATAAAACGGGTCTTACATCGCGAAATGCATCAAATCACGTGAGCACCTTGATTAAAAACATGAAAAGATTTGGAAAATATCTGCTGACAACGAGTTGGCGGACACATGTTTTGCAAATCCTGCATTCGACCGGAATCTGCAGGACAGTCTACAAACCGGATTTCGATTTCGGTGCGCGATTTTGATTGGACTGTATGTAACTCCATAATACCAACCTAGTTCGGCAAGGGTGGAAACTGGACTTTTATAGTCAGTTAACTCTCTTGCCCCGGGAAGAGTGGATCAGGGAGTCAGGCTCGCTGACTTGGTTGGAGCATGTCAACGTATCCCAATTGAGTAGATCGATGTGCATGTGGTCAGTCAGTGTATTGTCTGGTCCAGACTCGATTATTTACAGACCGCCGTCATATAGCTGGAATATTGCTGTGTGCGGCGTTAATCAACAAATAAGCCTGGTACATATGAATCTGCAGACATCAAATGACAATGACAACGACTTTCTACTACGCGCATGCGTGGTGAATTCTTCCTGTATTGAACAACCAGTAGGGAGTTTAAACACCAGGCATTGGCAGTTAGATTTAAATAGGAGCGAGGTGTTGATTCAAGTGATACCTTAGACTATATACCGCCATGATATAACTGAAACAGACAGAAGACGGGGATAGTTTTGTCCTAACTCTGCTTCTATAAGACAGTCCACCTCACATTGCTTCTATAAGACGGTCCTCATCACTCTGCTTCTATAAGACGGTCCTCCTAACACTGCTTCTATAAGACGGTCCTCACTCTGCTTCTATAAGACGGCCCTCCTCACTCTGCTTCTATAAGACGGCCCTCCTCCCTCTGCTTGAATAAGAAAGTCCTCCACACTCTGCTTCTATAAGACGGTCCTCCTCAGTCTTTACTATAAGACGGTCCACCTCACATTGCTTCTATAAGACGGCCCTCCTCACTCTGCTTCTATAAGACGGCCCTCCTCACTCTGCTTCTATAAGACGGTCCTCATCACTCTGCTTCTATAAGACGGTCCTCCTCAGTCTGTTTCTATAAGACGGCCCGCCTCACACTGCTTCTATAAGAAAGTCCTCCTCACTATGTTTCTATAAGATGGTCCCTCTGATCCAGGGGGCACGGGTGGCCCAGTCGTCTAAGGCGCCGCGATTCGCTGTGCAGAGTTGCGTCCCTTGGGCACGCCAGAAACCTATGATTGTGGGTTCGAATCCCGGTTCGCCCCGATTATGTTTCTAGGTTTGTCAGCACCATACCCGTGCTCGTGGGTTTCACCGAAGTGGTAAACGTCTGAGACCTGCATCACTTCGGGCTTTCCTCCCACATTAAGCTGACACGCCGTGATATAACTGGAATAATGTTAAAAGCGGCGTTAAATCCAACTCACTCACACACCTTCTGAACCACTACATTGTGTTCTACAGGCATTCTTGGCGTTGTCGATAGGAGGGACGTTCTCAAACGGCTACTGCTTCGCCTTCCATCTCCTCAACATCGTCAACAACAACCAGCTGCTGAGCGGAGTCATCAAGGCAGTCACGCATCCAGGTATGCTGAGGCTGCATAGAGACCGACCATTGGATATTCTGACCTACAGCTGCAAAAAAACACCTGTTTTTCTTTATCAAAACTATGAGTCTGAATATATTTTTTCACAAAGACGTCACACAACAATGTAGTCTGAAGCATATTAAATATTTTTCAAGCATTTTCTGGGACATCTTTTTTTTTTTTCCAAAAAATCCCAGTCTCACTGCAGTCACACAGTCTGTAACATACCTAGTCAGCTTTCAGAAGAATAAATACGTAGATAAGTTGATTTCCCTTGAAATGGGGGAATTGATTAATGTAGCTGGGTGGAATACTTTTCACACAAACCTTATACGTAGGTGGTGTGAAATAGAAGATTACTTTGCTTCCTGTATTGACCTATTTTTAAGCTTTTTAATTGATGAAATTCGTCACCATCTCCACCTCTCTTATCACTCACTACAATCTGTTTGTGCAGCTATTTTTAGCGGTAAGCCTTTCAAACACGGTTCAAAACGAGGCTATAGTGGCGATGGGTCCAAGATATTTATCACAACGTAATGGAGATATAATACCCTGGATGATCGAGGATGATCCAGCTGGTCATTGTGTAAATGTGTAAATGTCCTCACTAACTGTCTGTTTTAGCCAAGTCCCTGGTGTGGGTGGCGATCCTGGGTCTGGTGGTGTTTTACCTGTATGGTATAATTGGCTTCGCGCTGATGAGGAGTATGTTCAACCCGGACAGCAACCTGTACTGTGACACGCTATGGCAATGTACCATCACCGTCATCCGATACGGCTTGATAGGAGATCTCTTCGAGGTAGGTACCCTGACTGGATGACTTCAGACATATACGGGGACGGGTGGGCCAGTGCTGTTAGGCGTTAAACTCGCTGTACAGAGTAGCTTCCCTTAACCGCGCCAGGACCCGCTGGTCGTCAATATGATGCCGACTGTAATCCTAGGTCGGCCAGCTCCTACTCGTGCTCAAGACTTTCACTGAAACCTCAATACAAGCAGTTTCATTTTGGGATTACTTCTTACAGTTAACTGACACTCCATTATAACTTGCAATATTTTTCAAAACTTTCTTGGTGCGGTTGAGAAGCCTTGAGGTTAAAGCGTTAGCTCGTCACGCCGAAGACCCGGGTTTGATTCCCCACATGGGTACAATGTGTGAAGCCCATTTATGGTGTCTCCCGCCGTGATATTGCTGGAATATTGCTATAAGCGGCGTAAAACCACACTCACTCACTAAAAACATTATTGACTTACGGTACGTATTTAAGGAACAAAGAAGCATTGTTGAGAAAAAAACTGGGAAGCTAATCATTTCTGCCCCGAGTTATCATGTATATAGATATAAGATAAATCTAATTATTGTCAAGATTATTCTGAGTGTACACTTGTATTCTGTTTAGTGTTAAATGTGTTGTTCAGCGGGTAATGTTCTGTTTGGTTTCCTAGGTGCTCATCCCACACGATAACGAGAAGACATTCCAAAAATTCGGCTTTGTCGTCATCTACCACGTCTCCTTCTTCATCTTCATCACCACCATTGGTCTCAACATCATCTTCGGTATCATCGTGGACACCTTCTCAGAGCTCAGAGATCTCAAGGTATCCGCACACAGTTTATTTGTTTGTCATGATCAGTTTTGGGTTACTAGCATATATGACTTTTAGGGGCCCGGCTGGCCGAGTTGTCTCCCTTAGGCGTGCCTTACACATGATCGTGGGTTCGAATCCGATGTTTCTATGTCAGTTAGTAAAGTGCCCATGCTATTGGGTTTCTCCAAAGCGGTAAACGTCTGAGACCTGCATCACTTCCTCCCTCGATGATATTACTGAAATAATATTCAAACAAATCCACATGCTCTGATGCACTACTACAATGGCAGACAAACATACATCAGTGGAAGAAATTAACAGTTTTAGTCCACTAGACCTTATCATGATAACACGTAGCTAAAGCCTTATAAAGGGCAAATTTCTACTGGTCCTTGTGATACATTAACCATTGGGCAGTTTGGCAAGGACTACAGGACCAGTGTCAATTTCTAACGCTGTACATACAGACAGACAGACAGACAGACAGACAGACAGACAGACAATGTATTCGGTATAGGGCTACTAGTCCATAATAAAATCATAGAAGAGTTTACCTGCATGAACTCTGAACACTGTATACATACAAGCTTAAATTATGAACAATTTCAAGCTTCTCTGACTGCATTAAGGTTCTAAAAGCATGATGTGCCGAAGATAACCTGTGTGTCTACTGTAGTATGTGCATGTATGAAGCAAGTGCCAAACGGTTATAATGAAACATTCGTTTGATGTGAAATTAGACATGACGTTTTGAATATTGAATGGATAAGCAACGGAATAGTTCCAGTGGTAGCCGTAGTGGTAGCCAATAGGCTAAGGCGCTTGCTGGTTACCATGGAAACCTAGTTCGATTCTCCATGTTTACTAAAACGTTCAACTTGGTCACATGTATTGTGTATTGACTGCGCACGTCATGTACCGTGTACTGTGTATTGACTATTCACTTCACACAGATAATGTATTGTGTATTGACAGTGGACTGCCGAGTCAGACATGCGCGATACCTGCTTCATCTGCAGCCGGAACAGCTACGACTTCGAGCATCATGGGAAGGTATGGCTGTAATTGTCGCATAGTGGTTTTTTCCAATTGTGTTGAGGCTATTTTCATATCCCGCCCCTTTCATCAATCTACCTCTGGGTCAGACATCGAGTAGCATTCAATCTCTAAATACAATTAGGTTGATATTTTAATGAGTAGACAAATATAAAAATATAAATGTTCCACAAGCTGCGGAATTGCTGTGTAAGGGAAGTAACTCCTCCGCTCCAATCAATAGATGACGATAATCAAAAACAAAATGACCACGTTTCGTTGAGCTTAAGTTATAAGTTATGTCGATATTAATCAGCTGGCAGTTATAAACCTTCATTCCCCTATATAACATGTGATTTATAAACAAATCCCTTTTTGGCCGATTCAAATTCAAAATAGCAGCAAGTTTCATTTTGTTTTCACAATATGCCGCTCATGGTTCTTGAGTTTGTTTTAAATTTTGAAAAGTACGTGTGAGAACAGTAGCCCAACATAAACATAACTTGTTTCGAGAATAAAGAACACATTTATAGTGAATGTTGTATCAGAGACGTCCATGAGACACTCGGCGTGTTTGTATGGGCACACCCAGCATGGTGGTCCTCCGTCCTTGAACTTGACCTTCTGCAACACAGTCAATGAAGTGTCTTACATAACACAACTTGTTTTGTGCACTCCCAGGGATTTGAGCACCATGTCCGCCAGGAACACAACATGTGGGCATACATCTTCTTCTTCATCCACCTGAACGGCACCAAGGTGAACGACTACACCGCCATGGAGATGTACGTCTATAAACTGGTAGGTGCCCCGCTTGAACTTCAAAGCTCAATACTGTGTTTTCTATGAAGATCAAAGTTGCCTGGAGATTTAACCGCGGTAAATTGAATTTGGAACCGAACGCGCAGTTGTATCAATCAGGGGTGGTTATTGTGATTTGACAAATCAGAATTGTGTCTTTTCCAAATCATGATAGAATTTGAAATAAGAACAGCCTTAACATTACACTACTGGGCCTCATTCCGCAAAGTGATCGTAACGCTACGAATGTCGTACGTCTATGTAAAAGTATGGCAGTTACGATCACCTAAGTGCTACGACCCACGTACGTCTATGTTAAAGTATGGCAGTTACGATCACCTAAGCGCTACGACTGTCGTAAGTCTATGTTAAAGTATGGCAGTTACGATCACCTAAGCGCTACGACTGCCGTGCGTCTATGTTAAAGTATGGCAGTTACGATCACCTAAGCGCTACGACTGTCGTACGTCTATGTTAAAGTATGGCAGTTACGATCACCTAAGCGCTACGACTGTCCTAAGTCTATGTTAAAGTATGGGAGTTACGATCACCTAAGCACTACGAATGTCGTACGTCTATGATAAAGAATGGCAGTTACGATCACCTAAGCACTACGAATGTCGTACGTCTATATTAAGGTATGGGAGTTACGATCACCTTAGGGCTACGGTCGATTGTGGAATTGGGCCCTTGTCTATCACATCAGCAAGCACATGATTTCCATTTACCGTCACTCACATTTCTATAATCAAAACCTTCACTCCCGATGGGCGTCCCAAGACAGACAAAGTCCCTTGCATTCTTGTCGACTAAAATGGGAGCTGGATGTTTACACAGAAACGCACAAGAATTATTATAATGGTGTCATTTTCCACCAACAATGTACATTTCGCTTATTTCCTAGAACAGACTCTCCCCTCTCCCACTACATGGTAATATGCAACCCTGCTTCCTCTGTCTACGGGGTGTGGGGTAGCCTAGGGGTTTAAGCGTTGGCTCGTCACGCCAAAGATCCAGGCTCGATTCCCCAGATGGGTACAATGTGCGAAGCCAATTTGCCGGTGTCACCCGACGTGAACTTGCTGGAATATTGCTTAAAGCGTTGTAAAACCATACTCACTCACTCACCCCTCTTTCTGCAGCTTGGTAAGGAAAACTTCGACTTCTTCCCACTGGACCGCGCCCTGTCGCTGGCCTCCATGGGTAAGGACTCCACGGAGACCAAGCTGGACGACCTCCTGTACCAAGTCACCTCGATAGTTGAAAAACAGAGGACGGAGGTAAGGGAGATCTCTCTTCACATGGAGATATCAGTTTAAAATGACTCACGCCTGTCACATAATTTCAACATTTTCATCGTTAACAGGTGATGTTTCATTTAGTTTTGGTACACGTGTTGCATGGAATGGTAAATAATTTTCTTTTTCTCTTGTTATTTTCTGTGTTTACAATATCTCTCCTACTATTCAGAAGATGTACTACGCAAAAAAAGTTAAGGACCACCCAATTGTTTTACATAACTATAGTTAATCTGTCATCGCATGATCTATTAACTGTAGTAATAAACATAATCGGGTGGTTCTTAACTTTTTTTAGTAGTGTATTACCATTTGTATTTTGTAATACGTATGTCGCTCCCAATACATACAGCTTCCGTAGATATAATGATCAGCCCTCATGGGTTATGTATTCAGCACACGATATATGCTATGCTAATAGGTTGCATATTCAAGGTATTCTGTATATTAAGGTGTCATTTTAAAATTTTAGATATTAAATATGTTTTTATTATCCGTCACATACTCGTATGTTACATCCATGGTTTCTGTCTTTCCAAGGAACTGGAAAAGAAGAGACGCGAAGAGAAAATGCGTCAAAAGATCTGGGAGCAGAAACATCGTCTGGGATCATTCCGCCGTCGAGCCCGTCTCCCTGGCCCCACAGAACCAGACCCGCTGATGCAGATCTCCCCCGCCGCCGCCACCGCGCAGCTGACTGACGACAATCGCATGATGCAGCTCAGCCCACTGCCCGGGCTTGGGCCCCTACACCGCCGACCTAGCATCTCCGAGCATGGCCACGGGTCCGAACTCCAGCTGCGAAGAGCTAGTATCACTGACCATTCGGATCTTCTGAGGAGACCAAGTATCTCGGATCATTCGGATTTCCCAATACGGAGACCCAGCATCTCGGATCATTCGGATATGTACCGGAGGCCAAGCATTTCTGATCATGCAGCATTTATCAGTGGTCACCGCCACCGCCACCATGACCGCCACAGGACGATGAGAAGTGTTAGTCCGCTCCGGCATGAAGCAGACCCGAGGTTCTTCCGAGGGCCAAGTCCATCTCGGTTTGACTCGGAGGAGCCATATGTGAGGAATTTGAGTCCAGTTCGATATGACGCAGGGACAAGAAGCCCATCTCGGTCCAGACAGGGCAGCGAAACCGATTTGATGGGCCTGAGCCCAGTGCATACACGTCGTGAAGCACCTTCTCGGGATCTTGGGATGCAAGCGATGAGTATGCTGAGTCCTAAATGGATAGACAGCAGGTCTACAAGTCCACGTGGGGCAACTGTTTTCTTCCCTGAAACCGAGTCGCTGCACAGTTTGAGAGAGGGTGCTGAACGCTCCATGCCAGAGCAGTACTCAGACACTCTCGAGGGTCCAGTGTATGGTCTGGACCAGGAAGCGCCCACTAGGGAACGAGAAGGGGACGCCGACAGCACCGCTAGCGGCGACTACGGCAGATATGAGACAAGAATATAAACATTACTGCAAGCGTTTCTCAGGGGTCAATGCTAGCTAATGAACTGTTGCTTACGAAAATGTTATTCATGTATTTAAATGACAATGTCACGTCGTAGTGTAAGGAATAGGTCCATGATATGTCACATCTGTGTCGGAGCAACTGTGGAAGTGTCACAGGCCGAAGTCCTTACAAAGAAACGGTACACAGCAGCGGCACAGCGTGCTAACGCAAGGTGCGCTGTACGATGTGGTAATACAAGCCTGTGGTGTGTATCAGCCGAGTGGCGCAACACTATCTTGCAATACCCTTTGTGTTAAACGTGTGCCCAAGCAGATGTACAAGTTGTATACCGGATACAACTATCCCTGTGTAGTGGTACGTCAAGGTTAGATGACCTCTTGCTTAATACAAGCCAGACAAGTAGATACCCGCAACAAGGGCGTTATATCCCTATCATCTGTATCAGTTGTACTGAGAAGGATAATCATTTCCCACTATAACAACAATGATAATACCAATACAACTCATTTAGCGCCCGACAATGCCGGCGTGCTTAGGGCACATGACATACTGAACAAAAAAGTTATTTTAATATACCGTACCCATTTAAAGAAACGCAGTCTTCACTACAAAATAATATTAAAATATTAATATGTGTTATACCTAACTTTTGTGTTCCGTATATTAGTACAAGATCAGCGTGTTCAAAATTGCATGTTCAACTCTCTAAGAGTATCTTGGACAATAAAGTAGTGTGTAGTTTATAGTAATTTAATTATCCCTCCCCCGGTTGGCTGTAGTCCCATACGTGTGTTCTACTAACTGAGAATAACGTCCGTGTCACTGGTAGCCTGAAAACGACTGTGTCTTACCCAGTTATGAAACCACACCTACACACTGAGTAAGGATGAGTATAGAGCTTCCATGTTCCCCATACCGGGTATTTCCGAAAGATTTCTGTACCTGAAGCCAATAATACTATACAAGTTGACCCGTGTATACCTTGATCATTCCACGATATTTGACATGCGCAATGTGTGGTATCTGCCGGAACTTCCTGCGTGACGTCACTTCCTGTTGCTTGAATACCTATGAATAACGCGAAATACCATCATTCTTTTATTGCTCCCTTGTTAATGATCTCATTATGTTTCGTGTTTCATTTTAACATTGTGTTTCCCATAATTTGTGTAAATACTTGTAATGTAAATATTACTGCACATAATTCATGCATTCATCGCAGCCAAACAAATGCCAACATTTCTAACACATGAGGTCAAAACAAATATAATTCTTGTTTGTCGGAATTGCCTCCTATTGTTTAGCTAAGAAGATCATTTTTTTGGTGCCAGCCGTCTCTATAGTGACTTAACCATATTCACAAAAAATGTGGCATATTACTGTACGTATCTACAAACCTATTTTCATCTCTAACCAATAAGTTTAATAACTTTATCATAATATAATATAATATCGTCATTTCATTTCATAATGAAATATAAGGAGGTCGCGATCGATTCCTGAAAAGGCACTCCAAGTTTTGGGAATAAACAAATTTAACAAAAAAACTGAACATATATCTGACGAACTAGGGGTTATTTTGTTGTCGCTTAAGTGTGTTTGAATCACCGATGTCAAAATAATTGTCAGGCGATCTCACACCAACATCCGACGCCAGAAAGTACAAAACGTTTTGTACTATAAACAGTACGTTGTTTGATCCATGATGTTTATGATGACGTCATTGAGTTGCAGCATAACGAATAACGTATCCCTCCACTGCATCTTTTATTCAAACATTGACCCATGTACTACTGAAGCACATCCCCACTTATCATGGCCCACATTAACATATTTTGGTAGTTCGTATAGTGTTCGGGTGGCCCTGTGCCCAAGACGCCGCTGTTCACTGCAGAGTGATTGCCCTTAGCCATGGAAGGATCCGCTGGTCATGGGTAGCCCAGATTCGGATTTTGATCCCTGGTCGGTTTCCACAAGAGGTTAAACGTCTTCGACTCGGGTGGCTATCAGCGTGCCTCCATATTTAGCTGACGAGCAGTTAAAGCTTAGAGACTAAAGGAAGCATTAGACAATGTATAGCTCCGTCTCCTTCCGTAAAACAGTAGTGAGTATCTAGTCTGATTTTGTAGCAGTGTGATCGGTTTTTAGGACCATAGACAGCGTCAACTCGAATAGCGTCTCGTTGCCACTCTTACGGTTGTGTTTTATTAAAATAGTCACAGTAAAAGTTTATATTATCTGATGACTTCGTTCGTTTACATGTTCCCATTTTTTAATTGTCATTTTGCACTAGGATATATTTCTCTGAAATCCATGCGAGCATGAATTTGTTTATGTAATAATTTGTACATATAATAGAGACGTTTTCAGAGACACTTTTGAAGTCGCCTATTTTTTTCCTTTTTATCAAACATCGTCCCAACCCTTTTCCCTCCCTGTGTGGATAGCTAGTCAATGAAATGACATGGTCGACTTTGGATGACGCGACTGTTGATACAGTAGATGCCATTTCATCACCCAGGAGTCTGGTACTCCTCACCCACCTTGCCTCTGCCCGAAAACCGACAACCCTCTTTCAGTCCGGAACAAGCCGATGGTGGGTTACGGAAAGGAACGAGTGCATTCGTGACCAACTCGTGTTATTCCGGGACAAGCCGAATAGCGACTCGTGTCCCTCTCGTGGCCATTTTTGCGACCGGGGTTCCGTCTAAGCGCAAACGGGCATACCTAAAACAATTGTCAAATCGTTGCGTAATGGTTCACACATTTTCCCCATATATTATATGTATTTCAGATGCAATTTAAAGCACATCGGGACGTGCGGAATTATACAGTATGATTGAACACATTTAACTGTGTCTTTGGTATATTTTTAGATGCAAGACATATGTAAAATCAAAAATTATTTCTGAGAGATTCTTTGACGAAGAACTTGAAATCATACGCGCATTCTGATTGGTTTGTCGTATTTTCGCACATAACATTCATCGATAGGGGGACGAGTCTTCTTGCAGGTTACGGAAAGGGACGAGTGGTGGCGAATGGAACGAGTGCTGACAAATGGCCGAATGTTTACGTTATCCAATGGATGACTCGGCTCGTCCCGGAATTGACCCGAGTAACAGACAGCTCTGGGAGGTCTTGGAGTAGTTAGTAGTGATGTTTTGCCAGGATGTAGATGTCGAGTTCCTTGGTTTGTGTAAGTGAGTTCTCTAATTGACAGTCACAGACTCGGGACATTGGAGATTTCACAGTTTTCGTTGTATATTGGTTTGTATTTAACTCGATAAAATGCAAACCTGTGTTTCCATGACGACAATGCTACAGTCCATATTCCAATAAAGGCATTTTTCTAAGCTGAAAGACATTTTTAGTCGGAAGTTAAGCTAAGGATATTAATGAAGAAAAATATTCTAAGAATATTATTCGTTCATGCGCGATGACATTGCTACTTCAAACCCGTTGACCACGTGACTTTAAGAGGCATTTTTATGTAAGGCCATCTTGGGGTTTATCCATGTGGATATGCATTTGACCTATATACACATGATCTGTATACGCTTTTCTGGACAAGCACAAGCTCACGTGGCATATTTTCTCCGGTCACATTTGGTCTACACGGCCGACTAAAACAATCGTACGCATACATGTATATGTTAGTCCGGTATCAGTTCATTTGACATATTCATATATGTTAATCTGATATACCCCAAATATGTACATGTTTAAACTACTGATCCAGTATAAGCACATTTGATATACATGTAAGACCATCTGACGTACGTATGTATAAGTTCCGGTATAAGCCCATGTGGTAAAATATGTGCGCATGTGTCAGACTAGCGTATACATGTATACGTTTCCTAATCAATTCATGTATTTAAACCAGTCTGACAATTACATGTATATGTGATTCCTTAAAACTGATGGCTGTGTTGGTTTACATTAATCATGTCTTACCTAAACATGTATATATGACTTAATATATTATGTCTTAATTGTACATGTATATACTCCAATATAAGCCCGTCTGTCGTATACTTGATTAAATGGTTACAGTATATGCCAACCCGTCTGGCGTATACTTGAATAATCGCCGTCTCACGTACACATGTATACGTCACTCTGGTATAAGCCCATCCGACGTATACGTGAATCCTTTACTCAAGTATAAGCCTACCTGAAGCCAGGACTGTCTGTTGTTGTACACTCTTACTGCTGGACATGGAGTTGTCACTAATGCCCGTGTTGATGTAGATGGGGTTTAGCGGGTAGGTTTGTGTATGAACCGTGCACATGATCTGCATGCGCGCACATCTTTCACGTGATCACCACGCGCACTATGTAAACATCACATTTGTACATCTTGATATTGTCTAATAAATCTTTATTACATCTTCTGATAAGGTCTGTTGTTGCTAGAGTAATGAAGAAGGGCGACTTATCCAATAGGTACACAAAGTGTATCTACGGTGGGAATAGAACCCCGGACTTTCTGAGAATTCGAACACACTATCCACAAACCAACTCTGACAAAGTGGGTGCTTCCTGATCAAATAACCCATCGCCACATGTCAATCAAACAACATTATTGACAAATCCGAAAGCGACAGTCTGCCATTTCGTCGGACAACTTCGAACTTCGAGTTCGAACCTTTATGAACGTGCTTGATTCTATTCAAGTCATTAATATGACGTTTACACGATATACGGATTTTCCGTTGGACGGGAATTCGGTTACATGACCGCGAAACTGACGTTCATAAGCGTAAGAACGACACATTTTGACGTTCTTACGTTTTTCATGAAGCGTAAACACTGACAGACTACCGACACATCTCTTGGGAAACCTCTGGGAATTTCCCAGCACGAATACATACAGAAGCGTTGTTTCTGGTCATTTGGAAGCTTTAATCAGGAACTTAGACTTGCACAAGTCCCTAGGGCAATAATTATTAGTTTAAATCATAATTTCTTGATTACATAAATATTAAGAACACGTTGTCCTTATAAGAGACTGGCGTCCTTAGACTGTCTACTTATCTGGACTTGCCTATTATAAGGATATAATTACTATACACCAATGGATTCCCCATTCAGTACAGCCTTGAAGCAAGGCTATCTTGCGTTTTGGCATAGATTGTGAGAGATCGACCGCATGCCCGTTCACGAATGTCCTCGCAGCGACCCATCGTTGTGACCAGAACCAAGACATGCACATCGACTCGATCCGTGTCTAGACTGACAGTGACAGGCGAAGACAGTCTATAAATGTACCCCAGCATCTCATTGGCACATCGTAATAATAACCTTTCCATGGTGACTAACAATCGCCACAGGTTCATAAACAACTTCGGAAATCATGTCACGCTTATTGTGTTGGCCATTTTGACGTCCTGTGCTTGAATGTATTACGACGCGCTGTCACTGTGACTGCCTTGCTGAGGTAATTCTTACCAGACGGTTCTCATCTAATGATGACACTATTCAAATATATCTGTCGGGACCCAACTGCAAAATATGTTACTGTAGAACAAACTCAGATTTCTAACTTCTTCTCTGATCACTGACACCTCAGATTTTCTTTATCCTGTATAATCCAAACCCTTCCAGTGTTAATCCCA